TCTCGAGTTTGTGAATGCAGATATTCACGCCTGTTCCATCCCAACTTAGATCCGTTCTTTGCCGTGCGTGTGACGGGTTTTTGTTCAGGCCATTTTGGAATGAAACTCCTGAGACACTGGCCCAGTGAGTGGAGGATCTGGTTGAAAGCATATTTTGTGATCTCAAACCTCACAGAATCAATCCCCTTAGGTTATTCAAAATGGTGGTGTCCCGCTACAGATTCCGGATTCGGAAATCGGGATCAATCCCAAACAGTCCATTGCGAAGCAGAAAGCAAGCAAAGAACGAGAGAGCGGCGGTACAGCCAAGCCACAGAACCACTCCCATTTGACTTTTGTGCCTTCAGGGTTCTCGACCAGATCGAGAGGATTCCCTGTGGTGCTGGGATGGATGCGTTTTTGTTTCGGAGCCCTGAACAAAGCCTCCGAATCCAGCGCCACGGGTGCGACACCGAGGCGCGACACCGAGCTGGAGCTCCAGAGGAGCGGATCGGAGATTGGAATGTCCTCACCGTTTCTGTATGTTTGTAGCGGTCTCCAACATGGCAACGGGTTTCTTTTGGTACCCAGCATGCTCTTTTAGCCACACTAGCTGCTCTCTTAGCTTGCTGTCACGGTTGCCTTGCACGCGGATGCCCGCCCGCGTGTCTGGCAACCTCGGGAACTGTTGTGACTTAGTCACTTTGCAACACACAAAAGGCTTGATCGCCTGAGCATCTACACAACATGGAGGCGTTGCATTGCTCGCTTGCGCTCAGCATGCCTGTTGTAAGCCCTGACGCCTTGCGCATGTTTGGGGCCGGTTGTTGCTTCGCGGGTCACGATGCACCATGTAGGTTCCATGGGTTTGCCAGGGACGGTCATGAACCTATGGGAGGCTGTAGACAATCCTTGTGAGGACACCATGACCGTGACCCATGGCGGCTTGACGATATGGCACACATGTGGTCAGCAACCGTGGCGCGAGTTGCGCATGTTTCAGCCAGAGGATCAATGCTTTGCTGGCGCAACCGCCAGTCCCTCCGCCAGAAGCCCCGATGCACCTGCCGCAGCCCTAGCCTGCGGGATCAACCGCGCTCGTGTTTGCCGCACAGGCGTTGGAAATCAGAAGTGCCTTCTTCTGACGAAACAAATGAGGGATTTGTGCATCGGACTTGTTGCCGAATCCCGGAGCACAGCACAGCCCCATCAATGGATATGTGTTTGTCATTGAACGGTCAATTGTAGGGTAGGTGCTTCCTACATCTCGACATATCCTGTTTGGGAGTTTAATCATTTGATGTGAAAATGAGCGTCTCTACACATGGCCGTTTTGCCCCAGTGTTTTAAGCCATTCCGATTTGGGCGAACATGGACCTTTTTTGGAGAAGGAGAGGGGGCGATCTGAAAATGACTGGTGGACCTTGCCCCACCAATGATTGTGTTTCCCATTTGGGCGAGACATGTCGCTTTGGGTCATGATGCTTGCAGTTCATCAGGGTCCAGCAACTTGAGGGCGAATGCCCAGCTCATTACCAGGAACCCCCCCGAGCACCCACTAGGCATGGGATGAGTCTGACAGACGCTCGCTGGATCTTCCCAGAAGGCGACGCAGGTGGAAGGCGCTTTTGGATGGCCCAGAGCATGGAAAAAAGACGGGTGTTGCCAGCTTTTCCTGTGAACCTGGGGTGTGCGCTTGTTGGGGTGGGCTTGCAGAATCAACCAACCATCCACATGGCAAGTCCTCTTTTTCTCCGGAAGTCCACTGGGTTGTTGTGGCGTCCTAGGTATCAGTCGGCTCGCTTGCCGTCGCGATCGCCCGCGCGGCCCCCAGACTGGCGTCTTTGTGTCATGGACTTGGCTGCCTTGGCTCGCGGTTCAAGTAGCAATAGGATCAATTACAAATCCATCCGAAAGCCTAACTCGTATACATGTCCTGCTGGCTTTTGTCGGTGTACATCTGCCTCACAATGGGGGATGACTGGTACCTTGCGACACGCCAGTCAAGTTGCAGCGCTTTCTGCTCCTTAGTGTGCGGGGGATCTTGAAACATTGGCCCAACGAGCCAGTTGAATCGAACCTGAAACGATCGCACAGAGCAAGACCAGATACTCAAGCAAGTCTTTGCAAGTGCTAGGAGGATGTGTCCAACACAATTTGATTGCGGAGGGTTTTCGGGGAGCTCTCCGATCTATCTATATTACACCGCTCGGGCATGCTACCAGTTACCACAAATTAAAGGATGGCGGCAGCGCACTTCGCATGCTACTTTTGCACTTACAGGTTGCGATTTTGAAGCCGGAGCTCCGGGATTCGCGCAATTACGTTACGTTTGTACTTATAAAGCTTGCGATTGTTTTGCCGGAGCTGCGGGAGCGCACTTCGCGTCCTAGTTTCGTAAAGCGCTGCGATTTTTGAGCCGGAGCCGCGGGCCATGGAACCCGAGACCGCGCGCGATTGCGAAAGCAGGCGCGCAAACCAGGAGACAACTTCCACAGGCCAGGAAAAAATCGCAGGGTGCCTCAACACAGACGATCTCCGCAACTTCGACGCACACCTCCCCGCAGAGGGCTCACTTTGCTTTACAACATCACCTTCCAGGAATGGATGCTCCTATCTTCTGCTTGTGATATTTGTGATGCGTGCTAGGCAATATATCTTACGGGTGCGGTCCGAGCTCCCAAAGTCTCCAGGCGCGAAATTCAGAAGCACCCGTGAGGGTTTGGGACCCGGGATTAGACTTTGTGTTTCACTTGAGGCACCTGGGGCCTACCGATCAAGCCAGCTCAACGTCTAGCACGGCGCCCGCCCAGACAGGCCGGGTGGATTGAGGTAGGGAAGGACGGGAGCTCCGCTTGGATGCGTCATTGGCCAGGGAACCTTTTTGGTTTAAAGGAGCATCGAAAGCAGCTCGCGCATGTTGGGGGCCATGGTGTGTCACAAACCCCTTTCAAGACCCAAGAAAAATGAAGCCCGGGTTTGATTTCCCATGCGGTAAGCACTAAGTCTGCCTTGTGGCATCTTGTTTGGACACGTGTTTGGCTCTTGTGTCGGCGTCCTTTTCGTCGTGAATTTCCACCCCAGGGTCGAATTGGAGTGCTGCCAATCGCAAGTGGTTGCGTTGCTTACTTGCTGGCTCACACATGAGCGGTCGTTGATATGCATTCCAAAGTAGTGCAAGCATCTCTTTGCAACGTGGCATTTGTCTGAGCGTGCTTGCAAAGTGCAGTGGTGATCTATGGAGCGCATGGGTGTGACTCGCCCCCCCTGCCGAAGGAGAGACAGAGAGAGAGAGAGAGAGAGAGAGAGAGAGAGAGAGATAGAGAGAGAGAGAGAGAGAGAGACAGAGAGAGAGAGAGAGAAAGAGCGAGGGAGGGAGAGAGAGAGAGAGAGAGAGGGAGAGAGAGAGAGAGAGAGAGGGAGGGAGGGAGGGAGGGAGGGAGAGAGAGAGACAGAGACAGAGACAAAGACAGAGGCAGAAGGAAAAATACAAAAGGCGGTGGGGGTGTTGATGACTTCCATAAGGCAATATGTGACCCTCTCGGCTCGGCCTCGAGGCGAGCGGCGGACATTTGCAAACGCCCTGAAAAAGATGCGGCCCGCCGCCAGTCCAAGTTCGGACCTCTGCTCTTGTTTTCTCATTTGGGCTCCTGGACTACATACTTCGTGGGAAGACCATTTTGGCAAGCAGCTTGGTTTTGTTTCAGGCCAATCCACTCAGGAAAAGAGCTTTTCTTTGTCGCAAAGCGTCGCCAATTGAAATCCACCAATATAAAATGCCCTTTATCCCATGGCCGCTGGAGCTTTGTTGCCGAAGGGGAGCTTACGACCATGCCTTTGGATCAGGCTATCCACTTCCCTGATGTATCTGATGACCCCTTGGAGTAGGGGGGTCCACCTGCAAAGCTGCCAAGCTTTTGTTGACCTGCAGTTGATAGCCAGGGAAACTTGTGTCTGCCTCGATCTAGGGCGCACGAGCTCACCATGATTCAGGGGCTTTACTGTGGGATCCGTTGTGTTTGGGTGTTGCAATCGTTTCAACATTTGCAGATGGGGTGGTGTCTATGATTGGGAATCTGCTGTTGGATGGTGTCGCAATGCGGGCAAGTGAGTGGCAGCCCTCATGGTGTAACGCGGAAAAAGACAAATTCCCACTTAGATGATGTCCTCTGTGATTCCTGATGGCTTGCCTCGGTCAGAACTGTCCAATCTGGCTGGGACGCTGAGACAAAGAGGATTGCTTGGTTCCCACTCGAATCACAACAAATGCTGGGCAAATGAAATTGCACACCGTCATGGGCTTGCGATACCCGTCATGCATGTTCTTTCTTCGGGGATGCCTCATTTCCTGTGTGTAGTATTTGAGTCATGATTACCACATATACCCTTCATATACTTACATATACGGGCACATGGGCTACGTGGAGGCTCTGCGTTTGGAAGGCCAACATCTCCGAAAACAAGGGGCCGCTTTTGAACCTGCGCAGATGGACGCCATACAAGGACACCTTGGTCGTCATTCTTTGTTTGGTTCCTTAGTGCCGAAAAGCAGCTGCCACCAGTCATGTTGTATGCAGAACTAGGCGAGCTCAAAGAGAAGGTCCAGACTGATTCGCCAGATCCTTCAGGGTTGCTCCGAAATTCTCAACCGGACCAAACCAAGTTTGGGCAGAAATTGGTATCGGCTCCTTTGGGATAGGACAGTGCTATTGGCTATTGGATCCTTTGCTGTTCATCTTCCAGTGACCTTTGCATTTCCTTGGGACGCCCCTGTAGTTGCTTGCTGCCCTGTACTTGCGGGCTTTCTGAATTCTTGGGCTCAAAGCCTGTTCATGCAGAGCCACACTTTTCAACATAAGAGTCTCAACAAGTGTTCTATGTAATCAATACAGATTTTGCGAAGTACCAGACTGTATTCTATTTTGACAGTTGCCATCTTAATTTCCTTCTAAACAATTGGTTGCAAAAGGGTCCTTGGTTTTGGCACAAGCTGGCAGTGTCGCAAACCATTCCCTCGGTGCCTACGGTTTTCTTTTTCCCCTGCCATGGGAAATGACGACTTGGACCTCGATGGGAACTGGGCAGTCGAGAAGCTCCGCGGCTGCACATCTCATTTCCTTGGTTGCTTGTTGTGGCCTATAGATGCCACGCTCCAATGGAGTTTCTGGACTTTAGTTTCTTTCTGGGTTTGGATCATTTGAGTGATACAAAAAAAGAAACGACTCTTTTGGCCAATCCACTGAAGTGAGAGCCTTTGTGAGGTGGACTAAGTTTCACTTTGCAATACTTGTTCTAAGGGTTGCTGTCAACATATCCTGAATCTGATGCGAGGGACGCTTGAAGCGGTTTTCAATCGGCCGCCTGTTCTTGTGTGACGCAAACCGCAAACATGTAGTCATCGTACGATAGGAATCGTAGCTGTCCGCAAGGCACGCAAATATTGGGATAGTCAAGCGAGCTTATTTTGGGACTTCGGGTATAACGTGAAAGCTGTATACCAGGGCTTGAAAGGCCTCAGTGAAAGGTAGTGAAAGGCGTTTCAATGCTAAGCACTGAAAGGCACTCCGGCACAATACCCGAGCGCTTCCAGTTAGCAGTGTAACAGGAAAGGGACACTGCCGCTAAGAAAACTAAAGCACGGATTCAGAATCTTGCAACATCCGTGCTGGAGCTTTCGCCGTTCGCCTGAGGACTGTGTAGGTACGACCTGACAGCGAACAATGTCCTTGGAACCGCATTGAATAGGCACTGAATATCATGTGGCCCACTCTCATTTTTGAGCATTTCTCCGTTTTCCAGTCCTGGGGGTAGGCTTCTCTGCTTAGGCTCACCAAGCAAAACATAGAACCATGTGGCAACGCATTTGGCTGCGACGCTGGTGAAGGTAGAGAGCAATCTCGATTCCTGATTTTGACATTCAACGTGTAAACAGGTGGGTGTGTAGTTAAACGAACATGAGTGCTTTTGGTATTGCTGCTGCATTTGAAAGAGGGCCCATATTTTTCAGGCTCACGTGTCAGAACAGGCCAAACCTTGGCACGTGTTGAGTCCTGACATCTCGGCTGGATGATGCGAACACGCAGCTCATTTGTGATGGGCTCTGGCAATATTGGTGTGTCTTTCTTTGGGGGGCCCAACATGTCGATTGTTCTTTTGGTCTCCCTAAACAACAAAACAATACATACCCAACTTCACAAACAGACAAGCTAGGATCCTTCACCCACTCGTAGCGCTCCGAAATGTCAACAGCTTTGACGGTCCCGAATTTTGGAGTGCACAACCAGTTTAGGAATGTCTTCTGGGTGGAGTGGGGTGGTAATCTTGGTTACGCTGTAAGTACCCTACAAGCTTGAACAAAATTCCTTGAGCCTCAAGTTGATATCCGGAGACACCTTCAGCGCAGGAAGAGAAAGCGGAAAGCTTCGCCGAAGCTTGGCTGTTGAGATGGAAGACCTTGAACACTGGACCAGACTGGATGAGTTGCTTATGGAACCTGAACTTTTTGGTCTCGTTCATCAGGCGACTAGTTCTCCAAGCAAAAAAACGATTCGTTGCAGGTACTTTGGGGGAAGAGACTGCTTGGATGTTCGGCGAAGTTCGAAAGTGGTTGGCAACCTGGTTTGTAACTTAACAATCCACTAATGACAGGGTGATTTCCGCTGAAAGGGCTTGTAAGTGGATTACAGCCCAGGTTACCAACCACTTACCAACTTGTCGGAACACGCAAGTACCATCTTCGCAGGAGCGTTTCCTTCAGCATTCTGTCGCTTAGCCATTGCATGTATCGAATCCAGCGAATGATTGCCATTCGAAGACCAAGGCCACACCGTGGGAAACACTTTGTCAACTCATATCCACTGGCAGCATTCTTTTCCGCAGGAGGGTGCATCTCAAACTTACTCACTCCAAAAGTGCTGGATGTTGCTTTTTGTTTTGTAGATTGAGCTGTTTCACAACGGCCTCGCCACGTTCTACTCGTTCTACTGTGGATGGACCAATTCCTGCACCAATTGGGGTGGATGAATCTTATGAATACAGGGACGAACGACATACCACTTTGTGTAGGATTTCGTCCATCCATTGTATCCTTGTTGAACTTGTTGCAACTTCCAGGATGCATTTGAATTGACAGAGTTAGGAGCAGTGGGTTTTTCACCGAAGTTAGTTCTCACGAAGCTCTCTCCCTCTTTCAGAACATGCCATTGTTGTTTGCTAACATGTGTATCTATATATATATAATATACAAGTACCTCCCTTGATGCCATACATCTCTGACTCACTTTCTGATTGTGTGTGTGTGCGCATTGCGTGCCTGTACACTACCATGAACCATATGTCGATGTCTGGCCTAAGAGAGCTAGCAGCTCTCCTGAAGTTTGCGGTCAGCTTCGGGCTATGACTGACAGCTTGGGACAAGCAAATCGGGGGGGGGGGATACTCTGCTTATGAAGATGGAACCCAACACACCAGACGTTTATTCATAGAGAGCCCCAACTGGTTCACAAAAATATGTATATACACAAATAACCCCAATTGCGGAAGACAGTTCTTATTTTGGGCCGATCGAAATCGGATGGGCTCGGCACTCTGGGCCTCTCTCAAAGGAGTCACTGGGCAACTGTCGAGAAAGGGCCACTAACCCACACCCCAACCACTCCTGCCACGGGGTGTGATGAATTCATGCCTGAACATAATTTCACATATGCATGTGTTGCATATAAAACACCTGGGCCCAATGGGAGGTTCAAGTTCAAAGCAGGAATCATTCAGTGCAACCAGATGTGTGAGAGCACAATTTGATTTTGGCTTAAGCTTTCACTTGCTAAACAACAGATTCCCAAGCAAATTATGACTATAAATTCTATAAATGATGATACCATGATGGCATCAACGATATGCTAGTACATTCCATGAATACATGCAAGCAAATGTTTGCGTTGCAAGTTGTGACAATAGTTATGACTATAAAGAAGTTATGGCGTTGCACCAAGTAAGTTATGCACTTCAGTCCAGTGTAGCAGCATCCAAAACCGTGGGGATAGACTCCTGCAAGAAATCCAGACCTCCCGTCCCTCCCCCCGGCACCCAACACAACCAATCACAAGCTGCCACCCAACCAACCAACCCTAAGCCTTGTTGCAAAATGTTTCGCAGCATGTTGCGCAACATGGTTCAGGTGCCAGATTGCATTAGGTGCATGATTTCAGATCCCGTTAGCGCAAGTACTGCTCTATAGAATGAGAATCCAGAGATTTAGAATGCAGACATATGAAGATACATGTTTAAACATGCACTGCATAGTTGTCAGATGCTTGATTATCCTTGGCTTTCTAAACTGAATCGTCTACATAATGAATATATATATATATAGAAGATACAATACATACAATGAGCACCGTACTTTTTTATGATGTCTCAGACTTTGCCTTTTTTAACTTACCCGCATTGGGCAGTTTGACACTAACACAGCAACCTGTAGATGTTGGTCCGCTTGTTGTGCGTAAATACATACACATATATATATATACACATATATATATATATATACATATCCATAAGCATCACTGGGCCCTCCATGGGCCTCGTTTCAAGGGCCTTTTGAGGCTTTGGCCAACACACTCGATCGGAAGTGGGACAACTGAAATGCACCAACAAGACATGGAGGTATTTAGACCTGATCTAGATCAACAGGCCATGCCTTAGCCTGGATCATTCAGCAAGGGCTGGGGCGTCCGTTGTCCAACTAACCATGTTCCCGTCGTTCAAGGGAGATGCGTCTCCAGTTGGGTGGCGATTTGTTTGGCGGAAATCATGTACTGATGCTGCCGTTGGTGGGGGGTGTTTGTTGCTTGCAATGGATCAGTGCTTCTTCGCCCCTTTTCCTTTTGGGCTTCCCAGGTCAGTGCCTAAGACAGCGCCGGCCAAGGGTGTGCTGCGCGTCGCTCGGATCCCATTTGAGGAACGCTTTGTTGCGTTGTGAGTTTGCAGGGCAGGATCAGTCACACACGTCTCAGGTCTTTGTCGCCGGGTCGAAATTCGGTGCGGCAGAAACGAACCTTGTTTTGTGGGGGCTGCAGCTTTATGAATATAAATCAGAACAGTGCGTAACAGGGATTCGGGTCCACCAAGAACTGGTTGCTTCTTCCAAACTGCCGGCTGTTGGTAACTAGCTGCTCTTTGGTTCGACCAAACAAAGCTTTTAACTTGCAACATGACGCTCGTGTTTGCTTGGCTTGTTGCAGGGAGGCCAAAGACCAGCCCAACATGGGTCGAGTTTCACATCAAGCACAGCAGGATCAGATGAGGTTTTGGAGTGCAGGCGAAAGAAGTTGCTTGCTTGGAATTGGGCTGTGTAAGGCTTTCGGGGCCGAAATTGGAGATGTGTTTCGTTGTCACTTAGAAGATTCTTCCCAGTTCTCCCAGTTTCCCTCACAGGATGTCATTTGTTTTTTAGTACCCACATGTTGATTCATTCATGTCTTTTGCTATAATATTGTCGTATGTCATCGTTTTCCGGCGTCCATGTGGCCTGCTTTGCCAAAGAGTTGCTTTGGATACTTTGGATTGATGGTTTCGGGCTTCGAGAGGTTCTTGAATACGCCGCCATTCGGAACCACAACTACAAACCATAGCGGGAACACAATTGTTGTTGTTTGTTGGGGAATTGTTTCGAAGCTACTGAACAAGCTCCCATGCAACAAGCAAGAGGGAGATGTCCAAGTTAGTTGTTGCATTCCAACCAGGGGTTCGCTCTTGCCTGGGGCGGTCCTTTCGCTGTAGGTCAACTCTTAGAAGATTTAGCGAGGAAAGCGCGAAAGGTGTTGGACCCTTACGCTTTCTGGGTGTTTGTTTGCAGGCAATGCCCTCGGCCCTCATAATCTTTGCTGTGCATTGTGGTCTTGAAGACACCCTCTCATGATTGGAATCGCAACGCAATATTGACTGGAAATCATGGAGGCCAGGCAAGCTAAGCTGGCCGGCCAAGACGCTTGAATCTTCAATCAGCTTTGGTATCGCTCTTCAGTTTGACCTCTTCCCTTACTGGGAGCAGTGCAGACATTCGTGGGCCTGAGCGACCGGGCATGCAGCCTTCGGGAAGGACAGCTTTCAGCCTTGCAAATTTTACACCCTTTCCAGAGTAACAGTTGCTGGGGTTTGACGCTAGGCGTCGGGTGATGGTCCTTTACCTTGCGAAGTTCTGCAGGATCTTTCGGAATTGACCCTTTTGGAGACCTCATGGCCTGGCACAACACGTGTTAGCAACTTGTTTGTCTCAGTCTCACCCTACCACAGCTTAGGTTCGCTACGGGTCTGCTGCAAACAGACAACCCAATCCAACGACTCGTTTGGTTGTGAAAGGTGAGACCATAGACCCGGTCTTTTGCCTTAAGGCTCAGGCCTTGCAACGAACCAGCCGTTGGCGCGTTCTACTTCCCTTCCTGCCTTTGGTTGGATCGCTCAGCTCCGTTCCCTTTGAAACACCAAAGCCAAGCTTTGAGTGGCCAAACAGCATGGGGCCATTGGAGTAAGCCCCTAATCTCTCTTGGTTTGTTCTTGATACCAATGGACACAATGGTTCAACCCAAAGTCTTTGATGTCTTTTCTTGTCCAACGGTACGGTAATTCCAGCACTCGACCAGCAAAATCAGAAGGGGCAACCTTTGGTTGACCAGAGCGACTCCAACCCTCGGCAGGGGCTTTTCCTTCGCTTGAACCCAGTGAGTCAAAATCAAAACCCGGGTAAGTGAAGGTTAGCAAGGGACAATCCCAGCCATAAATAGCTGCGGCCGCCTTCTTGATTCTTTGCATGGTTCTGGGTCGACCATTTTAATACCAGGTTTTCATTATGACTCAAGTGACCCATTGGTTGCTACGGATCTCTTCGTTCGGAACATGAGGCTGTTCTTGCCTCAGAGCAGCTGCCGAGATCGGCCACCAAGAAGCAGCTCCGGCTCTGGGCGAAGACCAGGCAGGGGCCCGGGGCTCGGCGTTTTGGCGACTTTTTCGTCCGGGGGAATATGGGTGTGGCCCAAATCTATATATATATATATATATTTACACATTAGTCAGGGGACCCGAGGCTTTAGTATTTCCATTTATACCAGGGTACCATTCGGGCATCGGTGGATGCGGCACGTAGAGTGGGTGGTTCCATGGAAACTGGGTTTTGCTTGCTCTAGGATTTTTTTAGATTATCGTAGAGGTGTTCCATTGTTTGTGATGGCTGCCAATGTCAAACTAACAGTTGCAACGGTTCCAACCCATTGGTTTTAGTCATTCCCTTACCCACATCTACTCGTGTAAAACTCGGTTTGGTCTGCTCAAGACCCTTTTTTTGTCTTCAAAAAGCGTTACGGGAGGGAATGTGTTAATTGTGGTGCCCAGAAACCCCCCCAAAGGGTTTGGTGGCCGAAGCTAAATCAGCCAAAGGGCAGACTTTGCCCATGGGTACCGCGCACAGAGCATCAAAAGAGTGCCACTCGGAGTGCTGCTTTGTCCACGGCAGCGCAATTTGAGGTGTGAGCAAAAGCTATGGAAGTGCTAGGCAGCCAGAATGCACCACAACCCGTGGTTTCCGTTCTCAACCCCTCAAATGTTGCCTGATGTGTCTGACTTGAACGTTGTCATGCCATTGACAGCTTGTCATTTTGCGCCAGCTTGTGCTTTGGCAATTTGAAACAACCCTACACTTAAGATGCTTTTAATCAACTGCAAGAGACCGACATGACACAGTAGGAGACCAACTCCGCCTTTTCAGGATTCAATCCCCCCTAAAATTTGTTAGCCATAACAGAGGACTTACGGCCCACAAGGGACCTTCAGCTGGGGGTTGTCCCTTGGCTTTTAGCTGGTTTTCCCTGTGGAAAATCCGATTCGTTCGCAGGCTGGGGACCGCATGGGTGGCAGAGGCCAAAGCCAAGAAGCTGACACCCATAGAGGCGTGCCTCGTGGAGATATCTGGGTCTCAGGAAGACATGTGGCTGTGGGTCAACACCCTGTACCCCTGGTGAACATCAAAATAGGTGGCAAATGGATGTGTATCCGCCCCAAAATGGAGCCATAGGTTATGCGTGTGGTTTTGAGGGTACCTGAATTGGGTTTATGAAACAGGAAACAAGCTTTGGAAGATACCTGAATTGGGATGAGGGAACAAGGAAAATCCCACATCTTGTTGGTTGGGGTCTCTTCATGATACTACCGGATTAAGCATATCCCCTGGTTGATTTTGATCGGGGGGTGTCACCTTGCGGGAATCCTGATGTCTTTGTCGGTGTCTCGTCTTTTGGATTTGAAGCCACACAATAGCAATAGTTGAGTTCCTTTGGGTATTCCTTCAAAAGCAACGAAACTGAGGCGTTTGTGTGTGTGTGTGTGTCTGTGTCTGTGTCTGTGTCTGTGTCTGTGTCTTTGTCCGTGTCCGTATCTGTGTCTGTGTCTGTGTCTGTGTCTGTGGACTGTGTGTTTGGTGGTTTTTGTTTTGTTTGGTTTTTTTTGGGCGTTCGTTCGTTTGTTTGTTCGTTCGTGTGTTTGTTTTGTTTGTTTGTTTGTTTGTTTGTTTGTTTGTTTGTTTGTTTGTTTGGTTGGTTGGTTGGTTGGTTGGTTGGTTGTTGTGTTTGTGTCTGTGTGTGTGTGTTTGAGGGTAACATGGGTAACTTGTTGTTTGAGTTGGTTTAAAAGGGAAACCAAAGGAAACCATAAATCCATGTTTTGGGTGCCCCTACATTGACACATACCCGTTTGGGCCAGCTAAACAATATCCTTTGCCCGCCAATTTAGGACACATGCCAGGTAAAGAGGCTTGGAAAGGCATCTCCTCGCAAAGCTGCGAGTTTTTGGGTGTACCCTTACCCCGGCTTCTGAAGGCCTTGACTCAGTGGTCCTTGGGTGATTTATACGAAACCTTACGTTCCCAGGTTTGTTCATCCTCACGGGCAGAAAGGGAAAATTATGCCATCTACTGCCACCAGGTGCGCATTCATGCCTGGGATGTATTGTTTCTTGCGCTGATAATTTGATGAGCACATGTCTCATGGACAAGAATGGGACTCTGCAAGCATAGCCGGAGCTTTCTGCTGGGATCCTTCTCAGCATTGCCCAAGCCCCAAATAACATGGATTCTGAAGGGAACAGAGAATGTTTTACCCCGTCCCACGGTTGCCCCCCCCTTGTTTCCCGAAAACCAAGCCTTAAGGCATCAAACGGAGTTTATTTGAGAAACACTAGGAAGGGTTTCAGATGGGGTTGGGAGTCCCATCATTTGGCTGTGAATTTCCACATGGTTTGTTGCATCCATCTCACAGATAAGATGCCCGCTACAACCTACCAATTAACGAGCCCAAAGGAGCCCGAAGAGCCATCATACCTAAGACTTTGATTTTTGCAATGGGGGGGTGGATTTGTCAAAGGGTCGGTTTTGTGAAATCAAATGAATGTCAACGGCTTTGTTTGTTTTGAGTGAATCCCAAGCCGAACAGCCAGCTAGCTTCAGGGTCTGCTGCAAAGCATGATAACTTTCCTTCAAGTTGACGAAGTGTGACTTGAACGTATGCCGTGTGCCCTTTGCCGAGGGTAACCGTTTTGGGTAATTAGGTTGAAACCACCTCGTCTTTCTTTTTTTTTTTGTCTTTGGGCATGTCCCCCCAAAAAACACACACACACACACATCTGATATTTTGTTTGTTCTTCTTCTGGTCACATACTTGTTCTCTCGTTTTTTTTTGTTGGGGGGGGGGCAATGTCCAAACCCCCAAGAAGGACAAGGACAAGCTGGCCGGCCCTTCCCTTTTTGCCCTGAAGCTGGGTGTCTCGGAGCTGAGGAAGGAGCTGCGGCCGCTGGGCAGCTGGTTTCTGCCGGTGCCGCCGCAGCTGCGCGTGGCGCAGCTGCCGGGCCTTGAGGCGGGTGCCTGGGAGGGGGGGGGGGTTCAGCACGTGCCCGCGGAGCCAAACCCGTCCTCCCTTTTTGTTTCTGGGGGGGGAGGTGTGGGGGGGGTGGGGAAGGAGGTGGGAGGTGGGGGGGCGAGGTGGGGGGGGAATCCTCACTAAACGGAGACAGCCCCCCTGTTCATCCAGCAGTTGAATCTGGCGTTACCGGTAGCGCGTTTGGGGGGAGGGCTTGGACGGCCACCAAGTGAGGGCCTCAATGAGTCCCCCAAGTGGGTTATAAATTTGTCCTGCTGGGCCGTCTAAGGGGGTGGCGGTGTCACAGGATCCAACGATGTTTTGCTCAAATGAGGCATTGTGAGGGTCTGATTTTGGGGATGCCTTTTGTTCGGGTCGGGGTTGGATCCAATGACTGTCATCCCACTACTGTTTAAGGGGGTGCTCGGGTACTTTGTTGTGTTTGGTTGTTTTTTGGCAAGTTCATGAAAACAGAAAGCCTGGAAGTTGTGACCACTTCCTGAGTAGCAGGTGCCTTGTAGCCTTGGATATCCCACTAGAATGTAGGGCGGCGATACTTCCACGAAATCGCTTTTGAGTGGTCGATGATGTTCTGTCCGTTTTTTTTTTTTTTGCGGTGATATGTGGTGTCCACCCTTAGTCGCTTCGTCATTGTTGTTTGTTTATCCAAGAGGATGACGAAGGATGACTAGTGCCATACAAGTATGTACCAGCACAGGGACCCCATGGGACCCCTATTGTCTATTTTATATACACATATAGCTTGCTTCCCGCCTCCTTTATATTTCCCTTCAAACTTCCCCCAAAGGTGGTTTCTTGCTTGGCGGAAGCACGCGTATATTCAGGCAAATGACATCGGGTTCTCGGGCTTTGGTTTGCTTTTGGGGCCGGGGGGGGAAGATGAAGGTTGCCGTCCTTTTGCGGGCTTTGCCCAAAGATTATGGGTTGGTGAATTCTTCTTATTCCTTCCAAAACTCAGGGGTTCCAAGCCAAGTGGATCCCAGCTGCTAGTACACTAGGGAACCATCCATGTTCCTTTTGGTTTTTCAAGGGAGCAGGTGTAACTCCTTGGTTTACCCGAGGTACATAGCTCTGCTTGAAGTCTTCCGGACGTTGTGCCCAGGGATGCCAGCGCCTACAAGGCCTCGGCCGCTTGGACAATTCGAATCAGGGAGGGGACGCCAGGAGGTTCCTCGCCTTTTGGCGATTCCAGGTACGGCCTTCGGGGTACCTGGGCTAGTCACACCTTTTAGGCTGGGGAAAGAGAAGAGGCCCACTCCCTTTCCGCACTGACCAAAACGTTTCAGGGAACCATTGACCAAAACGTTCAGCCTTAGGTACCGGGAATGCCGCGGCCTCTCATACTCCTAAGCTGTTGGAACCAGGCGATTGAGTGTTTTCCTTTCAAAGGCGCAACCCCTTCTCAATTTGCACCCTCTGCTTTTTTGGGGGTTAGCTTCACTAGAAAACAAATGCCGCGACAGGGAGATTCCTCGAACGAACATGTGCAATCCGGAAAGTACTGTGATGGGCTGAAGAATTATACGCAGTATTCTCAAAATATCATGACTTGATTTAACTTGGTGGGAAAAGTTCCCCACAGGCCGATTGCATTATTCAGCCCGAATTCGTCAGGTGTTCTGTTGGGACATGGATAGTGCTTGGCTCTTATGTTGGAACACGCGCCAAAGTTGGGCTACAGGTTGCTTCTAAACCTTAGTCTGGTTCAGGAGTTTGGAAGCGAAGTGGGCAGGTTCCCCTGATCATTTGTGTCTTTGAGCCTTTCAAGCTGTCGCCCACACGCATTCACGTTCTCAAACAATTCCCGTGCTAGTTCCAGATATGGCTTGAATCAAAATCAGAGGGAAACACCGCGCCAATCCTCTAACCCAAACCACTCCCTCCCAGGGAAAATGCAATGCATGCCCCGTTCCGGAGAGTCGGCTGTATGCAGTACTTGTGCCGGAACGTCGGCTGTCTTTCTTTCTGAACATGCACAGCCCTCATGGTGCGCAGCCGATCACCCACCCAGGCGATGCTTCAACTGAGTTGTTTTGTGTCACCTTCAAAATCCTTCTTTGTTGGGTTCCTCACTGGGCATCCTCAGCCTGGAAAGGGTTTTCTTGTTATTGCCAGGGTCACTGTCACTGGGCAACTGGGGCCAGGTTTGGCCAGTTGTTTGTCTCTCTTTTTCCTTGACGATCATTTTGAAGCTGCGGTTGATTTGGGGTCATTTCCTTAGAAGGTTGAATTCCAAGCAAAAGCATTCGGCTTCTCAAAGCATGCTGAAAAGTCCCTTGGCTAACTTTGGGGTCAACCAGCCCTGAGATCTTGCGAAAGCTCATCCCTCCCATGCAGACATATGGGGCCCTATGGGCAGACCCCAAAGGGTCGGGTGAAACAAGGAAGGTGAGTTCATTGGTCGGGTCACACCAAAAGGAAAACCACAAGAAATCAGAATCAACAGGTAGTTGGCGTTTTCCTTTGTTGTTTTTAGTTGGTAGGCTTCATGAATTGACAAGCCCAGTGCCACGCACAACCCAAACGGCTCGACGCTTCACTTGCGAGGTTCAGAACGGCGCCTCGGCGAGTCGAGGGAGGGGGAGGCACCAAGATCTCGCAGGTTCCGGTTCCGTGATCCGTTTGAAATTTCTGTGGGTTCCAGAAAGACCCAAGATCTACCTGGACCCTCAAGAATCCCTTAAAACTGGGTTATTCCCCTAAACATGTGGGGTGAATTCCCTTTTTGATGGATGGTAGGATCTATAGATCCGATCGATTCTCTAAGTTTCTGGGTGTGGAATGGGCACCACCCTTGACACAGGCATGACGAGCCTCAGGTGGTTGACAACCTTTATGAGTCAACTACTCACTCTCCGAAGGCCTGTACACAAATTTCACAGAAAGAACCTCCCACGAAAGCACGATTCTAGCGGTCCATTGTTCCAGTTCAGGGATCCTGCTTTCTTGACGGCCAACCGCGAGAAATGGCTGGCGTTTGCAAGAAAGCTATTGAGATCCGACACAAGTCCGCCAGAGTCTTGCTCTTGAGTGGCCTCCTCATGTTTGGACGTCCTACACTCATTGGCAGGTCCCCTGTGTTCTTTTCAGCCAGCTCAAGGATCGCCGTTGGAGCCAAGTTTGGTAGAAATACCATCTTGGTGGGGTGGTGTTTCAGAAAGAAACGGGACGTGGCTATGAGTGGAGAAGCCTCGGTGGAAAGTGTGATGCAGTAAAATTGACCGGGCCACTGAACCAAGCAACACATCTGTTGGCAACACCTCCTGAAGGCAAAGGGCTGATTGATCCCAACAATGACCTCATTGAGCCATGCGCGCTTGAAACAAACATCAAACATCTACTATCATCTACCAGGGTTTGTCAGCGCATCCAACAAACAGTGATTGGTCAGACCCCCGCAGCCCAAAACAGGAGCGAGCCAACACCTTGAAACTATTTCTAGTAGAAACTGGCTGGGCCACAAACGACACAATTCACAAGCGATGCGGCCAGAATCATGCAAAAACGATTCAACACACTGCTGGATGTGTCCACTTGCTCGGGTGCTGCAGCGATAGGGAGGCCCAAAATATGGGATGGCGCTCAAGGCAGTGATACGTTCTCTGTGGGCCTGTGAGGCAAGGCCTTAGACAGAAGCCGATCATTTGACAAAGCTCAGAAGCCTTTTAGATGCATTTCCCATGTTGTTGTTCGCTCTTAGATGTGACCTTCAACCTTTCTATATATATATATACCTGTTTAAACATTACTGTTTCCGTAAGACAGAAGTGGACAGCTTTGTGCAGGACTTTTATTTGTGGTCCCCCATTTCGACACATCCCATTTGGATTGACGCCATAGCCGATAATTACGTTTGCCTTTTCGTAGTGTGTGCACAAATGATGTCATGTGATAGTCCAGGGCAACATGACATCCCGATTCCCAAGAGCCCAAGAGTAACGCTTTCATCGATACCACAAGGCGCAGGTTTGCTTGATCTATGGCGAAAGGCTACTACCAATCCGCAAAGTAGCATGCCCTTCAAAGGGACCTCTCGTGAAAGTGGCACACGCCCACGGAACTCAAAAGGCCACCCAAAATTGATCCCCCTGCGTCCAGCTACGGCAATCGCATACCTGAAACGAAAAGGACGATTGACCTGCAGTGGCTGTGATTTGGGAGACCTCGAGGATTCCGCAGAGACCGTCCGCGTTATTTTGGGCCAAGACTGAAGGTGTGAGGGGACAAAAGAAGAACTCCTTAAGAACCCCCGACCAAAGAGAAGGTGGACCTTCCAGTTACGGTGGCAGAGTGCAGAGCCACCTAAGCGCCATGATTGTGGAGGTTTGCTTGCCGAGCGGACGTGCTTGCACGGTGACACTGGCGCCGGAGTCGAGAGGGAGCGAGCTGAAGATTGCGGCACAGCAGCACTTCCAGCTTTCTTTCTTGCGGCTGGTGGTGAGAGGCCGGCAAAGTCCCAAATCCGCTGAACTGCTGATTCCGCAACAACGACTCGCATCAGTGGACGCGGCACCTGTCATTCCTTAGCATTCCACTCTGTGGGCTCCTGACAGCACGCATGCCGATATGTTTCTTTTTTCCCCAGAAGCATTGCGAAGGGTTCTTCTTCTAACAGCGGCTGCTAATTTTAGCTGCCAACTTATCATGCCAACTGTTAGAGTTGCTTCACCTGCCAACTTCTCATGCCAACGTTTCGAGTGTTACTTCACCTTCCTAAAGCGCAAGCTAACTTTCCGGCGTGACTTCACCATCCTAAAAACACAAGCTAACTTTTCGGGTATGACTTTACTGTCCTAAAAGCACAGGCTAACTTTTGCTTTTGTACCTTCCCTTCTCGAGTCTTAATTATTTTTCTTTTTCTATCGGGGGCAGGCCCGACGGGAACTTACGAAGTGTACCCCTCTGCGGAGATCGTGCGTGTTGGATCGCTCTCGCTGTGGCGCCGTGCCAACTCCTGGAGGCTGATTTGATCGCAATTCATGCGGACATACCGCTCTCGACCGCATTCACGGACAGATGCGGCTTCACGATTTTCACGGATGTCGCAGATTTTCACGGTCATATTCCGGATTTGTCCGCGTGGGATTTTCGAGTCGTTTGGCCCAAAGGACCTCTAACCGCATTAAGTACGTACCTCAGCAACCCCGATGCGGAGATCTTGCGTGTCAAAGTGCTTTCGGCCTGGCGCCGTGCGAGCTTGTCTTGACCTCGGCAAACCCCCTGCGGAGATCGTGTGTATTCGCTGCTCGTGAACTTGGCCTTTGGGCGTTGTCTCGTGGTGCCTTCTTTCACAAGCGCGTGGTCGCTGGCTCGATTCCCCCTGGTCCGCGGCAGCTCCGGCTCGAAAATCGTACTTTTTAAGATCTTCCAGTCCAAGATGTCCAAGTACAAAGTATACAGAAACTGTGCTCCGGCAGATCTGGCCGCAAAATCGCAAATTGTGAGTACAGAAGTTGTATGCGAAGCGCATGCCCGCAGCTCCGGCTGCCCGCAGCTCCGGCTGAAATCGCATGTCTCAAGTGCGGAAGCAGCACGCGATTCGCGCAGTTTACCTCCATACTTCTCATACCAGTTTCGAGAGTTACTTCACCTGCCAACTTCTCATGCCAGCTTTTCGGGTATTAACTTAACTGCCAACTTCTCTTGCCTACTTGACGAGAGTTGCTTCACCTGCATCAACTTGCCTCTATGCTTCCGGGCCACTCGTCGCCCAGCTTTTCTTCTCTTCGCGCACAGCCACCCAGTCAAAACGCGGCAAGACTGCAGCACACGCGCTCCTTTCAGGCTGCTGCGCGTGTACTAACTAGCACCCTTTACAGGGGGGAAAGTAGCCAGTCTTGGGATGCCTTAAAAACACCCATCAGCCCAAGAGAAATACCCTCAAGGCAAGAAAGGGACGATGTGAAACCAGCAAAGTCTTGGCCCAACACCTATCATAGTTCCCAGGGCGTCAGACGTAGCATGTAAGACTGTAGAACCCTGACAGGTCGGCAGCTGGACTTGGGTTCCACTTTGAGTCAAGCAGGCCTGAAAGACCAGGACACAGTTGATGCAATTGTGCAGCGGGCCACGTTGGCTGCAACAGACCGAGCATTTGCTTTGTATGTCGCAGGAGGCTCTGTGGTGACATGGGGTGTTGCAGGCAGTGGGGGTGACAGCAGAGCAGTGCAAGGGCAGCTGACTGGTGTCCGACATGTTCAAGCAGCCTCATGCGCTTTTGCAGCCCTTTGTGAGGATGGCACAGTGATCACTTGGGGTGCACCGTCATATGGCGGGGACAGCAGTGCAGTTCGAGAAGAGCTGACTCGTGCTTGTCAAATTCAAGCATCTGAAGCTGCCTTTGCTGCTATTCGTGCGGATGGCACAGTGACTACCTGGGGTGATGTAAGAAAAGGCGGTGACAGCGTCTCAGTGCGCCAGCAGCTGACCGGGGTGCAACATATTCAATCAACCACGTGTGCTTTCGCTGCCATTCGTAAGGATGGCACAGTGATCACCTGGGGCAGTCCAAGCTATGGCGGCAACAGCAGCGCAGTGCAAGGGCAGCTGACTGGGGTCCGACATATTCAAGCAAACACATGTTCTTTTGCTGCCATTCGTGAGGATGGCACAGTGATCAGCTGGGGCAATCCAGAATGTGGCGGAGACACCAGCGCAGTGCGAGGGCAGCTGACTGGAGTTTGTCAGATTCAATCAGCCACGTTTGCTTTCGCTGCCATTCGTGAGGATGGCACAGTGATCACCTGGGGCAATCCAGACTATGGCGGCGACTGCAGCGCAGTGCAAGAGCAGCTGAACGGTGTCCGACAGATTCAAGCTACCGCAGGTGCTTTCGCTGCCATTCGTGAGGATGGCAGAGTCTTCACCTGGGGTGATCCAGAAGATGGCGGTGGCAGCAGCGCAGTGCAAGAACAGCTGACTGCTGCTTGTCAGATCCAAGCAACCGAGCGTGCTTTTGCCGCCATCCTTGAGGATGGTGTAGTCATCACCTGGGGTGATCCAAGATATGGTAGCGACAGCAGCGCAGTGCGAGAGCAGCTGACAGGTGTTTGCCAGATCCAAGCAACGGAACGTGCTTTTGCTGCCATCCGTGTGGATGGTACGGTCATCGCTTGGGGTGATCCCAGTTATGGCGGCGACAGCAGCGCCGTGCGAGAGCAGCTGACTGGTGTTTGTGAGTTGCAAGCAACCGATCGTTCTTTTGGTACGATCCGTGTGGATGGCAAAGTGATTGCTTGGGGTGATCCAAGATATTGCAGTGACAGTTGCCAGATTCAGACTGAGATAGATTTGCTGTAAGATGCCGGCTTCTGTGGCAACATATTGATCCAGCAGGTGTGGCCAGAGATTCCAAAAAACTTTCTGAATGCTTGGCATGCCCTTTACTCAACCATGCGGGCCTTGCAAAAAATGACAACCTCGGCTTGATGGGACTAGCCCTGGCTTGCCAACCAACCTTTGGGTTGTTGGTTTCTAAGTCAAGATTCAGCAATGCAGCGGCATTTTTTAGCCTACTTCTATCAATGTCCTCTAACACATGGTGCGGGTTTGCCTTTTTTTGTTTCTGGGGCTTAGACAAATGCGTAGCAGATTATACCCTGAAAGGACGAGAGCGGCCGCCCAGGAATCAAATTGAGCCCCAGTTGAAACACCCCTGAAAAGAAGTGCATGGGTGTGCCTTTTAGGGGACCCCAAACAATTGGTTGGTGTCCGTTGGTTTCCCTTTGAAACATACCAACAAGGGGATCCAACTTAAAGAAAACGCACCCAAATGGCACCCCTTTCGTGTCCCTAGTGTGGGTATGCCAAGCGTGGCCGAGAGCTGTTAGGCGACAAAACAAATCAAAGCCAGGGCCATCAAGGCCACACTCTTTTGTTTCCTTGCCAAGAACCCTTTTCTATCAGGAGTGGTTGGTACTCAACTGGACTTAGGGGTTGGGCTGTTGCGGGCAGCAACGCTGGGTTTACCATGTTCTCGTGGTGGCCTTTTTAAATCAAGTTGCCCGGGCGTGGACATGATACATGAGGCCCTGGCAATTTTGAAACTCACCCAAACCGGATTCACACATGCCTGCGGGCTTGTGCGATGTTCGTCGCTTGTGTTTTCACATGATGTTGCAGCCCGGTGTAACAGCCACTAAATTGTCCTTTGAAGAAAAAGACCTCTAAAGGTGTGGCTCACACATCTCCCTCTTCCAGTTGACACTCCGCGCGGCGGCAAATGATCAGAGGGCGCTCGTCCTTTGTCCCTTTGCACGACCGTGCGGGCCTAACAAACGACTGTTGGCTTGGGACTTCCTCTGGCAAGCTCAGTTGGGGCCAACTGGGCCCAAGGGCCCAAAGATGGGGTCGCGCGGAGGGCTTTCTTTTTCAGCCACAAGCAAGTCTAGATTTCACGACAGCGAGTTTGATTTTTAGTGGCTGCATTTCTGTGAGTCTAAAGAATGCTTGCCATCATTCCAGGTGATACACACCATTGGGCTCATGGCACGCCAAAAGGATGGATCTGGGTTCCAGATCTGAGCCCTCAGCCCAAGCTTTGCTACAATGAGGGGTACTTGGATCAGCCTACTCAATAAGCAGGTGACAACCAAGGTTAGAACTGGGGATAGTTGGCTTGTAACCATGGTTATGACCTACTGACCTGACGCAGGTTGAACATGGTGGGTCTTTTTGTGCCACAAACAATCGGCGGCCATTGATCGTATCGAGGCCCGGAGCGGGCTGCGTGGGAGCGCTGGTGCTGTGCTCCTCAGTGGAGCGCGTCTTCGCGTTGAAGGCAATTTGCACTTTTGGGGCCAAGTTGTTCATCCCGGAGAATCCATGTAGGTCATGCTCACAGTTCTTGGCACGTGTTTTTCTTGCTCCCTTTGGGAGGGAGTTCTGTTTTTAGAGTCTTTGTGCTGCCATACCAAGGGTTTTTCAAGTCAGAACCCAGGTTTACCTGAATTGGGTGAAATGTGGCAGGTATATATCAGGTGGATATCTATATTTTCGGCCACGTTTGCGAGACATATTGGTGAAATTTGGCCCACCGGTGATGTATCGCCCGGCATTGTGGCAGGGCCCCAGGAATTGAACCAAAGAGGATCGAGCCCGTCCAATGCAAACGTCGGTGTTCGCTCCTATAGAATTCGGGGGGCCATACTGGGGATGGCTCTAGGCATTGCCTCTTGTGGTTCACTGCCAAAAGTTGTGGCGTTTTTCAAGGTTGGCTAAGTTCCAAGTATAGTGCCTTGGATTGTCGCCCAATTTTGGAAGCCCTGTTTATGAGCTGCACATATTGCACACACCCTTCTTGTGTTGGTTCGATTCCGCCGCTTGCTTTCCCCTATAGCACCATCCGAAGTGGTCTGAAGCGCATGGATGGATGTTGCAAACGACAAAGCAGGCCTTCCAACTCACCCGGCATGTACCATTCCCTTTGAGGCAATATGGTGCCATGTTTCCTTGGGACGGAGTAGGGAACCGGCAACCCCCGCCATTCACAGAATGAGGCAGCCATTACCCACACTTGCCCGGCTATTTTCATCCACGTGAGCCACGCGCCACGGAGATCCCCATGTGTGAATTTCCAATCAAAAGGGGGACAGTTCTCCCCAATCCGTGAGAGAGCAAGGGTGGATACATCTTGAGCTTGCGCGGCGCCGCCTCGAGGCTTAATTTTCTTCTAGTTGGAGCTGCCGGTTGCCCTTTCAGCGAATCAACCTGAGATGTTTTGTTTGGCGGTCGTGAGCTGGGTTCTTTTCAGGGGCGTTTCCAGGTATGCTAGTTAGAGGGCTTGGATTGTGCGACGGTATTTCCCCTTTTGCAATGTGGAGCTCCATACCAAAACCCATACCTGACCATGCCCTTGACCTTTGGTGTGAGGACGACTTTTCGACGCATAGCAACGGCTCCAGTTTCCAAGTGCCATCAGCATGGAGCTTCACCAGGAAATCTCCTCGTGGGGCGTTTTGCCCGGCAGTCCTGGCTGTCACAGGGTCAATGAAACACATTGCTCTCTTGGTTTTTTTGGCGGGGAGGGTATCTGAGGATTTTAGGATTGCACAGGGGTCCTTAAAATTGCTGCCTGATGTTTGAGCTGCATTCCGATTGACAGGTTGAACCATTGAAGCTCGAAAAGTGCGGCTTTCACCAGAAGTTTGCTCCCTTTGATTTCAAACGCCGGGCTTTGACAAGCCGTTTCACCCTATGCATCAGGGTGTTGTTTTTTTTCCAACCAACCAAGACAAAGGGCCAACTCATCAAAGGGCCCAACGCATCCTTCGCCAGGCGGAGCTGGACGCGGTGTGCCCGCAGAAGGCGCTGGCTCTGGCGAAGCACGGGGGCGGGCGCTTGAGCGACCAGCTCAGCCGCCAGGCTCTCCGCCTCCCGGAATCGCCGGTGTGCGGAACCCGAGGGAAACCCAAGGGACATGTTCTTTTGTTGTTTTTTGGGTAAACCCAAGAAAAGTCCACCCAGTTTTCAAACTCCACCCCATGTACAAACACATCCAAGTCCTGTTCAAAGGTGATCCGCCCAATCCTTAATTACTCAATTTCCCCAACAGGTTGCGGTTTAGGGCTTGCTTGATTTTAAGGTTTCGGATTGCTCCATGTTGATCAGGGAAGGCGGCTGGTTCCACTCGGCTTGAAGTGGAGAGCTCGAGCCAAAGGGACGAGTGTTTGTGTGGAAACCCGTTTTTGTTTAATCAAGCGAAATGAATCGGAAGATCAATCTGGACAATCCTCAAGGGATCATTTCCCTCAAGTGGCATGGCAATCTAGTAAATATAAGTTATAACCTCACTCCCAGTTTTATTGAGAAACTGAGGCAGTCCAGAGTTGAAATCAAACAACACCTTTCGGGAGGGAACACGTGTTGTACGCAAAACACAAGAATCGGTGCCATCCCAGAGTGATCGTGGACCCTTTTGGTTCCACCAAAATTGTGCGATGTCAACCTTGCAGCCAACAGGCTGCCCAAATGTCCCTTGAGCTGTTCAATCAACGCGCCACACTCAATATGCAACGAAATTACCACCCAGGACACGGGGGTTAATTACTCATCAGATGTCCATGGGGACATAATTGGACCTTGGCTCACCTTTTGCTAGCCCAGGCTCGAGTTTCCTCGGGTAGATCTGGGAAGGGGAAGGGTTCCATCTTCGGAGCCGGAGATTTCTTTGCCAAGAGCCCCTTGCTTGCCGTCTTTGGGGCCTGAGACTCTGCAAACGACCCAGGAGGGAAGGCGGATGGGGTTCTGCACCCAGGTGTCGTTCCCTTGTGCACCTCTTCAAACATGGGCTGAAGTCCACCTGCTGCATCTTTCCACATATGAATGCTGTTGGTGAAAGAATGGGTCTTTTCCAAAGCAGTGGTGCCATTCACCTGTGTTGCTTACCAAAGTGTGGCCCTTTGTCCGTTATTCCCCTGCAAACTAAGATGGAATGCACTAAAGAGTGTCCCCAAAAAGAGATTCCTCTAAGCAATGGTGGCTGTTGTGGATCCATTTGGGGAAACAGGGGGAAGGATTTGGATTCCATGAGCTCTGTAGGCAAAGGCCTTGGCTGCGGGTGCCGCATTAGCTGTGGCCACCCCCGCCCGCTTGAACCGCCTGGTGGCGGACGGGCGAAGCCGACGTCGATGCGAAGAAATCGAAGGGCCCGGCTGAAAATGTGTTTGATTCCGAGGGGGAAAAAACAAATAAATATATATACATATATATATATATATAAAACGGCATGCTTACTTACGACCATGTTTTTGGATCCCTGCCCCGCAGAGCTGGGTCAGCGGGCGAAGATGAACTGCAAGTTTTGCCTGGAACTCTAAGTTGACATGTAGCGCTCACGTCTTCAGCACACCGTGGCTGCTTTTGGCACGAGCTGTATCAATGTGCCGGTTGCTTTTTCGGAACATCAAGTTTGCAAGCTACCTACCAAGGACAAATCGAGTGTTTGCAGGTTGTCCGGTGCCCAGAGCAACTTGATCTGAATATTCTTTGTTGGAGAGTTTAAAGACTGAAATAGGTAGCGGACACGCCAATTGGAGGTCAAGGGTGACTAGGCCAGCACCAGATGGTGTGTGTGTGTGTGCGTGTACCATGGGGTCCCCATAGACGGTTGGTAGAGCAAACATGCATATTGGGCATAGTGAATTGCGCCCATCAAAACGGTGTTGGGTCCCATGATGCGCTGGATCCGGCTATTGGGGTGTGTCACTAAGAGGGGCGGGGTACGTCAGGAAGGCGGTTTTGCAACCAGGAGTAGAAACCTTGCAAGCAATGGTCGTAAGTCTTCTGAGTGGATTCTAGCCAGGGATACTAACCAGTCATTGAGAACCCTGGCCCTTTCAGTGGGATTCCGTATCAACTGGCGAATTGCACCCAGATGCTGTGGATATCATGCGCCAAGGCTGGCAAACAGACTCAGCGCCAGCAAGTCAACCACACTAAGCTCATGTGTTCCGTGTGTATTTTGTGATGATTTGTTGGTGAGCTTCCCTAAACATTGCAAGTAAGTCGGGAAGAATATTCTGTACACGTGCCATGAATTTTGGTTTCGTCGACTTGCAATACGTAGGGAATCTTCTGTTCACCCATCGTTGATCCGGAAACGCGACCGTTTTTAGATGGTGGTAGTCCTCCAACCCTCCTTTGCAACAAATTGTTGGAATCAAACGTATCTAGTCGAGCATGCGTTCCAACATTAACGTCTGGTCTTTTCGCTGCGAAGTCTACCCCCAATCGGCGACAATCTGGTGGACTCGGGTTGGACGCTCGGGACTCATGCCACCAGTCACTCAAAGCCTGTCCGCAGAGGGACGAAGCTGGAGCGGCAGACCCACCTGCAAATTAATCATGGCTTTTGCGGTTTGTTCATCAAGTCCTTAATGCTGGTATTTGCTGTTGATAAATAAGAACGGAGTACGCAAATGAATAGATAAGTAAGTAAGTAAGTAAGTAAGAAAGTAAGCAAGCAAGTAAGCAAGTCAGTAAATAAGAAAGAAGTGCGCGAATAAATAGATGAGTGAGTGAGTGAGTGAGTGAGTGAGTGAGTGAGTGAGTGAGTGAGTGAGTCAGTCAGTCAGTCAGTCAGTCAGTCAGTCAGTCAGTCAGTCAGTCAGTCAGTGAGTCAGTGAGTGAGTCAGTGAGTGAGTCAGTGAGTGAGTCAGTGAGTGAGTCAGTGAGTCAGTGAGTCAGTGAGTGAGTCAGTGAGTCAGTCAGTCAGTCAGTGAGTCGTGAGTCAGTCAGTCAGTGAGTCAGTCAGCAAGCAATCAAGCAAGTAAGTAAGTAAGTAAGTAAATAAATGACTGATACATAAAGACAGGACGTACGTATACGTAAAATAACTTACTTATGTAATAACATCGTATGCGTGTGTGTGCGTGTTGTCAGTGTTGGGCGAGGATTTGTGTGGCGGTCGGGTTTTGTTTCGGGCGAGGAGGGGCATCTGGACCCTGCGCGAATCTCGCTGGTGATTTTGGACCTGGCCAAAGACAAGAAGCAGCGCGACGTGCTGACGCTGCAGGACGGAAGGATAGCACTGGCACACTGGCCATTTTGCCACTAAGGGGGTCTCTCACCAAAGTCCAACTCCGAGGAACACAAACAGGAAAAAGTATTGGCTTCAATCGATATTACTAGTTGTGTTCGTGCCTGTTTCCACAAGCTGTTTGTGATTTTCCATGAGTACATCCGAACCCCCAAGCGGTTTGTTTTTGCTTTTTTTCTTCTGGACTCATGGTAGTTGCGCCCACATTGGAGGGGCGATTCCCTGCAATGTCAGGAGGCTCGGGGCGACTTCTTCCAGCTGCTGCGGGGGCAGCTTTTGCCGCTTCTGCCGAAGGCGCGGGTCCTCGGGACGATTCAACTCACGTGTGGCCGAGTCAACAGCCTTTGGGAGTCCCTGAACTTGGGAATCGGGACCAGACTCTTCAGGAGGGGTGGCCCATTTGGGGATTGATTTACTTTTCTGGGGGATCTTTAAGAACCACAAGGGGGGTTAAAGGGGGCAGGACGCTTGGTTAGTCGATTGGTTGAGAAGCAGACTTACAACCACGGCTTCTGTGATTTGTGTTTACTCTTGCGAGGCTTCTTGCGAGGGTCCTGTCCAAGAAATCTCACGACTATTAAGGCTGGTCCTGACCTTAACAGGTGGACTTAACACTCCGATAAGTCGTTGCTAAGCATGATGTCTAAACAGCTACCGAGTGCCAAGCCCCTTTTTTTCTGTGGGATGGTGGACCAGGGCACCGGACACCCTTGTCGCCGGAACAGTCCTGAATCCTTCTGAGGCCCTGACACGCCGGATGCATTTGGAGGGGTTCTTTTGGGCCATAAGAGGAAACCAACGCCATTTTGGGGGGAAATGTTATGAGGTTTCACCACCATGTTCTAAGCCTAATTTGGTGAAGTGGTGTAGCAGTGAGGTCTCCTTTTTGGGCGAAGAAACCTGACGGAAACCAAGCGTTTGCGACTTTCTCCTAGCCGTTTGACCCTAACATAGGCCGTTTGACCCCAAAAGCCCCAGCCATGAAATCCTAATGGGATTGGATTCGTTCTTGTGGTTAAATGGGAAGCTGCCCTTATCCACCAGACCCGCACGCTTCAGGTTCCTCCTATATCTGGTGGTTTGGATTAATTGTTTGGTACTTGAGAGCCAAATGGGGGAGGCCGCCAACGTCCAAACAGCCCAGGGATAAAGTGAGGGCTCCAAACAACTGTCAGTAAAGTAAAGTGAGCTTCCCCTGAAAAAGCAAATAGGAAAAGCTATGAAAAGCTGGTGTGAGGTACAGACTTCCAAACCACTCCTTGTGGGCAGCTGGTCAAAGCCTTCGCCTCGGGCTCGCCGAGAGGCCAAGAAAGGCACCGGCCTGGCGCTGCTTCTGTGCGGCGCGGGAGCGGCGTCCGCAGCGGAAGGAGACAAGTGAGTTCGCGGAAACCGCGCGATGGGACGTTGGGATGGCGTTGGCTGCGTTGAAGTGACGATTTCTTGGGGGGGTCTTACATGGTACATCAAGACCATGTGTTGCTCCTTTTCAGATTCAGGGACTTTGGAGGGCTTTGAAGTTTGGGTGAGCATGGAGCTTGTCATTGCTTTTCCTCAACAATGCTATTGGGGTGATTTCATGTAGGACATCTTCACAAGTGAAAATGTGGGTCTGGGTCCTTTCAAGGCTTCCCTTGCGTTTGTTTTCGTGGGCAAAGGGAAGCCGACTTGTTGTAAGTCCCCATTCCGAACATGGCTGCATGGCTGGCCTTATGAGCGACGGACAACAGTACTGGGAGATCGGTTTTGGGTGGGGCCCTATTGGTTTCTGGCGGTAATTCAGTGGATGGATAACATCATGCACTAGTTGGTAGGTTGGTTTTCCCCGGCATTGACGCTGCTTCGTTCATCCTTGGTGCCGGAGTTCGCCCACAGTATTGCTGATTCATTTAGAATCATTTAGAGAGACGGCAGTGGTTCACCCAGATCCGCCTTCTCGCCGCAGCTCTTTGAGCCGTACAGGCAACACTGCCAGCGCAGTTGGCGCCATATGATTTGGGAGTGGACGCAGGTTGTTCTTTACATGTGTTGTGAGACAGAAGCACGGTTTTGTGAATGGTGACATCATGAAAGACCTAGCCAGACTTGACTCACCTTTCCGCCCTTTTGCCGCTTGTTCTGTGCAGCCCGTTCCATTTTGGCCAGCCGCAGGTTGGCTTTTTGCAGCCCCCAGAAGTAATAAACAACAACGTTTAAGTGCCTGAAGAGAGGAGTTGCCTTCTGAGAACGTCGGATCGCAGCCCCAGCTTTGGACTGTGCCAAGGGAACCCCGCAAGGAATGAAATCATGGGGATGGCCGTTGGTATCATAACGGTGACTTTCCACAACCGTCTTGGGTTAGAGAAGTCCACCACGATCAGATCCATGGTGCGCTGGGTACTGTTCCTAGCACCGCTCGCGTCTCAGCAAAATTGCGCAAAGCTATGTTTGGATGATGGGGTTGGGTTGGCTTGGGTTGGGTTGGGTGTTTTTGTTTTTTGTTTTTGTTTTTTTTCTTTTGCTGGCCAATTTTTGGCGGCGATTCAACCCTCAGAGCCACAATTGCTGATGTAAGGAACTGTTTTCAACTGTAGAGTTGCCTTCAAGTGGCTCTATGATCGAGGGGAGCACTAGGAAGCCTTCGCAGGCCTGCTCCTCGGATTCGGCCCTCCGGGGTCCCATGGTTCGGAGGGTAAAAGGAGCATGAATGCGGGATTGTCAGTCTGGATGGCGGGTTTTGAGGAGTCTGGCAATGGTGATAGCAATGATCGACCTCAGTGGGTTGCCCTGGGCCACCGGGTCTGCATGGAACTCGCAAATGCGTCATGCGCCTATATGTTGTCGAGCCGGAACTTGAGCAGCTCTGTTCAGATCTGGGTCTTGTGAGTGGCCACTGTCGTTTCGTGAGCAACCTATATTTGAGCCCAACTTCTCTGTCCAGAGTGATCTGCGTTTGGGCACAACCCGTTTTTGGAGCACCCTCCAGAATGGGAAGAAAGATGCGCTTTGTGGGCCCGAGCCTCAAAACAAGGCGCCACACATCTTGTTTGACCCACAAAGCTTGGCTTAGCCAGCTCCTGCTACCTCCTAGGCTTGCAGGGTTTCTTCAACTTGTTACCACACAAAGTGATAAACGCCGCTTTGATCAAAGCCCATGGACTGCCAAGGCTGCTGAGTGTGCAGGGCAGCCCAGACCGGATGCCAGCCATTGGCTCGACCACTTGGCTCAGGTTCAACACCCCTAGGACACAGGCATGGCTGTGTCTATCTTTGGGTACCTTTTGTGAGGGAAATCAAAAGGAAGCCGCCTTTTGGCACAATCCCATGTCTCTAACATTTGGCTATTGTTTGTTTTGTTTTTCAAGGGTACATGGACATGGAAGCACTGGGAAGGGTTTATTGCTTGGACGACATCAGTAAATTGAACCTTTCCTATGAGATGTTGGCGGTTTGCCGGCTGACACAACCATCTTGTGTTGATGTTGGGCATCCATGGTAGGGGGAACAATTGAATGGATCGATCTCACTTTGCCAAGTTGACAGGCGCTTAGCCACCGGAGGAATGCTCACTTCGTCCAAGATGGCCCCTTTGTCCGGGTATTTTCAAGCAATGGTATCCGCCGGTTCGGCGAGGACTTGGCCTGTTTGGGCATGACAGAAAGTTGGTGGAAGCCATGCCTTTGGCTTTGCGTGTTAATGCATACTCCCTACGATTCACGAAGCAACCTCTGTCGGAGTCCGCAGGTGTCCCAGTTGTATTGCATTGTATCCCTTCAAAAATGGCAAAAGAGGTACCTGGACCCTCAATCACCCTTCGTTTTTGGGGTGGTGCTGTGCTGCATTCATTTTTGGGGTGTTTTGTCATTTTTTGGGGGTGTTAGTTCCATGTTTGGGTGTTTTCGTTTTTCCATGCGCTGCTTTGTCAACCCTGCAATTTCGCTAGCGGTGTGTTTAACTTGTTTGAATTAACAACGTTGTTGTTCACTGCGCAGGGCTTGCTTGAAAGATACAAGTGCCAAGTGCTGTCACTCAATGTCAAACCACCAGGTTCAGCTTAGCTGCGCAATGCCTTTGATGTTGGCATGGAAGAAATCATCAAACATAATTTGACCTTGGCCCAAACGGCTTGAATGCCAACACAACACAAGGGAAAACAAAAGCCGCGCTATTAGCCTTTCATTTTTGTGTGAGAAAAGCATTTGTGAGTTGCACAAGTTAAGAAGGCTGCTCCGTTGCGTGCTGCTTAGCATTGGAGCCGATCACTGAGCCGCAAGGCATCCAAACCAGGTTTCCTTTGGAAGCGAGCAGGTGGCTTGGTGCACCACAACTCAAACTGATGTTTAGGAGGGCGCTGCGACAATGCAAAGAACCAACATCCCTTAAAACAGGAGTTAGACATTTCGAGTTGTTTCTTCTAGTGTGTGGGCGGTGTGCTTTGCGCGGCACACATCACAAACGGTCTTTCATGGCAAAACCCGGTCTTCTAATGGCTTGAAACAGTGTGTCATGCGCAGTTCACCGCATGTTCATGTAATGTCACTCTACTTTCACGACTGTTGAGTCCAAGAAGGTACAATTTCAATGAACAAATATTGTCGCACCAAATTCGGATAGCTTTCGCAGATTTTGTAGCAGCGCGATGGGAGTGATTCCGCATTTGTCCACAGCTCTGTGCCCTTGGGCCATGTGCCCAAAGTTGTTTCAAACTACAAACAACACAAGAAACATCTTAATTAAGCATGATGTACAATACTTTGCAAATTCGAGTATGTTCTGTTTCACCATGCCTCCTAGATGATCAAGTTCACATGTTGCTTCAACGGTGGTTCTCTGGCTAATGCGACTCAGCGCAACATGTACCAGTTGCCCTTAAAGTTGATGTCCTGAAGCAAGCATACAGCCAAAGGGTCCAGTCTTTATATGATAGCAGGCAAGCTTGCAACACCTGCTATTCTGCGAACAGTAGCTGCCACTAGCAATTGAATGGTCGTTCCGTAAGCTCAGTATTCTGCGAACAATAGCTGCCACTGGCAATTGAATGGTCGTTCCGTAACGTCCACCTAGGATTAAACATTGCACCTGGAATAAAGACAAACGGGTGGCCCCCCAAAAAATGCACCTGGAATAAAGACAAGCACCCGCCACCCCCGCCCAAATTTTCTGAACGAAAAGTATAAGGAACATGACAAAATGGAACAAACAGAGAAAGAAGAGGAGAGGTAGCCAAGCCAACAACAGGTCCTTAGATCTTTGGTACCTTGTTGTTCAGCTCCCCACAAATCAAACTGTCCAGCTGCCCAAGAAGTCATGGTTTCTTACATGTCTCTTGCTTAAAAACTGCCCGCAATCAAACCTGCAAAGGGGGTGGGTAGTACTGCAGGCCCCCAAACTTGAGCCCAAGACTTTATTTCAGGGGCCCCTACAATAAAGTCTTGTTGTCTGGCCCCCTGCAAATATACAACTAGCCCAGTGCAACTACCTATGAAGCTTCGGGCTTTATTGTTAGATTTGGGCCTGCTTCCCAAAATCAAACATGTCCAGCTTCCCCAAGCTCTTGTTTTCTTGCATGTCTCTTATAAAAACTGCCTACAACCAAACTCACAAACAACCTAGTACTTCAGAAACTTCACCCCCAATTTGACATTATTTCAACGGCCCCTGAAATAAAGTCTTGTTGCCTGCCCGCGGCTGCCCGCGTCCAAAAAAGTATCAAGAGGAAGCTCCAGCAATACAAAATCAAATGGAAACTAAGTTCCAGATCTCAAAAGGAAGCTCCAGCAATGCAAAATCAAATGGAAACTCAATTCCAGATCTCAAAAGGAAGCTCCAGCAAGGCTAAATCAAATTGAAACTCCAGTGCTAAATCAAATGGAAACTCAATTCCAAGTCTCAAAAGGAAGCTCCAGCAATACTAAATCTTATTGAAACTCAGTTCCAGATCTCAAAAGGAAGCTCCAGCAATGCTAAGTCGAATGGAACCAATTTCCAAATCTCAAAGGAAGCTCCAGCAATACTAAATCAAATGAAAACTCAGTTCCAGATCTCAAAAGGAAGCTGCAGCAATACTAAATCAAATCGAAACTCCATTCCAGTACTAAATTAAATGGAAACTTAAGCCTACCAATACTAAAGCGAATGGAAGCAAAATTGACCTGGATCTCAAAAGATTATTCTAGGCACCCCCTTTGTTGGGGGGGAGAGGGCCAACCCCTTTACTACTCCCAGGCGGACATTACTCCGAACAAAGACCATTTAAAGGACATTACTCCGAACATAGTCCGGATAGGTGGACAGGGTCCGCCGGACCGGTTGGACGGCCCGGACGGCGGGTCCGGACGGGTCTGGATAGGTCCGGACGGGCCCGGACTATCAACAAAAATGTGTTTTTTTCAAAAAAAGGTGTTTTGGTTCGGACTAGTCCGGGACGGACGCTTAAATACGCCTTTTGGACGCCTAAATACGCCTTTTCGGACGCCCGCTGGACGCCCAAAACAAAAAAGGCGTTTTGGATAGAAAAAGGTTTTGTTGTATGTTTTTCTCGTCCGGACGCGTCCGGACGCGTCCGCCCGCCCGGACCCTGTCCACCTATCCGAACTATGTTCGGAGCAATGTCCTGTACATGGTATGTCCACCTGGGATTGGTAAAGGGGGGCCCCTCCCCCACCCCAACAAAGGGGGTGCCTAGAATAATCTCTCGAGATCCCGTTCAATGTTGCTTCCATTTGCTTTAGTATTGGTAATTAGACTTGAATTTCCATTTGATTTAGTATTGCTGGAGCTTCCTTTTGAGATTTGTATTTGAGTTTCCATATGATTTAGAGATTTGGAATTGAGTTTCCATTTGACTTAGTATTGCTGGAGCTTCCTTTTGAGATTTGGAATTTAGTTTCCATTTGATTTAGCATTCCTGGAGCTTCCTTTTGAGATCTGGAATTGAGTTTCAATTTGATTTAGCCTTGCTGGAGCTTCCTTTTGAGACCTGGAATTGAGTTTCAATTTGATTTAGCCTTGGAGCTTCCTTTTGAGATCTGGAATTGAGTTTCCATTTGATTTTGCATTGCTGGAGCTTCCTTTTGAGATCTGGAACTTAGTTTCCATTTGATTTTGTATTGCTGGAGCTTCGTTTTGATATGTTTTTGGGCGCGGGCAGCCGCGGGCAGGCAACAAGACTTTATTTCAGAGGCCGTTGAAATAATGTCAAATTGGGGGTGAAGTTTCTGAAGTACTAGGTTGTTTGTGGGTTTGGTTGTAGGCAGTTTTATACAAGAGACATGCAAGAAAACAAGAGCTTGGGGAAGCTGGACATGTTTGATTTTGGGAAGCAGGCCCAAATCTAACAATAAAGCCCGAAGCTTCATAGGTAGTTGCACTGGGCTAGTTGTATATTTGCAGGGGGCCAGACAACAAGACTTTATTATAGGGGCCCCTGAAATAAAGTCTTGGGCTCAAGTTTGGGGGCCTGCAGTACTACCCACCCCCTTTGCAGGTTTGATTGCGGGCAGTTTTTAAGCAAGAGACATGTAAGAAACCATGACTTCTTGGGCAGCTGGACAGTTTGATTTGTGGGGAGCTGAACAACAAGGTACCAAAGATCTAAGGACCTGTTGTTGGCTTGGCTACCTCTCCTCTTCTTTCTCTGTTTGTTCCATTTTGTCATGTTCCTTATACTTTTCGTTCAGAAAATTTGGGCGGGGGTGGCGGGTGCTTGTCTTTATTCCAGGTGCATTTTTTGGGAGGCCACCCGTTTGTCTTTATTCCAGGTGCAATGTTTAATCCTAGGTGGACGTTGCGGAACGACCATTCAATTGCTAGTGACAGCTATTGTTCGCAGAATACTGTAGCATGCCTTGCAAGCTTGCCTGTTATCATATAAATACTGGACCCTTTGGCTGTAACAGTGAGGGTCTTGGGGCACTTTAGCGCTGTGAGCAAAGCTTAAAACAATATGCTTGCTTCACGGCATCAACTTTAAGGGCAACTGGTACATGTTGCGCTGAGTCGCATTAGCCAGAGAACCACAGTTGAAGAGTTGAAGCAACATGTGAACTTGATCATCTAGGAGGCATGGTGAAACAGAACATACCCGATTTTGCAAAGTATTGTATATCACGCTTAATTAAAATGTTTCTTGTGTTGTTTGTAGTTTGAAGCAATATTGGGCACATGGCCCAAAGGCACAGAGCTGTGGACAAATACGGAATCACTCCCATCGCGCTGCTACAAAATCTGCGAAAGCTATCCTTCTGAATTTGGTGCGGCAATATTTGTTCATTGAAATTGTACCTTCTTGGACTCTACAGTCGTGAAAGTAGAGTGACATTACATGAACATGCGGTGAACTGCGCATGACACACTGTTTCAAGCCATTAGAAGACCGGGTTTTGCCATGAAAGACCGTTTGTGATGTGTGCCGCGCAAAGCACACCGCACACACTAGAAGAAACAACTCGAAATGTCTAACTCCTGTTTTAAGGGATGTTGGTTCTTTGCATTGTCGCAGCGCCCTCCTAAACATCAGTTTGAGTTGTGGTGCACCAAGCCACCTGCTCGCTTCCAAAGGAAACACCTGACTTGGATGCTTTGCGACTCAGTGATCGGCTCCAATGCTAAGCAACACGCAACGGGGCAGCCTTCTGAACTTGTGCAACTCACAAATGTTTGTCTCACACAAAAATGAAAGGCTAATAACGCGGCTTTTGTTTTCCCTTGTGTTGTGTTGGCATTCAAGCCGTTTGGGCCAAGGTCAAATTATGTTTGATGATTTATTTCATTCCAACATCAATGGCATTGAGCAGCTGAGCTGAACCAGGAGGTTTACATTGGGTGATAGCAAGGTCCGCGCCGCTGCTTGAATTGGCACTTGCATCTTTCAAGCAAGCCCTGCACAGTGAACAGCAACGCCCCAAAGAACACCGCTTATCGTGACAACACCGTTAAACAAATCCGCTGATGGACTTTCAGGGCTTTACTTGGCACAGAACCAAAAAAAGGTGTTTTGTTCAAGAAAAGGTGTTTCGACAAAGAATGCCATTATTTACATTTTGCCCCAAGAATTTGGGGTGGTTTGAGACTCCAGGTATACAAAAAGCATCAATGTGTTCAGCACATGTCGGTTTCCGGTTTGATCAAGACAAGCATTCGACTAGTTGGACAACGGCGATATCCAACCACTGGGGTATCAACCGACAACAAGTGAGGCCCATTGTCACGGAGCACTCGGCGCGAGTACATGGAATGACATGGGACCGTGCAGATTGGTTTTGATTGTCAAGCCGTTTTGAGTTTGCTTCCAAGAAGCATAACTCCAAGCAGCATGTTATGTTGGCTGTGAAGTGAGAGCCCACCCAAACCGTCATTCAAGGGGTCAGGACCTGCAGTGGATGGTCTTGGACCTCAAAAAGTTGCTTAGGCACCGAGAATAAGTGCGGGATTTCACCCACCATCCCATTTTGGGTCTGACTAATCTGTGTGCCATCAAGAATCAGAAAGCAACAAGCTACAAAAAGAACTTCAACTCACGTTTATTGCAGGACCTCCTTCTTCTTCGCGGCTCAAAAGGGTCCTTGCCCTGTGCCCCGGAAACTGATGCACCGCGTCCGCATCGCCTCAAAAAGCTCTTGGCTATCATAAAAGTGTTGCCTGCTCCGGGCTGCGAGCTCGGGAGAAGTCCGGAACGCAGTCGCTCTACCGCCCGGGCGACGGCTTGGGCTCCAGCTGTATCCATGGGAGGGAAGGTGTAACAAAGATTGGGCTGATGGCGCCCTCGTTTTGGTTTGCACAGTGAAAACCAACGCCCAACCAACAAAGGCGAAGGGGATTGAAGAAGTTGGCACCGGGTCACTGGCATGAGACATCCGCATGACGTCAACGCCGCGGCCCCAGTCAACGGGGGTAGAAGCGGCGGGGATTTGGCAGCTGAGCTGTCATGGGTTCGCAACATAGGGCTTCCCGAAAGCCAAAAGGGCGTGTCGTTTTCTAGGATTCGGACCCTAAAACTGGTGGCGTTCCTTTGGTTTCCCTTCAAAGCATTGAATAACGGTACCAACTCAAAAACGGAACCACGCCCAGAAGGAACTCGGTCACCGGAAGGGGTTGCTAAAGTATTTTAGAAGCTTTTCTGGGCAAAGAGCCATCGACCCATGGGTTTTCCAGATTAACATCAGACCTGTGCCTTTGGGGCCTGTTAATGCCTTGAGGTGGATGACATATACAGTTGTGTCTTTTTCTAGGCGACCCCTAAACTGGTGGTTTTCTTTCTGAACGGAAAAAAAGCACCCATAAAACAAGGCAAGGCACCCATATGACCGAGTTTGGCCCAGGTGGTCTATTGCTAGCTTGGGGAGAACGGGGAAGGCCTTGATAAGCCTTGATTTGTTCGAGACGTTGCCAACCCGAAAGATTCGTGGCTGTGCCCAAGTTTGTTCAACAGCCACAAATGGTCACCTGGTTGGAACAGTCTTCTGAAACTTGGAAAAGTCATCTGAGAATTGCCCGAACTCTCCAGACTCCGATCCCGGGATCCCGGCTCCGGGGCCAATATGTGTCCCAACTTGGGGACATGGGGAGTCCGCCGTCGGGCGAGGATCAACTTTGATGCGGAAGTGTACTTTTCGAAGGTGCCATTTGGGCGGGATGGTTTCAGGGAAATTGAAGTGAAAACCACCATTTGGTGGGTGCGTACGTGTGTGTGTGTGTGTTACCATCTTACACCTGCATTCGTCCCTTACAGCAATGAACGAGCGAAAGCTATGGAGTAAGTCCTTTACGTGGGGAGCCTATTCTTTTTGTGGGTTTTGGAACTGTAGAATGTTCATATTGTTCGAGTCCCAAGATGGCAAAGAACTGCTGTAGAGGGATACTGCTTGGTTTCTATATTGGCGTCAACCCCCCACAATTCAGCACTTGTTGTGTTTAAACTCCTCCCTCACGCTGTGGTAGCTTTTTTTGGATCAGACATGCTTGATGGTGGAACCTTCACTCTTATGTCCGTGGTTCGGGCTGTGTAAGGCTTTCAGATGTGGCAACAATTTCAGAAAGATGACAACTTGTCTGCTATTTGGTTGGTGGCCTTGAACTTTTCGTGAACATGTGCAGGTTCCCACCAACAAATATGTTTGTTGCACTGGGGGCAGGAGGGCTGCATGTTCGGAGCAAGGTGAAAACATCTGGACCGGGTGTTTGATATCTCAGGCTTTTCCTGTCGCTCTTGAGATCACCACATCAGCTGTTCCCAGCCAAACTCACCTGAAGTCACCTGAGAACCACCCAGCCTCTGTGTCAGTTGTTGTTTGGCGGCCGACTTGTGCTCCGAGGCCTTCTAGTGTCGCGCTCTCAGAGGGCAAGGTTGTTGGAACTGGCGCCATGGGTTGAAGGAACTCAAGGGATCTCGCCAAACTCGGCGGAAGGCCATTTGGGTGTGGATTCTGGGTGCCCGTTTGCGGGTTGCTTCAAAGGGACACCCAAAGGAAAGCCGCTCATTCCGGGGCAAAGCCCCTTTGTGAGAACTTCGATCCAGGAAGCTTCGCGAGCAGAAATGGGCCGCTGTACAAGCTTATTCAATTTACCCTCAGTTTTGGGTGGACCACTTTTGAACGACTCACTTGGAGATAAGAGGGCGAGCACACCGCCTTTATGCACACCCCTTGAACATCAACCGAGGTCCCTTGAAAGTGTATCTCCTCATGGCAGCTTCAATGGCAATCTAAGGCTGGTTCTAGCTCTGCCTTCTACGTTGCCTTGAGGGATGAGTTTGGTTGATGGCTATGATCTGAGTGGACATGTCCAAACAGCCAATATGTTTGGGGAAGATGAAGAGGGTGCCACTCAGATTCCGGGGTTTGTGCCACGCCCTTGTTCAAAAACACCTGGTTTGAGCAAGCTCATTGGGTTCCCTTTGTATGTATATGTATATAAGGGGCACAAGCAGGTCACAGCAAGGAATTGCATAACTCAACCTCCTGTCTAAACCGTATGGTTTCACCCAGAGCACTTAGTTTAACAAACTGGAAGTGATCAAACCCTTCCTGAAGTTGTATGACACAGACAGGGGATACAAAAACGTGCCCCAAGTATTGACAACCCTTGCCTCTAAGCACCCCGGCTTGCCAGGTTGCCAGCTCCAAGCTGGATCAGTTGCAGACCGCCTTCGGTGCTGCCAAGGGGCGGGGTCTCGTGTCGACGGGGCGGTTTCGGTGGAAATCGTGGAACCCAGGAGAGATCCCCCCCCAAAAGATGTATAAAAGATCGGATGTGCCAACTCACTCGGAGTTGATTTCTCCAGCTTTCAACCGGTTTGTTAACGGGGCCCGGTGTTTAAAGCCACGAAGCCCTCAGCCGATCCGGACAAATCAGACATTGCACCAAGCCAGACTGTGGCATTTGCCCAATCCTTTGCGTTCCTTGGTGGGAAGCCTGTCTTCAGATTGATTCTTGAACTCGAACTTCGGCTTGGTGATGTTTTTGCAATTCATCCAGATTCAAATTGTTTCCCAGCAGACCAGGCACACCGGAGAGATGGCTTGGAAGTCAGATCGATACGCGTGGATTGGCCGAAAAAAGGGTCGGCTGCTCCGCCCCAACGTCCGCGCAATTTCTGCAGAGCTGCGCCCTCGCCTTTGTCCGTGAGGTGCCTGGCATGTCCTCAGGCAGACGCCAAAGGCTTCTTGCACTCCTCATTTGGGTTTGCCTGTTGGGAGGATTTTTGTCCAGGGTGCTGAAACCTGCGATTTGTCTCGAAACATTTGGCTCCTTCAGTTCACATCAAGAGTCCAAAAAGGGTGAGCTCTGAAGTGTTCTGGTCACGTGAGGCATAGAATGATGTTGTTTTGGTTTCAAATAATGTCGATGTTCACTGTGTGGGATATTGAGCACTTCGATGCATGTAAGCTGCGTTTACCCAGTAAACTATGGCATGACATGAAGGCCAGTTGAAATGAAGCAACCTTAGGTGCTGTAGGGCTGAACCGACTGACATGAAATAATGTTGGGTCAATTTGGGTCAAGTATGGACAACATGATGCTTGGTATCTTTGAACATGGACGGTCAAAAGTTAGGAGCCGCTGAGTGCCCCAAAGAGTTTTCCCAGGGCCCAGGGCCTTGCTGACACCCATCCGCCCATCCACTTTGTATTGTCCGAACAAAATACGGTATCTAAAACTTGAGCAACAAAGTCATTACTCTGGGCAACATTCAGCATGAAAGGGAGAGCGTTTTTGCGGTACTTCGGGCGGTTGCCTTGTCCCAACTGACAGTCACTCCTTTTCGCTGACACGGCGCCTTTAGCCGTTTATGGGATAAACCATGCGGACAATTTGTTAGCCATTGAAAAAAAAAAAAAAATAGCTGATTCGGACGATCCCAGAATGTGAATTAGGTGAGTTTGGGATAGCCATGCTCTTGACACTCACTTATTGTTTGCACTATTGAGATTTGACTTTCAATAAGGGGCGCTTCGGTGTACAAATTTCCCTGATTGGATGTGTTCAACTGTTTTGAGGATGTTTCCCTGCAATGGTTGGTTTCCAAGTCTTTTTCTTTAGCGCCCTCCAAAAACATCAATGAATCGTTTTTTTTCCTTCTGGTTTCCTTTCACCCCCTCCCCCCCCCCAACAAAAAAAGGAAAACAAGACAACACACAAGTACCGGCAAAGCAGACGCGGAACTTGCGAATTTGCCAGGGTGGCGTGGTGGGCCACTGGGGTGCCTGGCAGGTTGCTCGGCAAGGCGCGGGCGCCGATCGCTCAAACGGCTGCGGCGTCCGCCAAATGCCGTCAGGAGGAGATCCCTCCAATTCCGCGTGTTTAGTTCCACGTCTTCTTAGGGGAAGCTTTATAACACAAATTCAGGCAGGGCATTTTCCATTCAAGGAAAAAGGCATGCCAGTTTGAGCCAATCTGGTTAACCAATCATCTTTGTGCAAGGGGAATAAGAGGACAAACCGCCAAATTTCAACGACAAATGCGCGGGGACAGTCCATTTATTTGTTCCAGCCGTGAATGTTCAGCCCGGAGCAATAAACCTTAACTTATAAACTATTATATAGATGAAAAGAAGGGTGCAACTCTCTCCCAGTTTTCCGATTCCCTTCTAAAATTGGAAAGTCCACGATCCATCAACTTTGGTTTTTATGCATTGTTTGTACCCCTCATGATTGCGTTTTGTGGCGCAATGACCCGAACTGCGACCGCTTTTTTGGCACCAATCTATGTGTGCGTCTCTTCGCCCCGGTTGATTTGTCGATGAATCTATATGTGAAGTGGTGTGCCCCGCTGCCCATGCTCTTGTTTCTTTAGGTGTACCCTTTCTCTGGGATTGTTAAAACGAAAGGACACCACTTATGTGGTGGCCTGGCTTTATACGAATCAAGCTGGGGCTTGAGGTTTCAACAGATGCCCGAGACACGGTCTGCTGCTGCCATTGTTTTCCAATGTTTCGGAGTGGTTTCATTTAAAGTCAAGTATCAAAAAACAGACTTTCGGCTCCGCTGATCCTTGGGGGGGGGGGGGTTGAGCAAGGAGGCGCACCTACCACAACAAGAAATGCCCGTTTTCCCTTTGGAAAGTCCAAAGTGAATGCCCATGGAAAGCGATGGACTCGGATCGCCAGGATGCCGCCTGGCGACTTGGCTGTGAATCGACTCGCGCGATCTGTACGGCCATGGCATGGGCAAAGGGACACTCTGTTCAACCCCAAAACGGTTCTCGGTTGAAGCCTTTTGGCTTCCATAGGCAACACCGCCAAGGAAAGGGCACCGCACAAAAAAGAAACACGACACAGCCAAACGGCAACGATGCTCCTTCGGCGTATGGATAAACCTGAAGCGTATTTACGGGTTTCTTGGGCTTCCTGGGTTGCCATTTGTCAATCCCTGGGCTTACGACGTAGATTCTGCGACCAACGTGGGTGTCCTACAGTGCCCGGTGGGAACACTGGGCTGAGTTTACCAACTTGTCGATGGGCAAATCGTTTGGGAAGACGTCCCCTTTGGAGACCTTTCCCCGGGCCCAGAGCCGTCTGGCAAACTCCCGCTCCAGCAGCCCCTCCCCTCCGCAACCCATCCGTGGCTTTCTGTGACCCTCAAACTTGAGCCGAAATTTGGCTCAGTAACTTTCCACCTGATGGTCGCTGGTCGCGCAGCTGTCTGGTGAGAAACAAGATGTCGATCCGATACTTGGGAACCTTCATTCATGTGGACGAGGACGCAGCGCCGGCCCCCAGAGGGCGAGCTTCTTCAGTGCCGTGCCGTCGATCGGCCGACAGTCAGGAGGAGCGAACGTGCCGCGAGTACCTCAAACAGCTCCCCGAGCGGATGCCCAACTGGCACATGCCAGTCAACACAGTGGCCACAGTTGTGGCCGCAGATGACGAGGCCGACGTTCAAGACACAGAGGTCCCAAGAGAGGTTATGGCCGGGGTGCCGGGTGACGACCCTGACGAGACATTCGGGGCATCAAGTTCAGCTTTTGATAGTGCGGGCAGTCTTGGCCATCCAGAATTCTGCAGCCGACCTTGCGTCTATGCCAGCAAGGGCGCGTGTGTGAATGGCCTTGCCTGCGCCTTCTGTCATTTGCAGCATGCGCACAATCCGAAGCTGAATAGGCGGCAACGCTTGTTGCTGAGGGCCATGCCCGAAGCACAGGTGATTGCGATGATGCGTGCTGCACTGAAAGCCAAACTGAAGAAGTCCCGCAACAATGGCACCTTGCCGATCCAGAAACTCCTCAACATCATAGAGGAGTTCACATCACCGATGACTTTTACCCACGACATGAAGACCCTTCTGCCGCTTTTTATCAGGCTGCCCGTTTCCAGCATGCTGGGCCTCGCAAACGTGACTCGTTTCAGGCCGGGACTTTTTTGCGACTTGCGTTCAGCCGTTCGGCCTTGTGACCGAGGGGGATAAAAGGGAAGCCCTCATGTTTTGGGAGCCGCATGCTTGGAACGACGCAGCATGAGCATGATTTCCCAGGGCCAAAAGCTGTGGCTGGCAGCTTTTAGCTGTGACCTGTGCCAGGTTGAGACGATATTGTTATTATTACCATTATTATTATTGTTATTAAAATTATCATTACTATGATTATTATTATTAGTAGTAGTAGTAGTACTATTATTCAGGTGGATCAGTGCCTGTTACAAGAACAAGCAATTCGCAATGCTTCTCATCACTTTGCCAGGTCCGACCTGTGCGAGCAACTGCGCGCGGAGCTAGCGCGGCTGAGAGACTAAGGCAGCCAGTTTCACGTGAAGCCTCACGAGATGCTTCCATTTGCTTAAGAATATGTTTTTCCCCTTGTTGGTTTTCAAAGAAGTTTATCACTACTGGATATTGTTTTTTATATTTCCGGGGGTCTTAACCAAATGGAAGGATGGTATTTGCAAAGCAAGCTGAAAGGCTGGGGTCCAGTAGCCGGACTTTACCATGGCAGTTCCAACCAAGAAGAGAAGCCGCTTTTCACAACTTGCCCGTTGTTCTGAATTAACTATGTAAACCGCTTTACCCTTTTACGTTATACCGTGTTCCTGCAGAAACGCCATAAATTTATTTTGCCATCTTGCCACTTTGCTGTGGGAAGTTTTTCGCGAAACGGTTTTTCCCGGTTCCAGTTTTCTGCGGGAAAATGTAGAAACAGTCTACCGGTCGTGATATTTTCTCATTGCGGGAAAGCCGCAAGAGAGTGTTGAGGCAAGCGCGCAGAATGGCGTTATTGCGTTTGTGTTTTTTCCAGTATGTAATGCTATGTACTGTAACGCAGCCAACACCAGCCCTAATTGAGCCTGCCTCAAACCCAACCTGAACCCATCCTGAACCCACCCTGAACCCACCCTAAATCCACCCTAAATCCACCCTCTACCACCCTTAACCATGCTAAACCTGGAACAAACCTTACCCTGAACCAGCACGGTAAGCCTACCCTGCACCCACCATAAGCCCAACAAAAACACACTCTGAACCTACCTTGCACCAGCCAGAAACCTACTTTACCCCAGCCCAACACCAACCCTAAACCCCACCTAGCCCCAGCCTAAAACCAAACCATAAACCCACTCTAAATCTGCCCTACACCAGCCCTAAACCGACTCTAGACCCACCCTAAACCTAGGCTTGCTTAACACAATGCCACTGCTGTCAATGCGTGCAAGCGTTGCCGCTATTGCGGAGTTCATCCCATTCATTCGACACGGAAGATGCGTCGAGTTATGTTGAGGTACTTACAGGATCGTGTTTGGTCGATGTGAACATCGCCTGCACCAGCTGCAGGTTTAGGTGTATCCTAGGGACCCTGTACCCCCCGTACTGTTCTGCAAAATCTATAAGGACTGACACCAGACCCACCGCCAAATACCAGCACGGCTTGCAAACGTTGGAATCCGACAGTAGTACGAATGGTTTCACCTGAGACGCTACAAGGACAGGCGATTCTGCGGATTTGGGGATCATATGTTGAGGCATACACAAAGAAGGTCCATGAGCAGATTTGTGTTTGGCACTTTGCCATGCGGGCCAAACAAAACATGATACAGAATGCTGAGATCGCTTCTGAAATCACACTAGGTTTTAAGGCTGACTAAATATGGGCGAGAATCCAATATGTGTTTGTTTCCAAGTTTGGAGAATTGCCTTGTACCAGATATGCCGTGTCTGAACCCGCGGCCCGCAGCTGAACCGATTGCCTTGTTCGCATCTCCCAAGAGGCTTCAGACTTCACAATGGCAAGGCCGTCAGTGGGCAATCGTGTTAGCTGGCAAGCCGCCAAGCTCGCTCACGAGGTCTCAGGCCATGCGAATTAATGTGCATCGCCGGTCTTTCTGTTTAAAACCGGTTTCCTTCCCCATAGCCACTGGGGGGTCAGGGCACCGGAAGTGCAAGCGCCTGGCCACTTGGCTCCGTCAGCCGGCTGTTGGAGGTATGTGGTAGGTCGATTTGAATAGGCTCGTGGGTCATCAGAACGTGCAAATCCCTTGTTGAGAGTCTCTGTGTCTGTTTGGTTCTCCAGCTCAGCGTGTGGATGTAGCTAGACAGGCCCATTACAGCCAATTTGTTCAACGCTGCTGGAAAGCCGAACGAGTAGTCCAGTTGGCACCTGTCGTGTGCCGATGCAAAGGCTCGGATAATTTGCATGCATTGACGGCGTTGCCCCCTAGTGTTGCTCAGGGCAACATGAATTTGCTGTTTGCCATTCTGCTTCCCATTACGCCTTCTGCCATTGTGTCAGTGGCCGAAGAAATGCAGAACCGAAGAGATGCAGAACTGCCTGAGGCTAAACGCAGTGACGTCCGCGGCATCTTTCCCCGTTCGAAGGTGGTTGCCACGTCAGCCTAGAGTATGTTGGCTTTTCTGCCATACCTTGTACTATATTATGTCACATCATTCTACATGTTTGATGCCTCTTACTCGAATGACTTGTTTGACACCTGCGTCTTTTTGTCCCACGAGCAACCACTGACGTGCATGGGAAAAGATAGCGGCAAACTCGGTTCAAAACAGTTACCCCCAGATGAGTTGTTGGTTCGTACACAAGCTGGTATATGCCAATGAACAAGCAAGAGCCCGGAAGGCAATCTCGCTCTTGTTTGCGCCGCAATCAGCCTCCACTGTGAGATGCGGTGCAAACGTCACTTTATAGGAACAGGAAAAGAGCGCCTGAGGGAGGGGAGCGGCTGTTTGGGGCGATCCCCCCGTTTGATTTGTCGGCCTAAGTCTTTCCCACCCCCCATTTGGATGAACGCTTGCCTTCATGTTTTTTGGTTTCCTGTCTTGCTGATGCTTGTCACAGCACGACTAGTTGAGCACCTGCAGCCTCTAGAGTGTTGCTTCTGCCCCTTGCAACGTTGGCTCGCACAAAAAAGGCGGGTGGCCTCACATGGTAGTCCTTGCTTTTTTGTGCTTGCCTTCAAGCGTGCAGCGATGCTTGAAGTCACTTGAGGTCTGTCAAAGCCTGCTACCACAAGCAAATGCCCCAACAAGCACAAGGGATGGCTCTACGCCGAAAAGCGCGCAAAGTTTGATTTAGGACCATTCCAAGGAATATCCAATACACGACCTTGCTCATGGCAATTGGCACGTCTGGGTCGATTTTTGGGCCGCCAATCCAAGCAGGATCCTTCAGGAAAGCAGATTAAGTCAAGGGTCCCTCAAATGCGGGACATCATAGCTTCCCTTCTGTGGATGTCACAATCCGCTTCGCACCAGTTGGGACTGGTGGTTTATCCGACTTTTCACGGGGAAATGAAGCTGTCCCCGGGTGCGACTCGGATTTCCATCCGCATGGTTCCGTTGTCAGCGCCTCCGAGGCTCGCGGCGGACACGGCGAAGTTTCTTCTAGCGGATCTGCCGCCGGGGGCTCCGGGGGCTCCGCGTGTCGGACATGCCAAGGGCCCGTGAGTCGACGGACGGTCTATTTGTCGTTTTTTGGCGGATTCTTGGGTTGGTTGAAAGGAAAGCCAAGACGAACACCGTTGCGCCATGTTACGGGGTTTGTCAGTAAAAAACAACAAGCACCCATTTGGGAAGACAATTTTAGGTGCAAAAAGCAAGTTTGGACTATGAAGGGCTTAGTAAACTATGCCCCGATGCCTTTTCCCCCTATGCGCACCTGACCACCAGTTGGGATTGGTGGGTCCCATTTTTCTTCGATTTTCGTCCATCGGTGTAGATGGTGTCCCCTCGCCAGAGGCAACCTACCAAAGCCACGCGTGCAATAAAACCCGTTCTATGACCAAAACCCGGGTTTCTAAGCAGCTACCGAAAGTACTCTTCAAGCTTTCAACGGTGCGGCTTTTTGGAAGTCCCCCCGAGCAAAAAGACTGTAAACCCTCTCATTTGGTTTTGAAGGCGTCTTGAAACTGTTTTTGTCGGGTGTTCCACCTTTGTGCTTTTGGAGGCCTTGAGACTTTTCATCTCCCTAGCAGTTCAACCAAAAGGCTGCCGGGTGAGTTGAAAGGATTTGGAGGGGTATTTATTTTAGGATTCTTGTTTTCTTTGTTTTTCGCTTTTGGCTTCTTGGCTTTTTGGCTTGTTGGCGGCTTTCGCTGGTTTATGCGGCTTTTGGTGGCTTTGGCTTTTCGCATCCTCTGCTTCCCAGTTCTTCTCCGGCATGCCATGCTTCGTGTCCAATTGCCGTATCACCACAAGTCTTGCAGCTATCTAGCTGCACAACTGCTGACCTTTCGCCAAGAACTGCCGTCTTCAAATCAGTTGTTGTATGTTGGATAACTTGCAGTCCAGAGTTAAGGTGTCCCTGTTGAAATCCTGTTGGGTGCGTTTTTTTGCTTTTCTCCCCCCGTTTTTAGTCTTGGCTGCATTTTCTCGCGAAATTGACGTATTTTACACTAGACCCAACATCCCCAGCATCGTTTTCAACATCCCCCGCATGTCCAACCAACATCCCCAGCATCACCAACAAGTCGTGGGTAAAAAAACCGGGTTAACGGGGTTGAACAAATGATGATTCAAATGGGGGTGCAATTCAATCCCGGAAAAAACAAAAGGAACAACAAGAAAAAAACAAAAAGTAGCAGGGTGGTGGTGGTTGGCGGGGGTGACTTCCCCTATGATGTTCGAAGAAGTGCATACATACAGACATACATGCATACCTAGATCACATAGCATGCGGTATTTTACAGCATTTTCCCGCGAAATTGGGTGCAATTAAATCTCTGGCACAAATCTAAAAAGTGGCGGGGGGGTTGGGGGGCCGGCAGCCCCCCCCCCCATGATGTTCGAAGAAGTGATAATTCAAATAGTGTAAAATCTAAAAGTAGCCGGGGGGTTGGGTGGGGGCGGCACCCCCCCCCATGATGTTCGAAAAGTGACGATGAAATCAGGGGTGCAATGATTCAAGAAAGTGTGCGATAGAATAGAATATAAAAGCACCGGGCGGGGGGGGAGGGGTTGGCGGGGGTGACCCCCCCAAGATGTTCGAAGAAGTGCATACATACAGACATACATACATACGTAGACTACATAAAAATGCGTTTTTACAGCAATTTCCCGCGAAATTGCATGTTCGAAAAAGTGATGATTCAAATAGGGGTGCAATTAAATTGTTGGTTTAGGGACTTGAACCCCTGGCTCTTGTAAAGATGGGATATCATCCCCGAAGCACCTCCGATTCGGCTCCAACCCACCTGAGAAGCTGGGTTGGGGGTTCAACCCAAGTGTCGGCCAACAAAGAGGTGCCACTGGTTAGGAGACCCCCAAAGTGGCGCAATTTGCCGCGCTAGTTTGGTTTGCACCGAGGCCGGTGCTTCTGGGCCGAAGCTTTGACCTCTCCAAAGCGCTGCTCCATGTGCGCGCGCCTGGCGATCTTTGGAGTTGGAGGTGGATGCCCCGAAGATTGCAAGCAAATCCCAAACCATGGACATTTGTAGGGTGTCCCCATATATTCCTACTTGCATCAGTGTCACTTTGGTTTCCTTTTGGCTACCGAACCCCAAAACGGGTAGCGACCTCACTGGCTGATTTCGGACTAGCACCAAAATGGTTGCAGGTGTCACCTGAAAGGCACTTTCGAAGTGGCGGAGCTGCTTGCAACGCTTGGAAAGGTGGCTGGACCGAGCCTCAAAATACCAAATTAAAAATGGGGGATTGCCGCCCAAGGTCATGGTTGGTGAATGGGACATCAAGCTCTTCTCGAGTAAATTCAAGATAGACTTGGGAACTTCCCGCAACGGACTGGTTGTTTTGGTTTGACTTCGGGGCATTTCAGGTTGTACTCCTGGAGTGTCTTCGCGACAACCCTGAGGAATAAGCACACCCAAGAGGGTTGCCACCCCCATACGTTTTGTTTTGGTTGTGACTCAACTGGGCTTAGGGGCTGGGCAGTTAAGCCTTCTTGCGGGTGAGAGCGCTGGCTTGGCCCGGCATGTTTGTCATTTGTGGCACAGGGCAAGATGCGCTTATCAGACCTTGCAGGTGAAAGTTCGAAGATTCCGAGCTCCTATCACTCCTTTCGGCTTTCACTCACAACGTTCAAAACAACCACTTTTCACAGACCTCCATAACTAGGTCCCCCAGTAGTGCCCTTTTACCCTTTTTTGGGGGAGGCTTCCCCTAAAATAAACTACAGACAAAAAGTTGGTGCCCTTATTCTAACCTCTCTACTGGAGGACCTCCATAAACTTAGAAACATCATCCCCCCCCCCCCCCCGTTTTTGGGCCGGTTTGGTCGCCCCTCGCCCCCGTCGTGGCGCCTCCCACGTCGGCCTCCCGCCAGGCCCCAGCGAGGTGCTCGCGGACCCCCGCGGCGCCGCGGCCTGCGCCACCCACCAGGCCCTCGACCTCCTGGGAGGCGCAAAAAGCGGCGAAACGGTCACCAACCGGGGAGGTTTCTGGGCTCATTCTTTCGGTTTCTGGGGAAAGTCAGAAAACGGTTTCTGTCCCTTTAATTCACCCACTTGAAAGGTGACTTTGATCATGGTAAAATAAGGAGGCCAGTAAGTGCTGTGAACTTCGGAGTGAAGTGTGGGGGCTGTTTGAGATGATTTGAGTTTTCTGTAGGGTTTCAGTTTGAAACTCAATTTGGTTTGAGTTGAAGTTGTTGGTTTGGCGTCCACAGAAAACGCACTGCCCTCTTGGGAAAAAGCGGGGACAGGTTCAGCTGGATCTCATGGAGGCTCTGACAGGAGATCATGCCGGTCCTGAGTGTTCCTTCCTTGGACCAAAGGCTGACCTTTCTGTTTGCCTTTCTGGACCTTCCATCATCTTGCCTTTGCAAAGCTGTTTGCCGGTCGGAGCAGTCTGACTTGAGGCTCAAGACCCAACTCGCTGGGTCCCAGTCTCTGTGTATCCCAACGATTGCGCCAAGTGATCTCGCTAAGTTGCTACAGCATTGTGCTCGAGCCTTGGAAGGAGCCAGTTGGGTGTGTGTTTTTTCTGGGGACCCACTAAAATAGCGGGTTGACTTCAGGTTTCCCTTTAAAATCACAAAAACGGGGTACCCTCAAAATGACACCGCCGGTTATAAAGAGCAAAAAGCGGAAATCATCAATAGGCAATCCCTGCGCGGGTCGGCCTTTGACCATCAACCCGCAGTTCGCACGGATTACATGCGCCGGTCTTTATCAGTGTTTTCTCCGGGAGACGCCAGAGGCAACATTATGCATCAGTGTCAGTGGCCTGCTGACAAGGTTGGTTTTGGGCAGATTAAAGCGTCGCCATACTTCACCAGGATCAAAACTCCTTTCTTGGTGTGTCGCTTATTGTAGGTTGGCGAAGGCGAGGCGTTCAACCCCTGACTGGCCCGCAAAACCAGCCCTGGAAGATACTCTTCAAGGTCCAACCCAGCTCCATGTGTTTTTTTCAAGCCACATGGCTGTGGGTCAAAATTCGACTACCAGGGGACCACTGGGTGTGGGTGTCAGTCCATGTTTCTACCAGGAAACCCCATTTTGGGTACCCATTTTTGACCCACACTTTTTTTTCTCCTGGCAATCCGTGGAGAACAGCTGGACCGTTTCTCGCCCTCCCGAGCTCCACGCCGTCGCGGCGCGTCGCGCAGTCGCGAAGAGGCGGCTTCGTGAAGATGGCGCAGGTGGTGGCCCACAGCCCCGCGCTCTTCCCGGAGCCTTTGGTCCGCGCCTGTCGCGGTGCCCTGGCCGACCACCTCCCCACCTCCCATCCCCCACCCAATGGGTGTGTCTGAAACACGAACCCAAAATGGTTGGGTTGCTTCGTGCATCATTTAACCAAAAGCAGGATCCCTACACCTCCTTAAGTGGGTTAACCCAGTCATTAGTGGGTTATATCCCAGGTACCTATATGTCTTCGTACTTCTTTGCTTTTGGCGAGGTTTAGGTGAGAAATATGGTGTTCCTGGGTGTCTCCGGTTTGGTGGAAAACAAACATCACAGGTTGTTCGCGTTTGAGGGCAGTCTCTGTTTTTGCATCAGGTGTGGCCCGAACTACCAACAAGTTGTCAGAGTGCACTGTTGCCGCAAAGTGTTTGGGTGCCCTTCTGAAGTTGGACATGACAATCGTCTCCAAAACCGCCTGTCAGCTACCGCTGATCGGAGGAAGATAAAAGGGGCATTCAAACACTTCACGACCTGCCGACTTTTTCCTTCGGCTCCCCCGCCAAGAGCGCATGTTCGGGGGTGTACCTCCTGTTCTTTATACTGTCTAGTGGCATTCACTACGAATGTCATTTGTACGCAAAAGGCGTCAATCATTGTTGTCAGCGACAACCGTCTGTTGAGTCTGGAGTGAGGGTCATACACTGTCTTTGTTCTCAGTGTTTGTGGAACATGTGATTTTGGCAGATATGTGATGCGGCCCTTGGAAAGAAGCCCTTGCAATTGGCGAATCCGCTTTGCAGCCTGAGTCACAAACTGCAGGCAATCTGAGATACCCATGCTGGGTCTAAAGCGGAAACATACATGTTGCCTTTGCATTCTGTCCAGAAAGGGCGAAGCATCCCCCTGGTGCCTTTTGTTTAGGGAAACCAATCAGAAACCCTGATTGTTGCACCAAGAAGCCTAGCATTTTGAGCTAGCCCTCCTTTGGACGCAGACTCTCGCACTGGTTCTGAGGTAGTCTTGCTCAAGTCTGAGCCTCGGGGGGGGACAACTGGCATGACATGAGTTCCTACATGGGACCCCCTCCCAAGATGGCTTGTCTTCACCAAACACGGTCAAATTCCTCCATTGCCTTCACCCAGTTCCAGTCTGAGCTTCGGTGGATGCCGATTCCCACCATATTGCAAGGAAACCAACCACAAACAATTTCTGACTTTGCAGGCTTTCCAACTTGTTTCCTTGCAACACGGCAGGGGCATCCACCGGAGTGTGGTTGCAACCAATGCATGTGCAGGCAGGCTTTGAGCCGGCCAGAGTAAGTGTAAGGTGGGTTGCAAAGCCGCGCCAAACGGACACCTCTATGCACATTGGACATGCCCCAACTTTTGACACTGCTCTGTCTGTTTTGAAAGAATCTCTTTGCAGACTTGTGACAGACGCATGTCACAATAGTTCCAGGAGTTCAACCAGAAAGGCAAATCCCAGCTGCGCAGGGATCCTTCTTGGCCAAACGGGGTGGTTCTGAAGAGAACAATATACGTAGGTGAGAAAGAGCAATCAAACAATAAATTGTCAAACTTAAATTAGAAAACCACCATACAGCATATAGGGTATGTGTATTGAGTTGTCCATCTTCAAACCACCGTACATAAGGTTATGTTTAAACGTATATATGGAAAGGATGCCTTGAACACCCCAGGTGCACTTGTGTTTCCTTTTTAGTGCTTGGTCCTTGATTCTTTCCGTGGCGGAGCTCTTACAATGCTTGAAGGCGCATGGGCGTGTTTCCCCAAAGGGTGAAGGATCCTCTCTAAATTGTGAACCCCCCGTTCGTCGATTAGAGCTTCATTGACCTGGGTTCCCAGTACGCTGTGCCAAGGCGGAATGATGTGGACAGGAATGTTAGAACAGCAGACGCTGGCTGTGAACAGAAGTCCCTTATTTCACGAAATCGGTTTGGGTGTTTGACCCGCTTTCACTTGTTGGACCCGCCTCTCTTTCCTCTTTACCTACATGATTTAGGGGTGGCTCGTTTACTTATAAATGGCTTTTCCTGACCTTTGAACAGTTTCAGGTTCCCGTATGACACCGGCTGGAGAGGTCAGGCCGGTGCACAAGACTGTTGCCAATCGCTTTGTTGAAGGCAGCGTCGAAGATCTTACCATCTCGAACCTTTGCTTCAGGAACACTGGTGTGTGGTTTCAGCAAGTTGTGGCGGGCACAGAATTCAACCCAGGCGGAGCCTTCCCGATTGGTCTGATGTGCTTCCGATCCCAACCCAAGCCATATGCGATGGACGGCATTTTCCAGTCCATGGTGTGTTTTTGAACAGGCCTACTATGGCAAAATCCGTACAACGCACAGTTTGCACGGATGAAACCCTCTAAATATTGGGATAGTCCTCCCAACTGGCGCAGCATTTCGTCCGTTCACTGTGTGTACAATTCACTGGTTTTGCTTGAACCCCTTAAAACAAGAAGGAAACCACTACATGGCCCACCCACACGAATAGTCTTGAACAGACCTTCGAGGCCGTGACACCACCGGCACCTTTGGATGACATCGAGCGCATTCTGCTGGAGGACATGCCGCATACAAAAGTTGGCGTTTGCTTCACAGGCCTTAGGGTTAGCGACGCCAAAGCAAAGCTCATTGGGAACGACTTGGGTGCATCGTTTGTTGCGGGAACCCCTTTTTGGCTGGTTATAAATTTTAACAGAAAGCCAAAAGGGAAGCCGCCAATTTTGAGGGTTCCCAGTCACCGATTTGAGATACCCCCACTTGACATAGTTTTAAAGACTCAACACTGGCAGTGCTTCTTGGGGAGTCCCAAGGGTTTTGTCATTGCGTGCGATGTGAGCGGTTAACACTCGGAAGAGCAAAGGTAGCGACATTGCCATAAACAAGTGTGACATTGCCATAAACAAGTGCGCCCGTCAATTTGTGTTGCATAGTTTTGAGGCCACTATACCAGGTGTTGATTATGACTGACACTTTGGTCCATCCAAGTCCAATCAATGAAATCTTAATGAATGGTGGGTACATGAATCAACCACGGATATGTGTGTGTGTGTTGTTGTTTGTTGTCAATCACTTCCTCCTACTCAGAAATGCACCTGGTTAATAATTCATATTTTCCCAGACCCCACATCTCCCAAATCTCCCAAAACTCAATTAGATTTAGACAGCGTGATTCTAAACAAGCAAATTTCCCGCCGACCCCAACTTCAGCATTCTTGGGAATGTTGAGTGTGAATACTAAACCAATCCGAAAGCAGCAGACATCCAAAGAATGACTGAGATTTCTGTTGAACTTTCTTACTCGGAAGTTGCAATGTTGAATAATTGTTTGGCCCAGAAAGGTGGGCTTGACCGGAGGACCGCGGAAGCTCCTTGCACAGCTGTACTCTATTTATATTGTTCCGACAAGTATTTCTATGAGGGGTATTTATTGGGGCGAAACGATGAATCCTACTCATCCTCCATGTATCTTTTCCAGGGAAGCCCCAACATGTTGGTTTTCCCGTTGGCTTCCCTGGAACACCTACCAAGAAAAGAGGGTACCAACTCAAAAGTTTTGGACGAGCCACCCACGTTTCCGTGTCAGGGATCCCTAACCTCAGTTCTTCAAAGCCGACCTTTTGATTTCGACTTTTGGGTTCTGCCATGGCGGTCCATGTCATGGTTACCCTATCTCCCACTAACATGGCACCTCACAGGGAGTCCCAGGAAGCTGATCTTCCAGGAAGGGCGTCCCAAAAGGGCCGAGTACCAGGACCTCGGCTTGAGCCTCCAAGACCTCTTCGACGACTTCGAGGCCCGGCCGATTGCCGCAGCCTCCATCGCCCAGGCGGGAGCGGCGGGTTGTCTCTGCTTGATGTGTGCGGACTTCGGTACCCTCATAGGTGCCCTTTTTGGTTGTTTTGCTTTAAACAAATAGATGGCCCTGCTTTACCTGGTGGTTTAATCATCTACCAGGGCCATCTATTTGCCCTAAAAGGACACCTATAGGTACCCCCCCACCAACCAACATGCAAGAGACTCTAGAAAGACTACTTTCCTCTTGAAAAGGGGAGTTCTGCACTTCCATGTCAGTTGGTGGGAGGGTATCTCTTTGTTTGAGGGTACTCCTTTTGGGTTGGTTAAATGGGAAACAACCAGAAAGAGAATTTTGAGGCTCTCCCAGTTTTGAGATATGCCCATCTTAAGTTTGATATTGTATTCAATGTGTATTGCCATATATATATATATATACACATGTGTTTCTGACGGGGGACTTCCTGTCAATGTTGGTTTGCAGAGTAGATACAGCTTGCATCCCCGGTGTTTCGAAGGTGACCCAAAGGCAAGAAAAGGTGATAAATTGGATGATCTTCAAGGGCAATGGGGTATTGTGGGTGGCTCCAAAGATGTGTGATCCTTTGCTCAGATCCAGGTGCCTGCGTAATCCAGGGCTTGCCACCCGATATAAACACCTAAAGGACGGGCTAGCCCTTAAAGTAGGTAACCCCCGATTTTGAACCAGAAGGGGTGCTCACAGGAATGTAGTTTTACAGCTCCAATTGCCAACACCTTTAGATACCTTATGATACCATCCTTTTTTTCTGCGTGCGTAGACGCTAAGTGTATGGGATGAATAGGGGCAAAGCCGGATGGATTTCATAGGGACTGAGATCCACTGGCTTGGAGAATCCGGCCCCGACAGGCCGCCATTGAATTCAATCTCTCCCGTAGGAACCATCTACTTTTTTGTTTTTTTAAGTTGTTCACCTTCCTGGACTTTGTTTGTTTGGAGTCACTGGAATGGCAACATGACAATTTGCTCTTGGAGAAAGAAGGGTGAAAGTCTATTGGCCACTCAGTTAAAGGTGTTGTTGGATTTTGGCCTGACAACAATGTTTATTGATAGGGGTAGATTCAACAATAGGGAGAGGCGATTCTGTGTTTTCAATTGTTTGGCCAGTGTTGGTTCTGTTCGTGTTGTTTCGCGCAGGGGGCAGGGGCGCGGGGGGCTGCGAAAAGCATGTACGTGTTTACCAAAATGCCAGGGGTTGAGAATTTTGCCTGAACCTTTGCGTTACCTGGGTTGGGCAGTCGAGAATCAGGTAATCCTGAATTGGTGGTTTGGATTGGTGGTTTGGAGTTGGATTTGAACCCCGGGTTCTTGTATAGGGAAGATGGGGTTTCCCCCTCCTTTTCACCACCAAACCACCGGGCTCCAAACCGCGCTTTTTGAGGGAAGCTGAAAGAAAGCAGTCAAGAACCGTTGCATTCGGGGCGCTGGCTCATTGCGATAGGTGCATGCGGCACGACTTCACTCTGGTGAGCCCTGTGTGTCACGGCAGCAAAAGGCCGCAATATGCGGGCTGTGTGTGTGTGTGTGTTTGTGTGTCTGTGTGTCTGTGTGTCTGTGTGTCTGTGTGCCTGTGTGTCTGTGTGTGTGTGTGTGTTTGTTTTCAGGATGCCTTTTCTGGGGGTTCTAAAGGGAAACCGAATGGGGAATCATTCATTTTGAGAGTCCCATCTGAGACAGACACCAAATTACGTGGCTACAGCATGGGCCATGTTCCAACGCTCCGCTATATCTTTGTGGGTTGGACATATTAGTTGTCGCTTTGGTTTGGCGGGTGATGGCACAACCGATCCTCTCAAGCAACAATGTGTCATGAGAAGCTTTTGATTGAACCCTAACTTTCAGATTTTGAACAACAGGGGGTCGGGTCAAATGTTTGCACAAGCAACTTCTACCTGCATGTTTACAGGCTCGTGGTGGATCATGCCAGAGCAACTGATGACTTGTTATTTAATCCCAATGGTTGGCACTTGTGATCCATGTGGACAGGCTATCAAAGTAGGCTTGCAACTTCGCCCGTGAAGGCAACTGACGTTGTTGGGGGGAATCCTCGTCTCAGGTCCCAAGAGATATTTAACTTGATGGTTGAGCATGTATGTTTAACCGCAACGCTCTCCTGTTTCGGCATGGCTTCGGCTTTGGGGATTTCCCGGCGTTTGTGCACCTATGAAGCTGTTGATGGGGTCAGTCGTTTGACTGTGTCTAGGGGTTGTCAAAGTCAGAACTGGAGGTTGTTTCCCTTTAACCTGCATACAACTTAATTAGGGGGCGACTTTGTCAACGCCAACATTATGGGGCCTGTGAATTTCCTTGGGGCAGAAGGTAAGCAAGCCATGCCTCTTTCCGCCATGGCAGTTCCCCTCCAGGTTCTGTTCAGAGCACCGTTCGGCAAGGCCAGCTTTTGAGATTCTACATCCTAGGTGGAAACAACTCCAGATTGCCCCTTCGAACATCACACCGCAAAGCACAGTTCACATGAGCGAACCCCAACAACATGAAACCAGGAGTGTGTATCCTTCTTGCTATTTGTCCTGGCAATGAGTTGTCTGTGCGAATGAAGCCACGAACAATTCTTGGTGGACATTCCCGCGCGGGTCCTTCATCGCGTTGCGGATCGGTGTGCCTCATTGTTTTCGCAGTTTCCCTAGCAAAGAGCCCTGTGTTCCAACTTGTGGATCCAGCTGCTAACCTGGTGATAGAAGGCCAAAGGCCTGGTCTTTGGGTCTTTGGAATTCCATGAAAGGGGTTTGTCTCATAGTGACTTGAGGTGAGTTTCACTGTGATGCTATCTCATAGGCACTGGACATACCCAAAATGGATGTCAGTTAGTTTAACACGGGGTACCAACTACAAAGGGTTTTCTTTTTCCTTTTGTTTTCCAAGCTCCAAAAGGGTTGCCGAGCCACACCTTCCTCTCGGGTATCCATGTGCAGGTTGTTTTCCTTGGGTTTGGAGTGTCCCTTTGCCAAAAGGAGTGCTCGGTTCAGGTGGCCATCTCCGGTACCAACTCCACCCAACTTAACATGGTGAACCAACTCCACAAGGTGTTCCTTTGACGTTCCTTTCGTTTTTCCTTTTGCGTCTACCAAGAAAAATCATCCTTTGGATCAGTGTCCACCTATTAAATGTTCATACTGTGGGTGGACGAAATCCTGCACCACCTAAGAAGTCTTAGAATGATGATTCTCCTGTCAATGCCAACAAACAAATGGTTTCAACCATGGCTTCAAAGTGAACGGATTTCATCCATCCCTTTAGCATAGCCTCAGGTGGTGAAGGTCCTGCGGCCCTTGGTCCGTGAACGCCTTGCCGTGGACTTTGCCGCGGTGTCCCTGGCCGCGCGCCTGGCGGACCTCGTCCTCGGGGAGGCCCCACCGGGGCCCACGGGGGACGTGGGACGTGGAGGGGTCCCCGGAAAACGCGGGGAGGGACCAGGGATGAATGGGGGGGGGGAGGGAGAGGGGAGTTTTATAGCATTTTTGTGTGGCGACTGGTTGGGTTGGGGGGAATGGTGTGTTGTGCACTTTTGAACATGCACCTTGGAAGGTGCTTTGTGTTGAAGGTTCCCGTTTGATTTAAGGGTTTAAAGGGAAGTTCAAGCTAAGTCCACCATTTGCAGGAACCACCTTGCATATTTTAATTATATAAATTATAGCAATAGATGCAAACATATTGTGGGTTTCCCATATAATACCCGAAGCCAGCGTACCAAATCTATAGGTGTTGTATACAAGGGCTGTGTTTGGGTTCTGTGCCTTGGATGGGCTCGATGCATTTCCCGGGCAGCAATTTAGAAGAACTGACTTTGGGGTATGCCCATGTGGTAGCTCGGACCTTCATTGGAGTGAGCAATGCAGAGTTTGTTGTGTTCATACGCGTGCTCCAGGGGCTGTTTATACTTCTCGTAAGCCTATTTTGTAGACATTAACCTTGTGGATGGCACGTGCGGACCCATCCTGTAAAGGAACCAACTAGGTCCCTTGATCCCAATCAGTTGGACTTTCACTTGTTTGGTTAGGGTGGACTTAACGGGTCAGGATGTTATAACCCGAACAGGGACAACTATGGCTTCGTGGGTTATACCGTTGCTAGCCACTTACAAAGTATCCTGCACAAGTCTAAAATCCCACTTCCCGTGACAGGCCAGGAGAATCCGATGGAAAGTGCTCGAAAATCCAATGTTGGTTCCTCACAAAGATGATTTCCGAGAGCTACACACATGAATGTCCGCTATTGTGCAGAAACAGAAACTGGGAATGTAGCTGTCGGGATAAATGTGGCTGAACCTGCATCTTGATGCCCGTTTGCCGAGTTCGGTATTTTTCGCTACGCGTTTGATTAATGGTTGACTGTTGCTTGTTTCCCCTTGGACAGCGAGTTAAGCAAACACTTTCTGGTTAGAAGCTCCGCCACCGACCTTAAGCCCTGGTTGGTGACCAAATGCCCCCCGCCCGCCCCGGGTATTGCATCGTTTTTGTGGCCCAAAACACCGCCTCGCGTATCTCCCACTGAAACGTGACCCACTGAAAGGGAAAATAGGTCCTGTAAAAAGACACAGTCCCAGGTGCCAAAGTGCACACCACTCCCCTGGAGCCACGCCTATCCTTCCGATCCCTTGGCATCAGAACCATCGAATCGCCAGCATAGCGGAGCGGCCAGGATGTGGTGCTGCAGATGGTGAGCGCTTCCTTGGCCGTTTGCGTTGAGGCGGGTGGGTCGGTGGATGGGTGGGTCGTTTTCAGTTTGTTTGTTTGTTTGTTTGTTTGTTTGTTTGTTTGTTTGGTTGTTTGTGTGTCTGTCTGTTTGTCCTGTCCTGTCCTGTCCTGTCCTGTCCTGTCCTGTCCTGTCCTGTCCTGTCCTGTCCTGTCCTGTCCTGTCCTGTCCTGTCCTGTCCTGTCCTGTCCTGCCAGTCTGTATCTGTTTGTCTGTCTGTTTGACGTTGTGGCTTCAGTTCGGGTCGCGGCACGACTGGGCTTTCAGTCAATGAAATCAATATATTCATATTAAAAGACATGCTAGGCATCTTCAGCGCCTTGAATAATGATCGAGTGGTTTGGCCCCTTTGTCCCCGAAGGGAACCTTAGATGAATGCTAACACACTCGTTCCAGGTTGCACTGATGTTCTCGGCGTGCAGCGACCTAGCACCCCCCAGGATCATACAAGAGTCCCTGAGTGGGTGTGTTGGGACCTGCAGTAATTATCCTGAAATTGAAAGCGTCCAGAAAGGAAGCCAAGTGGTCATTTGCTATTTGTGGGGTCAAACGAAAAGCCCTGAAATCAATCATGGAACAAGGAGCGCATTTGCATGGGGAACACCGATCCAGCTGTACACAATGTCTAAAAAACGATGTCCGTGTTCAAAATTGAGACCCAACTTTCAGCATGTTATCGCACCTTCCATGCAGCATTGGTTCCATGTGACACTCGTCGACCAGGAGCTTCAGAGGGCGGTGATGGCGGAATGTGACCTTTCGGTGGAGCGCCAAAATATCGAGGACGGGAAGGTCGGAAGGTCGGAGATTCACGAGCCCTGCAACTGGAGAAGAACCGACAAGTTTTTACGCGGGATCACCATTCGGGAAAGCCCACCAACAGATGACTTTCACGTGGTCATTTGGGGGCCACAAATTCTGATCAAAACCCAAGTGAATGTGCAGCGTGTCTCAAACATGTCGAGCCACATCCCCCTTTTTGGAGCCTTCAAAACCAAAGCAAACTAGCCACTCGCTGCAAGCAAGCACGAACTGTGTTGGGGAAGCTATCTTTTATCCCTTTTCTCGCTTGAAGGGACAAGGAACTCTCTCCTAAACAAAGATGGAAGTGTGCAGGCCAACTGGAAGACTACCTTTTGAGAGCGAACAAAAAAAGACATTGTTCTTGGAGGGTACATGGCAAATGGTTGTCTACCCGATGTCTTTCACCAACAAGGACGTGCAATCATGAATGGACTGCCAAGGCTAAGTTAGTTGCAGTATAATGTCTTTCCGCCACATGGGTTGAACTCCAACTGGGATATGGCCTGCCCCTGAAATGAGCTTCAGTTTGCCTTGCACCCCATCAAAAGGGAACAAAGCAAACAAAGGACGCACCCAAAGAACAAGGCCTGCCGGAGATGTACAAAGGAACTTCGGTGTCCAACCCCTTCCGCAGTCAAGGGCGCATTCCTGTTCCAAGCGGATGCTCAAGCAGTCTGGAAGCTTGACAGCTCCGACCCACAACGATTTCCTATTTGCCCTTCAAAGGGTTCATCCCCTTGCTCTATGGATCTTGGTCAGGTCAGCCTTCACAACCAAAAGCCCAAGGAGTTTTGGGCTTTGTTGAATCACAAGCTTCAAGAGTCGGCTTGGCAGAAGGGAATGTTGCAGCAATATCTCGCATTGTGCTGTCGCTTGAGACTGTTTGCGTGAATCTGCGCAGTGCAATATGCGGAATAGTGTTGGGGAATAGCCTGCATACTCCTAACAGTTTGAGGCATGTGAAGATGCGAACTATAGATCAGATCTTTCTGTCCGGCACAGCAGCTTCCCTATATCTTCCGGCTTTCCCAGAGTCAGGAGTTTGTGGTAAGGCAATCCAAGAATTAAGACGCCTCCTTTACTTTTGAACATACACCCTACGAGGATTCCCATTGGGGTCCTGGGGTATGCCCGTGGATCCCAACCTTGCAAGGACTTCAGAAACTGGCTGGAGACGTCTGTGACTTGACTGCAACCAATAAAAGGCCCCTTCTGACGTGCTGAGGCATGCCGAAAAGCGTGGCCTGCTAAGGCTTGCCGATTGTGTTGTGTAGCTCTTTGTGTTTTTTCGACCTTCCCCTGAACCATGCTCATGCGTTATTTTTGCTGCTGTAGGTGATGATATGTTTCAAGCTAGCCCCTGAACCATAATGTTGCGTGAATCCTATGCTTGATTGTGTGAAGCTTGATGGGTGAACTCAACTCGTTTGATTGTAGCTCTGCACAACTACCGCCCCCATGTTGCACGCTCCTTTCACGGGGAAGCCTGAGTTGCTGTTGCTTTATTGTTCACACACGTATCATTTTGCTTTGGACTATAGCTCGAATGGGAACGTGTCAAAACAAGGGACCCCTCCAGATGTGTAGGTTCATGTTGCTTCTTGAAGCAGTCATCTAAGAGGGTTCCCAGTTTGACACACAGCTCTATTGTGTGCCATGGCATGCGTATAGCAAGTGGATAGGTTTCTGCCACCGTCCACAACTACCGGTCGCTCTGTGCAAATTCCCGGTGAAGACAGCCAGCACGCTGGTGGCTGTTCGTTCACGTGAAACCCAAAATTTCAAAAGGAACCAACACGAAGCCAAAGAAAGTCACAAACCAAGGAGGAGACTACAAGTAGCCACAAAAGCAAGGGAAAGGCCATCGGGAAGCCAACACTCAGCCCAAAAGAAGCCAACAAATACGCCCACTACATAATGAAGTAAAGAAGTAAACCTACTAAGTAAATGAATAAACAGACATATAAATCAACAAATACCTATATGGATATATGTATATATATATATGCATATGTCAATGAGCTTCTATAGTTAGCTTTGAGCCAAAAAGAAGCCGACAAGATCGACCGAGTCCAGCTTCGGATGCTTCGAGGTGACCTTGAAGCGGGCGCGTCTCAGAGAAGCGGTGCGTGTGCCTCGGACCTTCACCAAGGCCTCCTCTGCTCCTCGGCGAAACGGGGGGAGGGGGACGGGGGACGGGGAGGGGGGGGTGGTGCTGAAGCTAAGCTTTGGTGCATTTTTTGCTTGGATGATAGGACTTTGACTTTTTGCCATTAAACCACTAAAAGTTAAACTAAAAGCAAGCGAGCAAGTGAGTTGACTCGGACTCACTTCTCCAAAGCGAATCGACGGGCCGGATCTGACTTTTTTTCCGCCTTTGGGTCAGTTTTTTGTGGTGCCAAAAGGTAAACCTTGGGATGTTGAAGCTGCAGCATAGGCAGGCACTGGCCACGCCACATCGATAATGCCCGTGCGTCATATCTGGAGAATCACACCCAAGACCTGGAAGGAAGCGAGGTTCCCCCAACGCGAGGGTTTGTCTTCAGGGAACTCCCAACATGGCTTTGGTTTTGCTTGTGTTATCATTTTAAAACCAACCAAAAGAGGGTCCCGCCCCCCCTTAAAAAAAAGCAAAGGGTAACATGTGTCCTTTCTCGGGGAGGGGTTTCCCAACATGACTAATGTAGGGGGCAAAGTGCTTGCCAATGGTTTACTCCAATCCTGACCAAAAATGTTTTACCAGCTGTTTTGGCCCTTGTAACTTGTATTGCAACCCCCTCCCATGGTGGTGGAACGACCTGGCAGGTCCATTCAAGAGGAAAGTTGTCGCGGGGCCAGTCAGGTTTCCTATTTAGTGGATGGAGGGAGTTACCAGAGAATCCAGCTGCCCCTTTGGGTGACCATGGAATGCTTGACCAAGGAGAGTACAGCCAATATACCTCACGCAAGTGGTTGGCAACCCCGGTTATATCCCACAGATCGGGGCTAGTTCACAATGCCAAGGTCATAGTGATTTTCTAATTATCCCACCCTTCTTGCCCTTTAAGTGCTGGGTCTTTGTCGGCAACAGGAGGGAGATGTAACAACAAGGTGGGCAGGGAGCTTTCGGCCTGGAGCATCTTCAGACTTTTCTTGGGTCCCTAAAAACGTTTCGGAGGCCAAGGGAAAAGAAAGCAGAGCAGATGGTTGCGGCTCTGGTCATTTCGATTGTGTTTGGTCCCTCCAACTTGGTTGTTTTCTTGCGGGCCCTGCATTGGGGTCATGACCCGGGCTTGTTGCCTCACCCAAACAAAGCAACACACACACACACACACACAAAACACTGAACCCCGAAAAGCACCCCAAAACAACGAAGCCCTAAAACCGCCAACCCTGAAACCGCCACGCCAAGAAAAACACACATACACACACCCCGGCCTGCGCTTGCTCGACGCACCCCGAGTCCCGGGTACTCACCATGGAGCGCATCCACGGAGTGGCCTTCTCCGAGATCTGCGCACGCCACGAGGCGCACTTCGCCGCCCTTCGTGGTACTGTGGACGGTTGCGAAATCCAACGCACCACCCAACAAAGCTTGGGATGAGTCGATTCCCCCTGTAACCGAACAAATCATTGTTTCCCGTTGTTTCAAAGTGGTGCAGGATACCGTCCATCCACATTAGGGTCCCACGAAAGGGTTGGAAAGGACGGGGGCGAAAGGAACCCATTCCCTGGTAGTTTCTTTATGGGTTTTGGGTGGCTCGCTTTCCAAAGCCCCCCCCCCCGCCCCTCTTTTTTTGGGGTGGCCCTTTTCCGAAGGAGCGGTTTGGCCTTGAACCAACAGGGAGGTTTTGTTGTGGCTTACACTCATGTGACACTGGCACCCTGGTTAGTGCAAAAAGGCTAAGCGCCCTTTTTTGGTCGACTTGGTTGAACATAGATGGTTTCAACTGGCTTTCATGCTGTTTTTTCTACTTTCATTCATGTTGCCCAAGACCGATATCTCGTTTGTTTTATTTCCTCTTGTGGTTCTCCAAATAAGGACCAGAATCAATCTGTGTTTTGTTCTTGGGGCCAAGGCCAAGGCAGAAAAATCCAGGATGTTCGCTTCACTTGGTAGGTCATGGCTATAGCCTGCCTAAGTGGGTGGTAAATCGATTCTCAAGCCCAAGGCGTGCATCCCTCGACAGCACGCCAGGCGCCTGATCAATGGCAGGCAGCCCTCACGTCCGCCCTCACGGTGGCTGCTTTGTCGGTGATCGACGGCACCGCCATTTTCCACGCGACTCGGCTTGAGTCCAAGCCCTTGTGATCGCCACCCTGAACCCGTGCCTCCAGTGACGCTTTTCTTCTGCTTAAAGCATTTTTGAGGAGGATATTACCTTGAAATCACTGCCAAGACAGAGTGCCCTTTTTTGCGATGGCCACTGGGGGTTTGGGCCACTTACTCCTATTTTCAGGAAGGTCCTGCCGCCTCAATACCCGTCTTTCTTCCTGTTGGTTGTAAAGTTGGAACCCGTGACAGGAAGTATGTTTTTAGTTTTCCGTGCACGTATTCGCAAATGCAAGCTTATGAGGTTTGTAATCCTATCTACCAAGCCATTTGGCAGCGTGGCAAGGGTCGGCGACAGGGGGCAGGGTACCTTTGCTCATCGATCCTCCTGTCTATGCGGACGACTGAGAGCGCAGAGTTGGCAGCTGCCAAGCGTCCCAGCTCCTTCATAGGTCGCGCCACCCATCCACAACTGTCCAGATGGCAACTGAGCAAGGGTTATCAGCTAGTGTTGACCCAGGATTGATAACTCTGGCAGATTCATGTGCAAAGGGGATGCTTCCAGCAGGAGGGAAGGACACCCACTTAATTTGGCTAGCCCCCATTGTTAAACCAGGTGTTGTTTTATCCTGAGCTGACATTGCGAACAAGCTCGACACTTCATGCCGAGCTGCCCAAGACCAACATCTTTCAAGTTTCTAACTTTTGTTTGTCCTTGCTTTGCTGCAGCTGATGAACAAGTAAGAGGTGTTGCTCAAACCCCAGTGCTACGGTGAACAAATGACAGTTGTTGTTCAAACCCCAGGGCCGGTTTCCAAGCATAAAGAACAGAACTGATTCTAGGACCTTTGTTTTGCACACGCGCTCAATATTGTGGGGTTTGCACATGTTTTTGTTGAACGAAACAACGCGACATGAGTGTGTCTTTGTTTGAGGGCACCCCTTTTTGGGCAGGATTTGAAGAGGAACCAAAAGGACAACCACTCACTTTGGGAGTCCCCAACAGCAAGACACGCCCAGGGACACGAGGCTTTCCTTTGTTTGAAAGCGGATTCGAAACCAAGAGACCCCAGAACTGAGCGCCGCTTCTGAGGCGGACTTGCATGCGGGCAACATGATCGCCGTGCCAGGCGGGAGCTGTGGCAATGGTACCGAAAAGCCGCCGCCGTTGGGCTCTGTATCACCCCCTGTCCCGTGGCATGCTTCGCTTTTGGGACACTCCCCGAGTATTGACGACAAGCTTGCGGGGTTGACGGCGGGGATCGTTTTTTGGTTGGGTTTAGGAGTCTTGCAGGTGTGGGGGTTCTCCTGAAAGGGGATGCCTTTGCGCAGTGAGGCTGGGGGGTTGTGTTAATTTGCGGGGCATTCGCCTCAGTCTGTCGCCACTTTTTCTCTTCTCACTTCCCAAGTGTCTGTACATATATACGTGTTGGGTCATCATTATAAACGAAACCTTTGGTCACTTTGTTGGGGGGCCAATCTCGATTGGAAGTGCTTCCAGTGCCATTCAGGCAACTATCGGCTGACTTGATATTGGCCGATCGAGCGGCGTTGCGGGGGACGTCTCTTGTCAGTTGATATGCTGCCTTTTTTGAGGGTACTCTTTTTCGGGTTAGTTTAAAGGGAAGACCAAAGGGAAACCACCCCATTTAAGGGGTTGTGGTTCCTTTCCACGTGGAGCACCCGTACACCCCGAACAAGCTGCTTTCGGGTCTCATATGTTGGGCAGGTTTTGCGAAGACAGATTTGGGTGTGGTTCCATTTTTGAGTTGGTACCCCACTTGTTTTGGTGGTTTTCAAAGGAAGCAACATGTTTTTGTTTTTGTGTGTCGCGGGGGTGCCCAAAAAGAGACACTCATTTGCGGAGCAGCGAAACTCGGTATCATTTTGCTATATTATGCCTCTTTTGCTCTCTACCGCGGATTCCAGGGTAGACTTCTTGAATATCTAAGGATTGGTTGTGTCATATATGGGGTTCTACCCACTGCGACGACGCTACTCATGTGAGGCTATGTCCACACAAACAGCGGCTATGTTGGACCATTTTGGGTCATTTCGAAGGGGTGCATGCAGAACAAGAGGTTTTGATCATAAGTCAAGCGAACCTGGGCGTACTATATTGAGTTCCCTTCAATTCACATTGCAAGACTTCACAAGATGCCTGGCTCAAGACGGGGCCCAACTTGCTAGGGTCATGGTGCGTCAGGACAGCCGGACGGTGGCGACGGTGGGCGATGCCCGAGTCACGCTGGTGGGTCAAAACGAGAAGGAGGAGAAGTGCGCGAGCCACGGTCCACGGTGGGCTCGACAAGCAGAGGGTTTGTTCATCGCGCTGGTGGCCGCACTCTCCACCTTCGTCATGTCCAGTCTGCAAGTGTTGCTGAAGGTTGAGCTGTGGGTGCCGCCGTTTGGCGCGGTGGCACTGATCTTTGCGGCCGACGCAGTAAAAGCCGCCAAGGAAGGGGAGAAGATCATGTGCTTCAAGACGATACGGAACACGATTTTGGAGGCTTGTGTGGGTGTTGCAGGTGCCTGCTTGCTCACAGTGCTCTTGGCACGGCTCTTTCACTGTGCCGACAACCCCTCAGTTTTGCGGGCCTCCGCCGTCTTCGTCGCCGCTTTGTCCATGTCCGCCAACCCCAGCAGCGGCTTCTTCCCGCCGGCGGGGGCCCTCTGTGCGCTCCACGTGGAGAAGGCCGTGATGTTGAAGGGGGCCTTGCCGGGCTTCGAGTATGCGCTCTTCCCCTGCGCCACCGGCGTGGCGCTGCTACTGGTCTTTTGCCGCATCTTCACCTTCATGATGGCGCCTCTTTGGGCGCTTCGACCAGACAAGGCCGAGAAGGAATTGGTGTCCCCATGAGTCCGGTCTGCATCAGGACCAAGTCCTATGCTGTGAAATCTACTACGTACCTGGACCCCCAATTCAACCGTACAAGCTTCACCAAGCATAATCTTGGGATGACCCCCATTTTTGAAGCAGGCATTATGACGGCCCAGGTATGGCACTACGCACTTTTCCCGTGTAACATATTTCCGGGCCGAAATCGGCCAGCGAAGAAAGACTTGGCTCGATCCGATCCTAGCAGCTGAGACTCGAATGAGTCGAGAGTGAGTGCCATGGTTTCAAAACCCGAAAAATTCCATGTGTGTACATATATAATATATACACATATCATATATAGCTGGACCCTGAAACTACTCAAAAAATGGAATTTGTCAATCATATCTTTTTGGGCAATGAGCCATCTTTTCGGCATTTCAAGGGTCCAGGTAGATCCGTTCTGTAGTGGCTGCATCGGTGGTTGCATCTTTTGGACTACCCTATTGTGGGTGGTTGTCTTATCTTACCATTTCTCTAGAGGACACTTCCCCATTCTTTCCAGGGATCCTTTTTCCAGAAAACCAGCTGGTTTTTAAGAAAATAACGATGGTTGAACATAATGGACAAGGAGTCACCCCCTAGAATTTCGGGCGCTCCTCATTCGACGACCTTGGCTTGTGTTTGCATCACCTTCTTTTCCGCTCAGGGCCTAGCGGCTGCCAGCAGGTCGCCGGGGGCCCAGCCGAAAGAAGGGAGGCCCATAGAAATCTCTGATCCAACAGCTGTGGGTCAAGAATAGGTACTCAAAATGGAACCCTGGCAGATGGAAAAGACTAAAACCTGCGGTCCCCTGGTGGCTTATTTTTGACCCGCACCTATGTTGCTTTTGTGTTTTTCAAGGGGATGTCTCATGTTTTCGCCCTCTTGCTTTCAAGCGATCGTCACTAAATGTTTCCATGGATACCTTGAAAGCTTCCTACAGGCCACCTCTCAGGCCGATGGGTCCTTGACGGATGGCCATGGCTGGAGCTGGTCCAATCACCGGATCAAACGTGACCTGTACGATGTTCAACCTACGAACCCTCATCATACCTTCAAAGATGGGTTGCCCCAAAAGTACGGTTGGTGAATTCGCTCTTCTGGGTAGTTTGACACCCCAGGTACTTAGTAGGTTGCAAGCAAGGTCCTTCAGGTTTCTGGGGTAACTGGGGTTTCGGCGGCGTTTCCCATGGTTATAGTCTGACCCCCAAGCCGACAGCAACTTGGAGACAGTCCTTGGGCCATGCGCCATGGGGTCCAGACATTCTTGGACACAGTACCCGCAAAAAGATGAGCAACGGTAGATAGGTGGATGGATAGACAGACAGATGGATTGGAAGGATTGATAGATTTGCACACCTGTATCATGTAGAACACAAAAGTGATCAAGTTTTGAGGGGTACCTTCCCCATTCTTTCCAGGGATCCTTCTTTTCAGGAAACCTTCGGTTTTTGAAAAGAAGGATGGTTCAAAAGAGTGGACAAGGAATCAACCCCTAGAAAGTTTCCATTAAACCACTAAAAGTTAAACTTGCACTAAAACGGGGAGCAGAAAGCAACCAAGTGTATCATGTATAACACAAAAGTGTCCAAGTTTCTATTTCATCCGGGGTTTCCACTATGCTTCACGATCCCCGCTGGTGCCCGAGGCCTTTATCGACTTCGGGTGCTGCGGCAAGCTGCCGCCGGCGCTGCGGGGCACGCTGCTGATGCAGGCCTCAGCACCTCCGGCAGAAACAAACTTTGAGCGACTTGGGCGCTGGGAAATGGGCTGCCAAGAACCAAAACCTGCGGTCCAATTCCTGGTGGTTTGCTTTTCACCTGAGCCGTGGTGAACACATTCCTACTGTGGATGGGAAAATAATTCCATTTCGCGCACGTTGTTTGTTGATACATTTGGGGAATCAAATGATTCCAGGCGAAACAAAATGATTTCGTCCATCCGCAGCAGGGTAATTTAGTAGTTCCCCAAACCCACACCGAGCGCCCATTTAGGTTTGCCAAGAATGTTGCCCATCCTAAAGTAAGGGGGTGTCCCCCTTTAGTGCCCCAATTTAAAACCCCAACCCGCCCACAGGACCTGTTGGGCGTCGAGTGTGGTTTAGGTTAAGAGCTTCAGGTTCAAGGGTTTGGTAAACCACCCCAAAACACTGGCCCCGCGCAGTAATTCGGGTTTAGGTTTAGGGCTGAATGTCGTTTGTGGGTTTAGGGTTTTAGGGTTTTGGTTTAGTGGTGTTGGGGTTTACATTTCGGGTTTTTAGGGTTTAGGTCCCGGGTGTTTAGGGTTTACCTGCCGTAGCCCAAGTTTGCAAGTTGCGAATGGGACCCTCGTCAGAGCTTCGCCTTCCAAAGTCCCGAGACGTGCAGATCCTAACCGCTTCCGAGCAAAGCCGATTGCGAATTCTGGGGAATGGTTGGGTGATTCATCGGGTGTTCACCCTCGGATGACCCTGGCTTTGTAGCGCCAGCATCAAAGTGATGAAAGGATCACAAAACAATGCCGGCCGCTGAGAAGAACACGGCTTCCGAATGTTCCCAAAACAGGACCCCCCGGAAAAAATGCGATTTGGCCGCCGGTGACCAGGGGTCGGGGGTTGAGGTTCTCCATAGAGGGCATGGTGGGGCTGCATTCGAGTTGTCAGCCTTGGAGCAAGCAAGCATGGCAAACCTCAAAAAGTCAATGTGTGGGTGGCTCAAAATCAAGAGCCAGGAGACCGCAGGTGTGCATATACTTTCCATTTGTCATGTTTGGCCCCATTTTTGAGCACCCAACTTCTCAAGGATGTTCCCGAAATCTGCGCGGTTCCATCTCCAAAGACCGGCTAGCCGAGACCTCCGAAAGAGGTCGAACAGGGCTGTAGGGCACATTCGTTACAGGGGGATTCTCCTTGGGAGCCAAGGCATTCGCAGGCTCCAGGCTCGGCAAATGGGAAGGAGGGCGGAGTAAGTGAAGATATTATCGGTGTTGTGTTTGCCAGGAACCAGAAGGACAGCCCAGTTTTAAATTCCCACGTTCCTTATATGATGTTCGGCCAAAATGTCCCGAGCTTTTTCAGAATGTCCCGACTTGTTTGTGGTAAAATGTGGGAGGAACATTGCAAGAGCGCGCAACCTCACAAAATCGGGGACTCGCGAATTCCCCAATGTCCTTTGCGGTGACCGTATAGTTTGACCGTGGCTCATGTGTTCCTTCTTGGCTGTTGAAGTTGGCTGGTTGTAAATCGAGTTTCCTTTGATGTTTAAAGTGGACATGGAATGGATCCTGCTTGGGCTGGGCCAGTTCTTTTGAAAGCTGATCCTTCAGTCGGGAACTGGCCAGTTGGAAACTCCAAGTTGCACATGAGCTGGTCATGTAGTTCATTTAGTTTGTGAGCAGAAGGAAATTCACACATTGGTAAAAGGTCCGAATTCGATTATTTTCGTGCTGGAATTTGGCAAATGTTGCGTTTGCCTGTTCTAGAAACTGAATTGGACACTACTTTGGACGGACTTTGAAAGAATTTAGAGGAAGCCAACCATTCATTGGGTTGCAGGGTTTGCTTCTTCACTCCGCGCTTGGGCAAGGCATTGGGCCCTTTCAAGGAGCGTGCCTGTACTTCAGTCTATTTTCCTACTAAACCTTGTTGCCTGAGAGCATTTGTGTTGCAGGGTTCAGCATGTCCGCGCTGAGAGGTAGAGCAAGGCGTGGTTGACACTTGCAAAAGACAGCCTGCTCCAATGCTCGTCCATGGTGAGCTTGCATTGCGGGAGATGGCGTGCGCGAGAAACACGCATGGCAGGCTGTCAAAATTAGGACCGAAATTGGACACCAGAAAGTGTCAGCCATGTATTCCCCAATAATCGAAAACTCGCAGGTTTTTGCAACCACTGTGGCTATCATTGTTTCTGAGGATTCTGTACATGCGACTGGGTTGAAGCATGTTGAAGCAGTTGCATCAAACAGCTGGTGTCTTTGGAGTTGTTTGAGCCCAACTCCCCCAAATGCTAGCTTACCTAACTTACCTAACCGCGAGTCAGAGGAAGCAACCTGGTGGAAGTTGGATTGTTGCCCGTCTAATTAGGGCTGGCTTGTCCCAAAAAGTGCAACCAGAGGTTTAGTACTCCCGGGCTCCCATTGCAAATTCCAAGACCCCGAACTGATGGGGTCATGATGCGAAGATTCATGGGCCTGAAACTAATACTGTGAGTAAATGGGTCAACCGGAGGGAACATTGTTGCTTGTTCCAGGGCACACACAAGCAACCAACAACAAATCAATCAATCAATCAATCAATCAATCAATCAATCAATCAATCAATCAATCAATCAATCAATCAATCAATCAATCAATCAATCAATCAATCAATCGAGCAACAAGCAAGCAAGCAAGCAAGCAAGCAAGCAATCAAATAATCAATCAATCAATCAATCAATCAATCAATCAATCAATCAATCAATCAATCAATCAATCAATCAATCAATCAATCAATCGAGCAAGCAATCAAACAATCAAACAATCAAACAATCAAACAATCAAACAATTAAACAATCAAACAATCAAACAATTAAACAATCAAACAATCAACCAACCATTCAAACTATCAATCAATCAATCAATCAATCAATCAATCAATCAATCAATCAATCAATCAATCAATCAATCAATCAATCAATCAATCAATCAACCAATCAATCAATCAATCAAACACAAACAACCACTCACACAAGGAAGCACACAAGCACACAAAAAAAACAAAAAAACCAAAAAAAAAAAAACAATCAAACGTGAAGCCATCCAACCAACCAGCCCAATGAAGAACCAGCCAACCAACCCACCAAACAAACAAGCAAGCACACAAACAAACAATCAAACAAGCACACAAGCAACCACGCAAGCAAGCAAAAGAAAACAAACAGTCAAACATCTAGCCATCCAACCAACCAACCAGCCAACGAACCAAACAAACAAACACACACACACACAAATAGATAAACACACAAACAAACACTTGTCTCACGGGTTCAGCGGCGACTTCAAAAGGCCCGCTCTGGTCGTGCTGGGAGAGTCTTCTGAGCATTTTCTACTGTTTGGACGACGGGTTCATGCTGGGTTCCTTTTTCACAAACTCCAATAGCGTACTGAGCTTAAACACAAGGACAGTTTGCACTGCTTGAGCCAATCTCCTGTGGAAGCAAGTTCCCTGTAATCTTTTTTTTCTGACAGTGGCAACAAGAGCTTCTGGAGTCACATAGTTTTGGAAAGCCATGGATGCAGCGATGGGGCATGAACCCGAGTATTTTCGGCTGGCTCTGCTTCTTACAAGTTGGGGGAGGACCTCTGCAGCCCCTAGTAGTTGAGGACGTCACTCTCAAACGGAGCACTTTTTCCATTTTGCTCGTTTCCACACCACTTGTTTCCCCTGAGATTTTGGCAGAGCCTGGAAATGGACGTCACATCGGTTTGACGTTGCTGGTTTACGTATTGACATATGATGATTTCGTCGCAAACCTGTTTGTGGTAGGTGGGAACCAACCAGCGCTGCCTGGCTACCCCCCCCCCCCCCGAACTGTCAGCCAAAAGCCACCTGTCCCTGGAAATGTTTGGAGCCGAGCGGTGAGAAGTCAGGCCGGACGTACGCCAGTTCTGCGAGGCCCGAAATTGGGGGGTTTTGGGCTGGCCACGTTTTGAGGAGTTTCCATGACACGAATGATGGATTTTAAGCTTCCAAACGGTTGGACATTTTTCTTTTAACCTGGAGTGTCTTTCTGACTCGAATCAACATGGGGTCATGACCCAGGAACTTAAAATATGTCCCGAAATCTGGTCCTTAGGCAGGAACTTGGAACAGCGATGGATTTGAGTAAACCACATGGGCGTGTCTCAAGATAGGGGACACACACAAATTGCAAAATTCCTTTGGGTTTCCCTTCAAAATCACCAAAGAGGGTGCGCACAAAAAAGTGCACACCCACATCGACCTTTTGATTTGACGGGTCAAGCCCCCATTTTGCACGGCCTGGTTGGTTGTGGCATAGATCGATTACAGGACACTCCGAAACCAGGAAGCCATTCTCCTGGTTTCCATTTCTTGCTTTCAATCCACGGCGATCAGTCTGGCCGGTTCGACACGGAAGCACCCACAGTTGTGTTCTGGAACTCTCCATAGCGGTGCCTGTAATTACTGCAGGAACTCGCATCTCACTGAATCTGGGCTTCACGCCACTTCTCATGAAACATGAAACCGTAGTATCCTTCCTGTGTTCAACATCAAGCAAGTGTTGGGCAAAATGCCAGATGATTGGGCAGCCGCCTGACAACTGTTGATTGCTCGTGCCCATACCCATTGATTTGTGAGTGTAGGGTTATGCTATCCACATATTGCATTTGGACGAGTTGCCTCAAGGAAACGCATAGGAGAAACTCCCAAGAGAAGTGAGTAGCACAGAGAATACCAGATCTTGGGGCAACCCCCGATTTTTAGCAACCATTCAAATTGCAATGTTCAGGTGTATAATGAAAGGATCCCTGATGGATTGGACTGTTGGTTCGTGTTTGGCAACTGGAATGCACCCAAAACCCTTCTGAAGGCGCCATGAGGGTGCATGTTTACTTGCCTAGTGGAGCTGGTTTTTCCACAGAGCTCTTGCCAGCTACGCCCATCAGCGTGCTGAAGGCTGCAGCGCAGCAGCATTTCCAGCGCCGCTTGAAGCTCACTGCGAAAGGCCGGCAGCTCGATTTGACGGCCACGCTGGGTGAGGCCGGGTTGCGAGATGAGGATGTGGTGGTAGCCGTTGCGCAACTTGGCAGATTGGCTGCCACTCGCAAGGCATTTGCTTTGTGTGGTCACGGAGACGAGGTTGTGACCTCGGGTAGTCCAGAATCTGGGGGAGACAGCAGCCAGGTGCAAGATCAACTGAGACACGTGCATCACATCCAAGCAGCCGAGCATGCTTTTGCGGCCATCCTTGAATCTGGGGCTGTTGTGACCTGGGGTAATCCACAATGGGGCGGAGACGGCAGCAGGGTGCAAGAGCAGCTGAGGAACGTCCAGCACGTCCAAGCAACTGCCCGTGCTTTTGCTGCCATTCTTGAATCTGGGGCTGTTGTGACCTGGGGTCATCCACAGTTCGGCGGAGACAGCAACCAGGTGCAAGAGCAGCTGAGGAACGTCCGGCACGTCCAAGCAACTTACAAAGCTTTTGCTGCCATACTTGAATCTGGGGCTGTTGTGACCTGGGGCGATCCAAACTGGGGCGGAGACAGCAGCCAGGTGCAAGAGCAGCTGAGGAACGTCAAGAACATCCAAGCAACTGAACGTGCTTTTGCTGCCATACTTGAATCTGGGGCTGTTGTGACCTGGGGTGAGCCACACTTCGGCGGAGACAGCAACCAGGTGCAAGAGCAGCTGAGGAACGTCCAGCACATCCAAGCAACTGGTGGTGCTTTTGCTGCCATTCTTGAATCTGGGGCTGTTGTGACCTGGGGTGAGCCACACTTCGGCGGAGACAGCAACCAGGTGCAAGAGCAGCTGAGGAACGTCCAGCACATCCAAGCAACTGGTGGTGCTTTTGCTGCCATTCTTGAATCTGGGGCTGTTGTGACCTGGGGTGAGCCACACTTCGGCGGAGACAGCAACCAGGTGCAAGAGCAGCTGAGGAACGTCCAGCACATCCAAGCAACTGGTGGTGCTTTTGCTGCCATTCTTGAATCTGGGGCTGTTGTGACCTGGGGCAATCGACGCGGGGGCGGAGACAGCAGTCAGGTGCAAGAGCAGCTGAGGAACGTCCAGCACATCCAAGCAGCCGAGCATGCTTTTGCAGCCATCCTTGAATCTGGGGCTGTTGTGACCTGGGGCTATCACGGGGGCGGAGACAGCAACCAGGTGCAAGAGCAGCTGAGGAACGTCCGGCACGTCCAAGCAACTTACAAAGCTTTTGCTGCCATACTTGAATCTGGGGCTGTTGTGACCTGGGGCGATCCAAACTGGGGCGGAGACAGCAGCAGGTACAAGAGCAGCTGAGGAACGTCCAGCACATCCAAGCAACTGAAACTGCCTTTGCTGCCATTCTTGAATCTGGGGCTGTTGTGACCTGGGGTCATTCAGCATACGGCGGAGACAGCAACCAGGTGCAAGAGCAGCTGAGGAACGTCCAGCACGTCCACGCAACTGCCTGTGCTTTTGCTGCCATACTTGAATCTGGGGCTGTTGTGACCTGGGGTCATCCAGAATTTGGTGCAAGAGCAGCTGAGGAACGTCCAAGCAACCGCCGGCGCTTTTGCTCCCATCCTTGAATCTGGAGCTGCTGTTGTGACCTGCGGTGTGTTGTAAAACGGCGTCCAGCCAATCTGGAGCACATGAATGAAAGAAAAGAACAATCCAAGGCACGTTTCCATTGACGCTTGGCAACAGCGTGTCTGGCTGTGTCTGATTTGTAACCCCCCCCTCCAAACAAATGGCATCGGTTTTCGTTTTGGTTTCCCTTTCACGGCCACTGAAAACGGGCACCGAGCCTCAAACAAACCATGCCAACACAAACCCGATCCACCAACTGTCTCACATCACACTACTAGTCTCCAGGTCATAAAGACTAGGTCATGGGGAGACCAACCTACCAAGCAAGCACCTGCAAAGACCTTCAATGGGAGTTCTCTGGCACACGCCGGCTTGCTTTTTCAAGACCAAGGGCAAGTCTGTATCAGAGAGGGGTGGGGGTCAGGCCAAGTTTTTAACAGAATCGTTTTTCCCCATACTTGGCCCGGCCTGGTAGCCGGCGAAGATGTCGTCGGGGAGGCCCCGGTGCGTGTCAAAAAAACCCAACACCTTTCAGAAACCCCGTATTGTTGGGCAAACACACCCTGTGTGCTTCTTCCAATTTTCTCCCGCTTTTGTCTCTGCCCAATCCATTCCGGGCACTTCAAAGCACATGTCCTTTTTTTGGAGATACACACCCACCCATTTTGGGGGGGGCCATCTCTGAGTTCTACGGATCCCTTGGGTCTCACCTCCCGAAGCGACAGGGTTTCGCCTTTGCGCTGCAGAAGCTCCCGGAGCTCGGCACGGGACAGGCGCGGACTCAGATCTCCGTGAGCTGTTTTTGAATACCCCCTTTGGGTTGGTCTACCTGGACCCTCAAAACGCATTTTGACCTCACCCCACAAATTTGTGGGTTGCAATAAACAATTTTAAAGGGTAGTCTTGGGTTGGTCTGGACCAAGCTAGCCTTTTACACATGACCTCACCCCCATAATTTTGGGGCAACCCATTTTGAAGGGTAGTTGGAGGGTGAAGGTAGCGGGAATCCAAAGGCACATGGACACCGACATCCATGTTTGACTCCCATTTGATAACCCGGTCTCGAACCCAGTTGAGCTAGCTCTCCATGGCACTTTTTCGGATTTCCCAACAAATTACAGGTTCGTCTTTGGCTGCAATGTCAGCCAAGTTAGGGAGATGAATATAGGGTTGGCTCAAAATGGGGGAATCCCGAAATGGTTGGTTGCCTCGTGGTTTCCCTTTAAGCCAACCTTTTCGGGGATTCTTTTATGGGCTATATGCTTTGGAGAAAGGGGAGTTCTAGATAAGGCGAGTTTGGAGGTTTTCCAGGAACACCAACTTGGGTGGCAGTGATTCATGGAAGAAACGAGATCAATGTAAATGGGTACGAGTCACCCCCTCCAGATACTTTCGGAAAACCTGGTTTTTCAAGGCAACTACCTACCTCCGTTTTTAGTAAAGGGTTGGCATCATACCCTGACAAAAGTGGGTATTGTGGGGTTACGGGGGTATGTGTGCAAAAACGAGGATGGGTGGGTGTGCCGAAACTCGACCTGGGCACCCCTTCAATGCCCCTGGGCCCCATGGAGAACCCCGACCCGACCCTTACATGGGGCAACCATTTTTGCGAACTTTCTTGAGGCAAGGAGTCGGAGGCAAAGCTTCTGTTTTTCTTGCACCTGCCTGAGGCACTCCGGCTCATCACTTGGATCCATTCCAATGGTCCGACTTGACCCCTTCGGGGAAGAGTTGCCTCTCGCGAGGCCTTGGATGTGGATGCGCTGGCAGAGGACGGGAATCGAGTAGCCAAGGGCCGTGGTCGAATCGCTTGGGGTTGATTTGGTTGCTCAAAACGCTGGTCCCCTGTTGGTTGGTATCTCAGGAGAAGGACACCAAGCATCTTCGGGGACCCCTATTTGAACAACATCCATTTGGATGGTCACCTCGTGAGCACTGCGGGCTTTTTGGACCCGTTTCAACCCGCGAGTCTCTCCACTTCCTGGCTTTCAACCCTTGACACAACGCTTCCGTGAACTCAAGCGCGAGTTGGGCGATTGAGATTTGCCAGGTATATGACGGTATATGCCTCTTGTTTCTTCTTGCCCATTGCCTGGTCAGATGTCCTCCCATCTTGGTTTTGGGAAATATCACGATCCACGGTTTTCAAGCTTACCATGGGGATCCATTGTCCGAAACTGGATAAAATTTGATGAGTTACCCAGTGCAGGTGTACGACCTCTATGGTAGCGCTTCCTCTCATAGCGTCAACGGAATTTGGGCTTGGTGAATCTGAATTGTTCTAATCATCCAAAAGAAGCAGCGACTCCAAGCACTGGCGAGTTCAACCGTCAGGACAAGGACAACCCCCTTGCCAGAAGTGCGGCCCGTCAGACTTTGGGCCTTCATGGCTGAAGCCAAAGCCAATCTTTGGAATCGGAACGGGTGTTCCAAGATTCAGAGAGCAGCCCACGGATGCCCTAAATACTGCACAGGGAGCAATCAAAATCGATTCTCCAAATCACCGCGACTCACAATTCTGGTGGGTTTTGGGGCCCGGCCCACCGGCCACCTTTTCTTGGACCGACTGGGCGGGGAGCCAGCCATTGTCAGGATATGAAGCCAGTGCTGCGGGAGCTTCAGCGCCTGAACCCTTTTAGAGGCGAGCTTCGGCCGCTTTCTTGGACACCGGGGGCTCCGATTGTGGGAACGGGTGATTTTGGGGATCCCACAGGGTTCCTTGTTGAACATAAACCTTCTCGCCTGCTTTCAGGGTAATTGTATTTGAACATCCTGGTGTTCATGTAAGTACCTCCTTCTTTTGTCAAGGTTGACGTCATAGCCGAACAAAGGGGGGGGGGGGGAAAACAGAACAACACAACAAGTAAACAAATGAACGGAACAAACAAGCAAGCAAAAGAACAAGCAGCTGACTTCGCAACCGCACGAACAAATGTGCAGACAAATAGGCAGGCTGGGAGACGAACAAATATTCATAGAAACAGTACTGAACACAGCTTGGTGATGTTATGAGTTCTTTGTTGGCAGTCTTTTCCGCATCGCGATGACAAGAAAAACATGTCACACTGTATGGGAGGGTGGCCACCATGGCTCCCCAAACCCCAATAATAGCATTAACAAAGGGTACCCAATTGTGCAAACTTGTTCCAGGCAGAAAAAAACAACACGTGCACCAATCCTAAACCAATTCTAAACAGAACTGGGCCAGCTCAAATGAATACTTACATACAAAGCCATCTTTTTGGCTTAGCCCCTCCCTACACTGAAGGCTGGCCCTGAGAAACACCCCGCGCATCCATCGGCCCGACTCACTCGCTTTTGAGGCGCGCGCGATCCCATGAGCCCGGCACTGCACATGGAGCTCTTCCGTCTGCAGGGCGTGCTCTGCCGCCACGGCGCGATCTCCTCAGCTCGAGCTCGAATCCGTCGACTCGGCCGAAGGTCCAAGGGTCCTTTAAAGCGATAGCCGGCAGCCGGTTGGTTTGGATTCAGGAGATTTGAAACCTGGGGAAATGGGAATCCTCCAAGCCAGTTGGAGGGAAACATTTGGAGGTTGTCTCAAAACCCCCCTCAACCTGTAAATAGGTTTCACTATGTTACTTTACTGGACCAATTGCAATCACTACCAAAATGGGCATGTGTGCCCCTTACATAGTGGCTTATCGAACTTCGTCCCAAACTTGAGAAAAGGTAGCGCAGAACGAGCATAATCATCCCGGCAAAAAAGTTGGTTGCTCATTTACTCAACCCTGAACAGAGGATAATTCCCATATTTTGAGGCCAACCCGAATGTTGACACCAAAGAAATCGCTGGTTCCTGTGTGTGGTCTAAAAGGTTTCACCCGAACCAACACATCCCTATGATATCTTGTCGTTGTCCTAGTTTTGGGTAACGATTGTCACTCAAATAAATTGGGTGCCTATATATGAAATGCATGAGACGCATTCAGCTTGAGTTCACTCATGGCGTGTCGCTTGCTAGATGGCACGGATGTGATGACGAAGGCGGAGTATTCCCTGTGTTGCGGCAAGTTTTGCAGACAGGAAGATGGGGATTGTCTTTTCGACGTATTGCGACGCCACCTGGCCAAGAGATTCCCAGTTGCCCATTAGTACAGTACCCGTTTGTTTTTTGGGGATTCTATTTCTTCAAGATCAACCAACAACAACAAATCCAATAATGTTCTGATTGGAACTGACCAAGTAAGGATTGCATTTGCCAAATTTCAGGCAGCTAGCGCTGGCTGATGACAATGGCATGTTGGGGCCAGAGCGCCCGTGGGAGAATGCTGAATGCCTGACGGTAATATGTTGAAGAATTGACGGGTGAAGCAGACGGTCTGGCAAATTCCATTGACTTGGTGCTAGCGGCGGGAGAAGGCGACGCACAACGCGTGATAAAGCTGTTGGAGAAGCCTCATGATCCCAATGCTGCTGACAATTACAACCATATGACACCTTTGTTGTTTGCATCTTCCGAAGGCCATCTGGAAGTTGTGCAGTGCTTGCTGGATTCGGGTGCTGACAAAGAGAAGGCGGCCAGCAATGGCGCTGCACCACTGCATGTTGCTGCTTGCCTGGGTCATCAGGCAGTAGTGCAGTGCTTGCTGGATGCCGGTGCTGACAAAGACAAGGGATGCAACATGGGCACCACACCGCTGCTTATTGCTGCACAGCGGCGCTATATGGCGCTTTTGCAGTGCTTGCTGGATGCCGGTTCCAACAAAGAGAAGGCAGACAACACGGGCGCCACGCCATTGCATGTTGCTGCAGAGCAGGGCCATCAGGAGATTGTACAGTGATTGCTGGATGCCGGTGCTGACAAAGAGAACGCAAACCACGACGGCTCCACGCCATTGCATTTTGCCGCAGAGCAGGGTCATCGTGCAGTTGTGCACTGCTTGCTTGATGCCGGTGCTGACAAAGACATGGCAGAGAAAGATGGTGCCACCCCATTGTATTTTGCTGCCTGGGGGGGTTTGTCGCAGTTGTGCAGTGCTTGCTGGATGCCGGTGCTGACAAAGAGAACGCAAACCACGACGGCTCCACGCCATCGCATTTTGCCGCAGAGCAGGGTCATCGTGCAGTTGTGCACTGCTTGCTTGATGCCGGTGCTGACAAAGAGATGGCAGATAAAGATGGTGCCACCCCATTGTATTTTGCTGCCTGGGGGGGTTTGTGGCAGTTGTGCAGTGCTTGCTGGATGCCGGTGCTGACAAAGAGAACGCAAACCACGACGGCGCCACGCCATTGATTTTTGCGGCGAGCAAGGCCAGCAGACATTTGTACAGTGCCTGCTGGATGCCGGTGCTGACGAAGAGAAGGCAAACCACGACGGCGCCATGCCATTGCTTCTTGCGGCGCAGCAAGGACATCAGGCAGTTGTACAGTGCTTGCTGGATGCGGGTGCTGACAAAGAGAAGGCAAACCACAACGGCGCCACGCCATTGCTTTTTGCTGCAGAGCAAGGCCATCAGGCAGTTGTACAGTGCTTGCTGGATGCCGGCGCTGACAAAGAGAAGGCAAACCACGACGGCGCCACGCCATTGCTTTTTGCGGCAGAGCAAGGCCATCAGGCAGTTGCACAGGGCTTGCTGGATGCCGGCGCTGACAAAGAGAAGGCAAACCACGACGGCGCCACGCCATTCCTTTTTGCTGGAGAGCAAGGCCATCAGGCAGTTGCACAGGGCTTGCTGGATGCCGGCGCTGACGAAGAGAAGGCAAACCACGACGGCGCCACGCCATTGATTTTTGCGGCAGAGCAAGGCCATCAGGCAGTTGCACAGGGCTTGCTGGCTGCCGGCGCTGACAAAGAGAAGGCAAACCACGACGGCGCCACACCATTGCTTTTTGCTGGAGAGCAAGGCCATCAGGCAGTTGCACAGGGCTTGCTGGATGCCGGCGCTGACGAAGAGAAGGCAAACCACGACGGCGCCACGCCATTGATTTTTGCGGCAGAGCAAGGCCATCAGGCGGTTGCACAGGGCTTGCTGGATGCCGGCGCTGACAAAGAGAAGGCAAACCACGACGGCGCCACGCCATTCCTTTTTGCTGGAGAGCAAGGCCATCAGGCAGTTGCACAGGGCTTGCTGGATGCCGGCGCTGACGAAGAGAAGGCAAACCACGACGGCGCCACGCCATTGCTTTTTGCTGGAGAGCAAGGCCATCAGGCAGTTGCACAGGGCTTGCTGGATGCCGGCGCTGACAAAGAGAAGGCAAACCACGACGGCGCCACTCCATTGCTTGTTGCGGCAGAGCAAGGCCATCAGGCTGTGCAGTGCTTGCTGGATAAGGCACCATGATGAGGATCGCAGGATATTTAGGCCCGATTTCCGGCCTTGGGGTTTACGCCGGTTTAGCCGCCGTCAGCCAAGAATGATCGAAAGATGAAGCCGCAACCGACAACTTTCGGGGTGGTGGTCTAGCTGTATTTGTCCAAGAAGAGCGATTGTCAGGTCAACGCTGGTCAACGCTGGCACTAGCCACATGTGCCCTACCAGCGTTCGCTGTTTGCGCGGGGCATGTTGAGCGCAAGCCCCCAATCGGCCGCCTTGTGGTGAACCAAGGTTCAAAGTGTATAATTTGCCTTTGCAGAGGTTCAAAAGTCACTACATGAACCGTGTCATGCAAGCGCCTCAGGAATCCTCGAACATACTTCAAGACACCACCCCACCAACAGCAGACTAGTTCCAAAAAGGGTTGTGCAATGTGCCGTACCGGGAAAACATAAGTGGATCAGAATACTAAGCATCAAGTAGTTGGACGTGTTGCCATCGCCTGCTGCGCCCTGGGGTTGTCAGGCGCCCCGGAAACGGGGACCCTCCAAAATTGCACCCAAAAGGAACCCCAAAAAGGCCACGCATCGGCGGTATTAGTCGGTGTTGCCCCTATTGGGATTGGGGAGCCCTTGGGGTCCGTTGACAACCATAGGAATCAATGTCTTGTGATTGTACCCCATGGACCTGTTTTCAGCCTTGATGCCCCACATGCGAAATGTCGAGATAGGCTTCTTTCTAAGGGTGCTCTTGGCCATGGGAGAAGCTCAGATGCATTTGGTCTGCTATTGGACGTGGACGTGTCTCCGGGTTTCTCGCCAGTTTGGTCGGTTCTTTGACATCGGACACCCACATGAATATTTTGCCAACTCCGTGCCCCACAACTGTTCCATGGTACGACGTGCAGACGGGGCCGGGACTTGGCTATGTGCAGTAAGCCTCAACTATCCCTCTGTTGGCCCTTATAGACAACCCCTTGCAAGCTCGTATGACCTCTAGGCATACGAAGTCAGAAGCCACCAGTCGCTGCGCCCTGTGGCTCAGGTTCAGCTTCCTCGGGAATTCGCCCTCTTGATGAAGACACTCGGCCAGTTCGGAAGCACTCGGGTGGAAAAAAACCAGTTGGCGCCCAAAAGTTGAACCCCTCGTTAAAGGGTTTTCTGGAGCCGAAGGGTGGCCAAAATCGGAATGTTGAACCCCAACGAAAGCAAGGCTTGGCCCAACGAAAGCAAGTAAAGCAGGGTTTATTCTTTTATCGGGCGAGCAAAAGACAGGCATGTTAAGTTCGTTCTCAACATGGGTTGAACATGGTTGAACGCTGGCTTCCAGAACGCAGAGATTGAGCAGTCGCAAGCGAGCTTCCAACCTACCAAAGCCTTTTGGAGGGAATTGGGTTCCATGTGAGGTGGGAATTGTCCCAAAACCGGCCGAGGGAGGACTACCCAAACGAACCATGCGAAAGTACATATGAGTTGTTGCAGTTTTGATGTTTGGCAGGCGAGCTATTGCAGATACGGTTCAAACATATGCACTTGAAATGACCATCGGTTTGCGCACGCTGTTGTGGCAAGCGGTTGTTTGCACCAATCGCAAGTCGCGTGGGTCCTCAGGAGTCCTTGACGGGATCAAGTGCAAAAGGGATAAGGGATGCTATAGTTGTTTCTTTTCTCACTGGATTGGGGATTTGTTTTCAGTCACCGGCAAGCAAGCAGGTAAGCAGGCAAAGCAATCACCCAGCCTAAGCAAGCCCAACCTAAGCACATCAAACCCACCCCAAATCCACTCAAATCCCCTGCTGTAAACCCACCTTCAACCAACCCTCAAGCCACCCTAAACCCTCCCTTGGGCCCACTCTAAACGACCACCGCCCATACTATGCCCACCCACCCAAATCCCAGCCCCACCCTAAACCCACCTCTCCAACCTACCCTAAACCCAGCCCACACCCAACCTACCCCATCCTAAACCACCCTACATCTCTGACCTACCCAAAACCCTAAACCCATCCAAACCCACACTAAATGGACCCAGGAAAAAAGAGAAGAGACACAGACAAACAAATTTCAAGACAAACAGACGCCCCAAACAGGCGCAAATGTCTAAATCTTCCTCAGAACGTAGCCCTAGGACTGGCTGCTTCGGAGCGCTGTACTTTTCCTTGCTGGATGTGTGCCGGCTGCAAGGTTGACCAGCAGGGGCATCCCCAAAGGGCCCAAGCGCAAAGACCTTGTTTGTTTTTTTGGGGACCCCGCATTTCCCTTTTGGTTGTCCTTTAAGACCCACCCAAGGTGGGTACCCTATAAAAATGTATCAATTTAGTATTATCTGGCCTTAGTGGGCTTTGTAAGGCAAGGTTTTGGAGAGTGTGATATTGAGGATTGCCCCGAAGCCAAGCAAATCCAAACAGATGAAGATTAACAAGAACTTCCGCAGTACTAGAACCAATTGAGCCTAGCTGAGCTCGCTTCTAAGTGTCTAAGTGTGATGTTGCTTTTTTGCGACAGTGAAAGATATAAAGGAAGATACAGGGAGAAAGAATCAGAGAAAGAGATAAAGGGGAACAAGATAAACACACAAAGGCGCGAGCCAGAGAAAGAGAGAAACAGAGAGAGAGAGAGAGAGAGAGAGAGAGCGAAACAAATAGAGAGAGAGAGAGAGAGAGAGAGAGAGAGAGAGAGAGAGAGAGAGAGAGAGAGAGAGAGAGAGAGAGAGAGAGAGAGGAGAGAGAGGAGAGAGAGAGGAGGAGAGGGAGGAGGGAGGGAGGGAGGGAGGGAGGGAGGGAGGGAGGAGAGGGAGGGAGGGAGGGAGGGAGGGAGGGAGGGAGGGAGGGAGGGAGGGAGGGAGGGAGGGAGGGAGGGAGGGAGGGAGGGAGGGAGGGAGGGAGGGAGGGAGGGAGGGAGGGAGGGAGGGAGGGAGAGAGAGAGAGAGAGAGAGAGCGAGACAGAGAGAGAGAGGGGGAGATGCAAAAAACGGGAAGAAGGGGGAGAAGCGGGAGAAAGGGGGAGAAGGGGGGAGAAGGGGGAAAAAGCGTGCTCCAAACTATAGTTCATGTTTCTATAACCCTCCCCCGAGCTCTGCTGGACTTTACTGTGCAGGTCCCTTTCAAAGGCTGACGAAAAAAGGAAAAGAACATTCCATTTTGCGTTCCGGACAAGATCTCATAGGGCGGGTGCAAGTGGTTGTGGCGGCTTGTCTTGCGCTGGGGAGCGCAGCTTTCAGGTGCCCACTGGAATAAGAAAACGTAGCAGTTGATGCTCTGCCGGCAGCTCCTGAAGCTGCCTTGTAAAAGCCGCCTCAAGGTTCGTTTTTCAGCGGACCTCTGGTGTGAGGAAGTTGCCGTGAGAGTGCTCCAGTGACGGTTTGTCGGGTTTCATGTTAACCTGGAGGAGAGCACCTTGGGCGGTGTTGCAATGGCTCCGTGTGTTTTGAGGGTACCCCCCCCCCATTTTGTGGTGGTTCCAACAGGAAACAGTGGAGCACTTGAGCCAGAATCAAAACCCGGGTAGCTGAAGGTTAGTAAGGGACAATCCCAACCATAAATAGCTGCGGCCGCCTTCTTAGTTCTTTACATGGTTCTTGGCAGACCATTTTAATGCCGGGTTTTGATTATGACTCAAATGTGATTTACCATAGTGTGAGTCAAACAGCTGGTAGGTGGAAAAGGGAGTTCCTCCGTGACACGCCAGAATCGCTGCGCCAGCTTGACACAAGGAAGCAGAAGAGCACCTGTTAAACATTTCAAACACGACCCAGTGAGTTTTTCGGTTGAAGTTTCTCCGAAGGCCCCGCACCGGCGCCGGCTCTTCCATCAGCTCATGGTGGCTGGCGCAGCCTTCGCGGCCTCCAATCCTAGGGACATCCGACGGCTTGAGCTTCGCACTTGGGTTCCTCCTTCTTTGGACTCGGACCCCCCACGGGCCGCAACAGTTTTCCTTTTATATAATACTCAATCTGAGAATCCATGCAAAGTTAATTTGGGGCACGCAGTGGGATAGGCCTTGCGCCGAAACAAAGGGACACGTATCGCTTTTCACAACCATTTTGGGTTCTGGTTTTCATAGAATGGACCGTTTTCGGGGCAACGTTCAGATAGAGAATGAATAGAAGAACCCCTGTTGAATCCCATGAACACTCTGTTTGTTTCGGGCGAGAGATGTTACATGGGACAATTGACAATTCTTGGATGGGGTGTCCAGTGGCTCAGCTATAGCAGGGCGTGTGTCAGAATAGGACACTCCGAAACTCCCAGAATGTTTGCTGGGGTAGACTTAGGATAGATTTTGCATTTTACCAGTGACTCAAATTGAAGTAAACAATAAAATATATTCTACAACTGGGCCTAACTCTAATCATGTTTGGTCCTAAAAAGCGTAGCCTCAGCACACGGCCAACCCATACGGCGCCTCCCTCGTCTAGCGATAGGAGGCGAGGCAGCTGCTGCAGCCGCGGAAGCTGGCGGCGCTGTTGGGCGCCCTCCGCAGCAGCGACAGGACTTAGCCGTCTGCGGTGAGGGCGTGGGTTGCCCTTGGCTGTGACCTGAAAACTGTTTTCTTGATGGTTCCCAGCCATCCCCTTAGCTTTTTAGGGTTTTAGGGTTTAGGGTTTAGTGGGGATTTGCATTTACACCCATGGAGCAAATTACTTTGCTTCGGGTGATCCCCCCCTTTGAAAAATCCAAGCAAATCACTGGCACGCAAGCAGGCGCAGCACTTCCGCAAGGTCAGGTTTCGATTTCGTGGGACCTGCCGAGGGTGCACGTTTGCCTGGTGCTCTTTGAGGCAGAAAAGCCGTCTGTTGTCTGCAGAGTGGATCTTTCCACGCATCCGCAAATGCATCTAAGCACAGAAACTCTCCCTTCATTGGTTCCCAAGCATCAAGCTCGATTAGCTCTTCCAAAGAACGCTGGTCAGAGAACCGCGAGCTAATGCCGAGCTGCGTCCACATGCGCGTTGTCAGGCCCCGTTGGTGACGTGACGTAGCGCGGGGGCCTTCCCGAGTAGAGACTGTCGTGAACCAGTCCTCAAATGGTTTCCACGCGCGCTTCTTCGGGATGAACTCATCCCAAGAGTGCGTGCCAGGAACCCATGTGTTGTCAGCCGTCCTAAAACATGGTGTTGATTCTGATGTCTCAAACTGCTCTGCACTAAAAACCATCATCGGCCATACCGGCCTTGAAAACCTACACTGTGTGTCCGTTCCCGTCGGCCCGGAAGACCGGGAACCCTTGGTGCTCCAAACCAGAAACTCGATTTTTGTAGCGGTACTTGTCCTTCTTGGTGCCGATGAAGAAGCTTGAGCCTGCCATTTAACTTGCACCGCAGCAAGCAGCTTAAACAGCATAGATTAAGCCGAAGTGCCCTCAGGACAAACGCAAATATAGAGACACAGAGATAGATACATAGATAGATCCGTCGAGAGAGAGAGAGGTAGATGGAGAGATGGGTAGGTAGAAGGTAGATGGATAGACAGAAAGATAGACACAGATATAGATAATTAGATAGATAGATAGGTAGAGGGAAAGAGAACAGATAGATAGACAGACAGACAACAGATAGACAAATAGATAGAAAGATAGAAATAGATAGACAGATAGACAAATAGATAGATAGAAGTATTCAGATATAGATAGATGCATAAACAGATAAAAAATAGAGAGAGAGAGAAACAACAACTAATAGATAGATAGATGGAGGAACGAACATAGATAGATCTGCAGACATCTAGCTAGCCAGGCAAACAGCTAGATGAATGGCTCGATAGATTGGGAGATAGATAGGTAGAAGGTAAATAGATAGATAGACGGATAGACAGACGGATAGCTAGCAAGATAGTTAGATAGAAAGATGGAAACAGAGACAGATGTTTAGACAGGCGGACAAACAGATAGATAGGTAGACAGAGAGAGAGGTAGATAGAGAGATGGAAAGATAGAAGGTCGATAGATAGACAGACAGACAGATAGAAAGATAGAGATAAATAGACAGACAGATAGATAGACAGATAGATAGAGGCATTGGTAGATAGATAGACAGAGAGAGAGAGAGAGAGAGAGAGAGAGAGAGAAATAGCTAGATGGATAGAAAGAACAGAGATAGATAGATATGTATATATTTAGGTACATAGATTGGTAGATCGACTCACAGATGGGCAGATAGATAGACAGACAGATAGATAGATAGATAGATAGGTAGATAGGTAGATAGACAGATAGGTAGGTAGTTTGACAGATAGAGTGAGATTAGGTAGGCCCTTCGAAAAGTCTGGCCTTTCGAAACAGTCTGGCCCTTCGAAAAGTCCAGCACAGCGCACTCCGCAGCCGGCCCCGTGAAAAGTCCAGCGCGGCGCACTCCGCTGCCAGCCCCGGTGTAGGAAGTAAAAGAGGAGGAGGAAGTTGGAGGAAGGCGACGCTGAGATAAAATCTATAGGGACCCTCACCTGAGAGGTGGGGAAAAACTGATGCGTAAGCTCCTGGCACTGCACTGCTTAGAGGCTAGCCATTCCCCGTCAATAAATGGCCCCAGTTGTATCATAAATGGGACCAAGGACAATTGCATGTCGTGTTTGAGCCCAGATTTCAGATGCCTTCAGTCCGCCCCGCTCCCCAAAGGCAGCTTCTGCTGGACGTAGATTTTGGGCGGGTGAGACCATGTCAAACCGTTTAGGTTTCTACACTCCAGGAGCTTCCTGGCCGACCGAGCCAAGCCCTTCCTGGTCTTGGCGGCCTGTGCCTTTGGCATTTCACGAGTCGCTTGAAGGTACTGTGAGTGGCGAGCGGCGGAAAAAGCCTAAGGCCTGGAAAGGTGACATACAAGAGCAGTGGGTAGGCGTGGTTAGCGCTTGCTAACTTCTTTGCGGCTTGTCTTTGTTGGGCTCTCTGCCATGTTTCCTCGGGCTATTCCGACAGTCGGTGCGAAACCTTGTGCCTGGACCATTAAACTACCCTACATGTTGACATGTTGGGTCAATAACCTTTTTTTCAGGGCAAGGGCAGTTTCCCAATAGGGATCATGGCGAAGGATTGGCCAATGCCTTAGGGTATCGGTTGGTTGAACGGCGTTAGCGTAGTCTCCGTCAGTATTGTCGTGGACGACGTGACAGGGCAAACCAGTCACTGATAGCCAAACTATTTTGTCTTGGCCAAAAGTACTGCTTAGGAATCTCGATGAGCGCCTTCGGGCTTCTCTACGTGAAAGGGGATACTGGATATATCCTTTGCGTGCCTTCCTTTCCCTGCAGAGCTGCAACCCCAGCTTACAGGCAGCACATTCTGATTTGGGTGGTGTCTTTTGTGAGGGCAATTTGTTTGGATGGTTGAAAGGGAGATCAAAAATAAACACCACCCAATTTACGGGGTACTCTATTTTGACCTCTGCAATTGGGCATGGAATGACGCTTATTCAGCTCATCACCGTGACCAAAACCAGAAAGAAACCAGTCATTGATCAGCGTATCTGCTTCGCACAGCCGCTGTTGAGATGAAGCAAAGGGGAAACAGTGAGATATTGTGAGACTGCGAGCAGTTTTATGCTGGATGCTAGCTTTTTGTTAGAGACTTCAATGACCTGGCAGAATCGGACTTGGCAACCCTTTTTCGGTTCTATTCCCCGAAAGCAAACCACGGTTAAAACCGCCATAGCCTCCCATCCACAAACATGGAACAATACGGAACATGTCCTGGCAGACCATGTTCCTCTAAAAGGGACCCTCGATCATAGTGGGTTGTGAGTGGAGGGATTTGTATCCACGTGTGATCGAATGCCGCCAGGTGTTGCCGTCACTCTGCCAATGCTCACTCGCCAGATGGAGCTTCTGTCGCTCGTCACGCGATAACTCCAGCGGTGTGTTTGTTCTTTGTTTAGTGGGTTCCCCTTGCACACAAACTGAACAGGAAGCTTGGCCTTCATTGGCCACTGAAGGCCTGCTTTGGGTCTGTGCTTGTGCGTGCGCAAGCGCACCTGCGCAAGCACACGTGAGTCACGTGAGTGTGTGACCTTGCCAACCGGTCGATTGAAACTTATGAAACCTTTATTCGCGGGGAATTATCTTGCGTTGGGTTACTCAGAACATCGTTTTGCCCGTACCCACAGCGAAGTCCTACATGTGCCCCCGTGTGTCCTTGTTTGGTAGGTATCCCACCACCAGTGGTCAGCCCCAAAAAGATATGGGTCTCCTTTCTTCAAATGGGTCGCTGCGTATTCACCCGGATCAACTTGGGGGCTGCACGGGCCGCTCAGTGACTTAGGTGACTCGACTGAGGCTTGTTGGGGGGGGGGGTGCGGGGGGGTTGGGGTTCTAGACCTGCCCTTTGCTTGAAAGAGTGTGTGCCTGCAGTCTCCGTTGGAGAGCCCAAACATGTGACCATGAGTGCTAACTCACTTGCCCAAAGCCGAGCTTTTGACGTTTTGATATTCATGAGTGGGCAAGTGAGCCAAATGTTGGTTCCGGCTGTCCCAGTATTCGGTCCTGGTTTACCCTTCCATTTCGCAGTTTCCGGGGGTCTACGAAACGGTGTTGGCCTGTTGGAATCACATTTTGGACCGTGCAGACGCTGACCAAGACATGTGGAGCCTAGCTCTGAGGAAATTTGCTTGTTTCAATCCATCCATCGTTTTGATTGTCCCAAGCGAGTTGACGTTTGTACCGCATCTTTGTGGCGTTCCCGTGTCTTTTGATCCATAGCTTCCGTTTTCCTTCTTTCCTGCTCGTGCTTCTTGCGTCCCCGCCCCCGAAATTCCCGAAATTCAATGTTGCGATTGCAAGAAACGCGGCTCAGAGATTCCCTGTTCAGTTGATCCTTGCTTAGGTCTCTGGCCCCCAACTGCAAAGCTTCGAGCAGCTCCGTGCAAACTCGCCTATCAGCCGATGCCAAGTGTGGGCGAATCGGACCCAACCGCCTAGCCTCAGAGCTTTCTTGAAGACGCCGTAGATCCGAATCCTTGTCAAGGCGTGGATGTTGGCGGATCACAACTGACAATGGTCGCAAGGCCCCTTCCAATGCAGGGATGTAACGGTAGTTTTGGCCATGGCTCAACAAATGAATATTTTTTCTTTGTCTTCAAGGGGTGTGTTTGGGGGATATCCCACAAATAGAAGATAAGAAGTCGAGTACTTCCTTCCTGATGGGAGACCCCTTTTGTGATACACAAGAAGTCCCGACTTGTTCCTTGCTGGGAGGCTGGCCGAGCTGGGACAGAGCTGCCAGGAATCGGAACCGCTGGCTGGTTTCAAGTTCTAGACAGGAAGCTTGAATGGCTTTCATGATTCTGGCGTTTGTGGCTAGACCCGGAGATATCAGTGAAACTGCCCCCTCAGCTTTTCAGTCTAGTGGGGGGGCAACAAACTGCAACCCGGTGGGCAACCTGGGCGCACGAGCGGGGCATCTTGCTGGGCACAAAAGTCCTGCCAGGGACCTTGCTGGGCCGATCAAATGCGGGGTCCAGATTTCGCACCCAGCACCACTAGTATGTTGTTTGGTTCTCTTGGGTTGTGCACTGAAACCCCCCACAAAAAAATCACACAAGCACAGTCACACCCACACGCACACACACACACACCGAGGATATGGTTACTTGGTGAGAACAACGGCTGCATATGCCGCATCAACCATGATGCGCAATGGACTTGCGCTCCAAACTCAAAGTGTCAAAGGCTATCGTTTGGTTGGGTCCAAAACAAGTTGCAGGCCGGTTTTCCGGGGGCCACACGTCGAGGGATCAAGGTGCTTTTCCAGATTTTCCGACGACTGATTTCCCAGATCAGGATGTGTCCAGGTTTCGAATGATTTGTTTTGTTTGAAGTGGGATTCCTCTGGTCTTCCGAAACTATACAAGGAACACCTTCTTGACACAGGACTTGTTGCAGGCCGACTCCTTGCCTATAGAGCGCAGAATCGGTGCAGAGCGGCGAGGGCATGGATGGAGGGGCAAGGGTAGAAAGTGTTTGACCCAAAGCCTCGGGCCATTTGGCTTAGATGAGTTTATTTGCGTAAGGCCAGTGATTCAATGTTCCTGGTGCAGGTAACCACAAAAACAAAAGCCCTTTGAAAGCTAAAAGGAGAATGGGAGGCTATCTGCTATAGTGGCGAAACGCCTGGGATGCTCTCGACCTCGCAACTTCCATTTCACCAGCCGCGCAAGGGGCTGCGACCTTAAAACAGAGTCTTTCCACGTGGTGCTTTGGTTATGGTTGTTTTGCTTGTTGTTTGTTGATTGGTTGGTTGTTTTGGCGGTGTTTTGATATTGTGGTGCTTTGGGGCTCACGACGTGGCAACTCTTGCTGTTTGGTATGCACCCCATATCGAGCTAATCGATTGCAGGTAAACGAGCTCGGACTAGTTCTTTCCCTAAGCATCAGAAAGAACCCTGCATTGAAGGGGTTGTACCGGACCGATCCCATAGGTTTTTGGTTTAGCTCATGTTGTGGGCCTTTTTCGAGAATGGATGTTTGGACAGCCAAAGCTGCCCCCCGGCCTTTCTAAGTTGGCATGTTAAGAGCTACAGCATCCAGGTCAAGAGGTTCACTTGCTGGGTGCAAAAGGCAGAAGTATAGCAGTTGCTTTCCTTCTAACTTCCCTTTTAACACTAGCCGACAAGGTTCCCAAGATATCACGGACACCTCGTGACCCCCTCCATCAAACGCAAGATCCATGTACAGTGCAATCCAATTTTCGCGAGCTCGCGGAAGAAGACACTGGGTGTGGGAGGATTTGCTTGCAGCTGCAATGGGTGGCTATGACTTTGTTTTGCACGCTTTAACCTTACCTCTTGCAACCAATGCCCACTTTTTGCAGAGTACGATAGGGTGTCAACCTGACTGGCAGAGGTGGTATTTGCCATGGAGAACTTGGTTTGTCAACATCCCCGAAAACAGCTGGTATTTGGACGGGGGAAGAGGCCATGTTTGGGATCATGTCTTGGTTGGGGGGTCCTCAGTTGGCTTTTAAGGGATCCCAGGTTGTTATCCATAGCACCCGGGGTTTGCATGGGGAAAGCATTCCAGGGGCGAAATAAGTATTTTGTTTCTGCAATCCATGGAGTAAATGCGGCTTTCCCTTACCCCACTTGGATCTTCGACCTACTTAGTCAGCGGGTTACAACCAAGGTCAGAACTGGAGTAACTGGGGTTATATAGGTGATGACCTACTCAGCAGGTTGAATATCCAAACACAACCCCATTCTAATTGTGGCCCTTGTAGTTGATCTGTGACTTGCAACATCCCGCTCCTGGGTTCCCGACTGTGCTCAAGGCACATCTTGCTCGCTCGAGACAAAAAAAAAACGGGTCTCACATGGAGTGCCGCAGCAGAAAGCACGTTGTCTCAAAATGGATTCGGTTCCACCAAAATGGGCTTCGGTTTCCTTTTACAAGAACCACCACCCCCCCTCAAACAAAAATAAAACAAACGAGAAAAAGCAAACAAGCAAACCCAGTTCTTCCTGATGTTTAAAAGCAGCCCGCAAGATCCTTGGGTTACTCTGCAGGATGTTTCTTCTTCGGGAAACCCAATAGGGAATCGGGGAATATGGTTGGGTTCGGATTGGACATCTAGCAGGAAGCATTTGAGGAACAGCGGGCACCAAAGTGACCAAACTTGAAGTTGACAAAAGGTCTACCAGACCCCAAAGCAATGGGAGCAACAAGATTTGCTGCCGGACCCAAACTTAGTCTTTTCATGGCCAAAGGGATCCGGGGGGTTGATTCCCCATGCTCAACTCTTGTTCTTGTGAAAAACCAGCTGCTTTCCCGTTTCGAAAGGCGGATCCCTGGAAAGAATAAAACAGGATGGGAAATGCGGTTGAAAAAAGATCCCGCAGTTTTCACAACCCAGCTTTGTCCATCCTATGGACATCTATGGACATTTACTGACCTGTGATGAGGGATTAGTGATACGGGTGGGTGTTTCAGCGGTAACCAGCCTCGTTCCAATTCCACTTCGGGATGTCTACCAATATCCAAAGAAGTTCGTGAGTTTCTTTTCCTTACCGCTTCATGCAATAGATGTGAGAGGGGTTTGGCACACCTCAAGTTACCCCGTGTCTCCGAGACGCATGTGATCCAAACTGAGAAGCTGGTGGAAACCGGTTTTGGTGCACATGCGCCGAAAAAGGACGGTTGTGGTGCGTTTTGGACGCATGTTTTTTTTGTTAGCTTTTCATTTGCGTCGAGAAGCACTCCGGAAAGCCGATGCGCGGTTCCGATGCTCGGCTTTTCCGCCGTCACAGGAAAGCTAGGGGTCTCGGTATTTCCTTGCAGCGCCATGGCTCATGTTGGCCCAAGGAATTGTGTTCAAGAGCTACCGGAGGGAAGCCATCTATTTTGGCCACCATCTTGACACATACCCGTCTACGTTGGATATGTTCGTCCAAACATTTGAAGGTTGATTTTCTGTGCGACGTGTGAGGAAATGTAGGGAACCCTGACGTGGCAAATCGCGGGATCGAAAGATCGAAAGCGGCCTGAGCGACTGATGTCTTGAGACCTGACAAGTCCTGAGGCAACTTAAATTGTTTGTTTGACTGTTTCTTGAAGAAGTATTGGGGGTATGACAAATTGAGACTGTCTAGGGCGGTGCTTTTGAGTTTCTTTGTTGAGGGGGTCAATATTCTGACTATTGGGGGGTGAAAGTCCGAAACTCGTTGGTTGTTTGTGACTTTGAGCATCGGAAAGAAAGGCCAGACCACGGTTAACCCCGTGTTTGCCCTTTTGCAGAGACATCTCCTTGTTGGATGAGTAGGTAGGTTTCGAGTTCGTTCCTTGAATAGTCACCGACAAACAAGGGCCCCAAAACTCCACCCTCCCGAAAGGTGTTCACAACCCTTCAAAGCCCTTCTGAGAAGGTTCTCAGATTTTTTACAGGTGTGGCGAGGCCTCAAACAGTAAAGTGTGTGTGTGCGCGTGTGTGTCCCATTTTAGAGTGAGTCTTCTGTTGGGGAACTGCCCCCTGCCCATGAATCTGCAATCTTAATCTGCAAGCTTTGCTATTGCAACACTCCAGCAGGTTCCCATCGCTTGGGGAGTCATGCGCGTGGCACCCTTCAGCTGAACTGCCCATGAAGCCTGCGTCGGATGGTGTCAGCATATGAGTCAGCCCTCATTCGTGTTCAACCCTCGGACGGGATCCGCAGCTCTGATTTCGCAGGGTTTGTGCTAGGCAATATTCAGACTGCCACCGCAAAGGGAGCCTGCCAACCCCCCTAGATTTCCCGGTTGGTTTTGGTTTGACGCTGGATGCAAGTGCCTTCTTTTCGCGCGTGTGGCGTCAGCTTCGACTTAAAGAGGCAGAGTGTAGGCAAGTGGTTGGTAGCCTTGATTAGATCTTTGGGCACTGAAACCCTGGCTGTGGTCGCTAGACAGGGTTGGCAACCACTCAAGTAGCCTGGAAGTGCTTTATTCCTGAAGTGCTTCATTTGAAGGCAAGAAGCCCACTTGAATGCGAGTTTAGACCCGTGTGGCAGAGACATGAAACGGCTGAGACGAGCTCACGTTCGCGATTCCTGGGCCCTTCGGAGGTCCTCGGTGTCGAAATGAGCAATGAGCCGCGTTGGGATACCGAGCCATTTGTTTTGGAACCTTCAACAGTGGATCTCGATTTGTGAATGAAGCAACTTGTGACCCCTCTGAACTGACGTTTCCCACTTGGACTTGCGATACGTGCAGTATTCTTTGGGGTTGGCGGAAGCCTAAAACATTTCCGATGCTGGTGCAGCAATGGTATGGTGGATTGACAAATTCCGGCACCAGTTGGTAGGTGTTTTATCCCATTGTTCATTCCAAGTGCCGGATTTGTTTCACCCACAGTATGCTACTTGTCATCAACCCCTGGAATTCAGACATGCGCTGCACTCGGAGGGAGCCAATGACCATTGGAAATTGGGCTCTACCGCTTTCTGAAGGGAATGATCAGTCAACTGACATGGTCAAGAAAGTTGTCACAAAGTGATTCGGTGATGGTCGACCATAAATGTGACCCGAACACCTACTTCCATTTGCTTCAGATTAGTTTTTTGTTTTTGTTTGTTTTACTTCTATCTACATACTGGAAACATGTTTAGTTTTTCCAGTGGACGAAAAAGCGAAATGGAGGTCTAACTGCCGTTTTTTCCAATGGCTTTGATCAGATCTCCCGACGCGCAAAACGCCCGCCTGGCGCCCACCGATTTCAGGTGCGAGGAACTGGAGCCGGCGGGCGAGGCCGGGCATGGCACCCGTGAGTTGATGGGAATCGCTACAGCAAGATGCGTCCGGAGCCTTGCAGCCAGGCGCTAGATTTAAAATGGCGTCATGGTTGTTACTCCCCTACAAATTAACATGGAACCTAAAAAAAGGGGGTTGAATTGTAGAGGAGTAATCAACAGGAAGCTCCACTCTGAAGCATGGTTTTCGTCCATTCGCATGTGTGTGATGTGTCAAAAGAACGGGAGGTTCCTGCCAGTTGTTTTGCGGATTTGCTGCACCAAGTCAAATCATCCAGATGCAAGTGCGTCACAAGTCTCGGTGACTTCGATTGCCAGGAATTGTTACCGATGTCATTGAAACTTAGACAATTGTAAGAACGTCTGCCTGGCAGCGCTCAAGTGGGCATGTCTAGCGAGCCCGATACTCGCCCCAAGCTCGTCAGGTCCTTGGCATGTGGTCTATGCAGATGGTATGGGGCAAAATTCAGCCACCAGGGGACCACTTGTTTTAGTCCTTGCCAGGGTTCCACTTTTGTTCATGCCGAAGAGTGCAATGCTTCTATGCTTTGCTCTATATTGCTGCTGACCATGAGTAGACAATCACAACCCAAGGTCCGTCCGAAGCCTTAATAGGGATTTCAAAGCCACCGTCATAAGGGTTCCTTCTAAGGAAGCCCCGACCATAAACCCACGGAGCGCTGACAATAGCTCCCGCGAGAACGGATGTGATGTCCAATGAGAAACCACCGTTAAGTTGAGTTCATAGAATAACCATAGTTCACCTAAGGATTATCATCATCCAAATCGTGCCCTTGCCATTCCAATGGGGGCAAGGAACCCAAGGGCGTGATCAGGGAATGTCATGTGCGCAATTCTTTCGCCTGCAACGACTTGCGTGTCGTGCTTATTCGATCCTATAGAAGTAGAGATGGGCGCGGAAGAGGGGGGGGCTCGTCGAATGGCGAGTTGAGCTATTCGCTGGGTTCCAACAAAGACCGATGATTTTGAATTCAAAGGAGATCAACACAGGATAAGTACTATGATTGTGTGAGACCTCTATTTGACACCACACCTCCATGTGTTGCTGAAAAAATCACCTGAAGAGTCGTACAGTTCAACTCATCGCCTTATGGCTTGATCTTGAGCTGGATTGCTTCTTCAATGAAGGCGAGTCAATCAATGAGTCCCAAGATGTTATGATGCTGTAAGTCGTGATGCAGTAATGTCAAAATGGCTCTGACCGCACTTCCCTTACCCAAGCCCAATCAGCGTGAAACAAAGTTATCGGTGTTTTGGGAACGCCGCGACCAGGCTTTGGGATTGCGAATCTTCTGCCTATTTGTTGGGAATCCGTGTGCCATTGCTTGGTGAAGTATCACAGAGAGAGTGACTTATGGTGTTGCCCATTGGCCTATGACATTATTAGTTTGCAGTGCAGCCGATTTGCTTTCACATTTTGATTCACCCACACAAATCGTGTGTTTCCTAACAGTAGGGACTGCATACAACTTTTGACTTCAAGGGAATTCCTGGTAGAACCAGACCATCCAGTAGGGTCGATGAACGAGTCAGCACCCGAATGGCCAAAAACATCATTTGACGCTCGATATTGTTTCTGGAACTGGCATGATGACCACCTCTTTGGTTCTTGGTAGGATTTGGTTTCAGGTAGAATGTTGCTTCCGAAGGGCATCAAACCCAACTAGGGCCGTTTAAGGGAAGCGTGCTTTTTTGTCGCTTGTCGGGGAACTGTCGTTGGTTTCAAAGGAAAACCACCATGAAACCTACCATTTTCAAGTTTCCCTCATTTTAAGACACGCCATTTATGTGTTCAAGTCGTCTATGTGGGCTGACAGGGTTGCTCCGTCGAAATGCCTTAGGTGTATGATCAGTGACCAGTCCACCTCAGTGCCGATAGGCCTTCTGACCTTTCCACGACAGCACTATAATTCCCATGGGTTTTGTGGGTTGGTTTACTTGTATTATTTATGCACCGTACCATAGCATACCATAACCCACTTGTGATTGTAAGTCCTCGAAGTGGGTTGTAACCAGGGTTGTCAACCACTTACCTCACCTTTCGTTCTGGACGCAGGTGGGCCCAACTTCGGGATGTGTTGGAGAGAGGCGGGACTGAGTTTGATCCTGGGAAGTTCCCTCTGCACTTGTGCAAAGGCCCGCTGTTGCCTCCACCTGAACCCTCAAAATTGGCTTAAACATGGGGTATAGCAACCCAACAACCCAAACATATGGTTCGTGAATGCCCTTTTGTCATGGATAGTCCCTTCGGGTCCACACAGTGCTGCGACTTGTTTTCGGCTCTTGCTGTTTTGCAGATAGCCATGGGAGCCGTGGGAGCAAAGGTGGGAGCCGTGAAAACCGCCGTGCGTCAATATGCGGACTGGTGCCTTATTCCGGTGAAAGCCTCCATGGCCATGGAGACAGGGAGCAAGAAGCCGGACTTTTTGATGAGGCAGTCTTTGCGCGCAAGCCGACAGGAACTGCACATTTGTGCGGTGCTGAGTAAAGAGATCTACAGTGGCACAAAAGGTGAACACCGCGTGAAGTTTCAGGGTCAGCCCGCGTTTTATTTGTCAAAAGAAAGCATGTCAAGTGGTGCCTGGGAATCCTTCTTGCCACTGGATCAAGATTTTGAGGTGCTTCACGAAGGCTCGTGCAAAGGAAAGTGTGGCAATTCCTATCCATACCTGGCAGTCAGTCTTTTTGACTCAAGGTCCTTGTCTGGGCCAAGGAAGCGGCAATCGTAAAACGCTGGAAGGAAAGTTCAGAATTCCCACGACGCATCAAGCAGAAGCTATACACGTGCGGTGTGAGTGACGACGAGGTGCTTGCAGCAACGTTCACCCCAGCTGCGCTCAGTCCAGCCACTGCAAGCGTAATAGTAAAAGTTTCAGGCAAAAAAACTCTGTACTTGATATGGCAGGGTACTATGGCGGGTGAGCGGCCCATGGACATGTTTACCGACTTAGCTGCTGGCCCGGTATCATTCACTGAAGAGTCGCTTGAATTACATGTTCATTCGGCAATGTGGGCCAAAGTGAACAGTGACTTCCTCAACAACAAGGCAAAGATAGTGCAGGCCATCAAAGAAGACAAGTGCGAGAAAGTTGTCTTTACTGGACATTCATTGGGTGGTGGCTGCGCGCTTCTTGCGCATTTGAATGCCCTTCTGATTCAACGTCACGCGGAGGACTTGTGCTGAAAGCGGGATTGGTTCCCACTGCATTTGGAAAGGCAAGTGTTGGGCTGGTGATTCATGATGTTGCCGTGAGACATGGCGGAGGGATTGGCTGGACCCAGGGTAGCTACAATTTGGCTAGCAGAAAAGCATGTGTGCTCCCAAGGCTACTTCAGGGGTTGTACAAGCAGGCACGGCATTGATTAAAAAACGTGTAGCCAAACTAGGGCCAAGAAACCAATGTCAAACGTTGTGGTTGTCAAGCCCAGAAAGAGACATCAAAGTCGAGGAAATATAGGGTCGTACGTTGTGACTTTTGAGCTGGAACTGTGAAAGTGCACTGATTCACCTGCTACTTGGTACTGAGAAGTTGAAACTTTCAGGCCGCATCTGCCAAAGCGCACTTCGCGCACCACTTCGTACTAAAAGGTTTGACTGTTGGGAAGCTGGAGCTGTGGAAGTGCACTTTGCGTAGTACGCCTTTCGGACCTTTGTGCGGAAAAGTCGCGAACATGTTGCGTGTGTGATAAGCTACTGCAGAAATGAAAAAGGGCCCCTGCAAAGCTTGAAATAGGTATCTTGCCAATTAGAGGTTTAGTCGGTCCCTCATATGGTTCGTGCAACGCGATGAACAAGAAACGGCGGTGCGGCGGTGCTTTCAAGTTTCGATG